TGTTTTTAGGTCCACCTTTCATCATCCAATTCCAGTTTGATGTCGTTTGTCCTCCTACTGATCTGTTCATATTCCTTTTCGGATGAAGAAACAGCAGACTTGAGCCATCTGAATTCCTTGTCAGCATCAGCTACTTCCCACTTGGTGGTTTCGAGGCTGATAGCGAGGTGACGATCTTCTTGAATCAATTTATAAGCCTCAGAAAAACAGCCTCTCATCTGCGAACATAAGAGCATTAGTAAAAGACACTGATGAGAGCAGTTTTAGAGAGTTACAACAATTACACAAGAAATCTCCTCTAACCTGTTCCTCACTATGTGCAATCCTTGCTTTAAAATTCTCTACGGATGCATTAACCTGTTGTAGCTGCTTTTCCATAACTTGCTTCTCAGATAAGTGAGTGTTGTAAGCATGCTTTGTCTTGACACTCTCGGAAACAAGCTGAAATCATAGATCAAATAAGAAATCTACAACTAATGTGTTCAAAGGCTAGATATAGTTAAAGTCAAAGATTGGAATTGAGAAAAGATGAAAAAAAAATAATCCAAATCTCAGTATCAAAGTGTCCTATTAACACTAAAACTTACCTTGATATTATAATCGTCCCGCTCAGCCACCTGCTGCAACAAATGTTGGTTCTGTGTCTGCATGTCTTCATAGGCTTGACCAATAGTCTAGAGAAGCAAAGTATGGATGAGACACATGAGCATTTTCAACTTTTGGATTTTTAATACACTCCTTAAGAACATCAAAATGAGGAAGAACGAGCAGAAGGATGATTGTACCTCCATTTCAGCAATGGATGCCTCTGCCTCCTCCTCTTTAACTTTAATACCCTCCTTAAGTTCCAAAACCTCCCTGCAAATGAGAAAACAATATAATACTGAAAAGAATATAATGAATGACCTTGGATGTGGTAACATGAGAGAGCATACCTCTCAGAAAGATCTAACTGAGTCCTCAATTCAGCAATTTCAGCCTTCGCGGTTGCAAGCCTTTCTTGGCAAGCAGTTTCAGTCTCATGAGCCGCTTTCACTCTCAATTCAAGAAAGTGTTCATCCAAAACGTTTTTCAGCTCTTCAGCCTGAGCTTGGGCTTTCCGTTGTGATTCCTTGATTTCTGCCAGTCCTCTGAAATTGGAAAGCTCAAATCTCATGATTTCAGCAAAATTTAGAGAACTTAAATACACTCAAATGGTCACATACTCACATACCTTTCATCATTACACTCACGCGTACAGATGCTTGCTAGATTTTGCAGCTCTAATTTTTCTTTCAGAAGTTTCTCAATCTGCGATATTACAATTGACATTCAGACTCTTACTGATAAATTTTCTGGAGTTTCAGTATCCATGAATTCCTAAAAGATGGCGAAAATAAAGTGCCTAGGAACGGTTGGAGAGAGGTATGTAAATAGAGCAAAAGAACATTGTAATTACCACACAAAAAAAAATTGTAGTGGATGGTTTTAGGGACATTTTGAAAACTTACTAGAGCCTTGAGAGATTTAATTTCCGCCATCTGTTTAGCACATTTATCCTCTAAACCCTTCTGTTCGTCTGCCTTTGTTAGCATGAGAAAATCAATATTTCAGGGAGCAGTCTACTAAATTAGTCCAATACAAAGGAAAAATATAGTAGAAGCAAAGAAGTTGTATATACAAAGGAGGGAGATTCCACATTTGTACTTCAAAAAAATACTGAGTTAATTGTGCATATAAAAGTTGTAAAATAGTCAAAGTCTTTGCATTGACAAGAAAAGCACAAAACCGGTCAACATAGAATAGCTGAAATTCAACAAAATCTTATCACTTCTCCTCATCTTATTGGCAATCAAATCCTCAAAATAACAGCCTATGTCACACTATTAATTGAGTAACCTGCTCCTTACTAGTAATTCACGCAGTGACCAAATAGTCCATCGAAACAACAACAAAATAAAACAAATTTGATGGCATTTAGGAAAAACAGAGAAATATTATACCGAATATAATCTTTAAAGCTGTGGTTGCGTTCAAACCTTGTTACTTAACGAAACTCTCAGCGATTGAGCTTGTTCACGCAGGTAAAGAGCATCATGTGCAGTGTCCTTCCACCGTTTCAACTGTGCTTCCATCATTTCCATCTCTTTAGATAAGGTTGATGCCATTGCAATAAACTCACTTTTAATATCTTGCCGTTCTGAAACATGGAAGATATATTTTAAGAGCAGGTATAAAGCGTTAAAAAGGCAATGAGTACTGAAATGGATTGAAAATCACCAGAATCTTGAATAGCTTCTTCCGTTTCAAGCTCTAATCCATTCTTTTCAACTATACAACTCTGCAGCTTCTTTTCCAGAACTTCAATTCTAGAACCAACAGTGGTAGACTTATGGTTGGCTGCCTCTAGGGATTCTGCCCTTAGATTTAGTTCCTTCTCCCGTCTCATTACAAAGGACCTTTCAGCCTGAAGCAGAGGTTAGATAATGATAGACGAAAAAATTACTCACTTATGTGGGAGAGAAACACCGGCAAATTGAATAAGAAGCTGACCTGAATGGCCTCAGTCAGAATTTTGTACCGGTCCAGTTCAGCATTCCAGTGATGAATTCGATCATTGATCAAACTATACAGTCTAGACGAGTATATATGCTGGTCATCCGTTAGTTCATTCTACATCCATTAAGCAAAACATATCATTGTCAACTGCAACTATTGCTCTAAGAAAAATCTTTTCCCCTAAATTCTATATATATATATATATATATATATATATATATATATACCTCAATATCTTGACATTGTCTTGACAAGGAAAGATTATACTCTTGTGCAGCTTGAAGCTCAGACAGACGACCTTCTGCCATTATCTAGAATAATTATTCAATACACGTGCTAAGCTTACACGTTTGGAAGAAAAAACAAAAATTAAAACATGAACCACACTATTAACGATGTAGTTACCTTTATTTCATCAATGGAGTCCTTCAATTCACGCAACTTCGTTTTATCTATAGGCTTCTCAGGAGAAAGGCTTCCATTTGCTATTGCTGGTGATGTTACATGACCTTCACATGCAGCATCCTTCTGCATTTTCAGAGTTATCAATTTTCTTCTATTTTCTTCAAGCTCAGCCTTGATCTCTTCCAATTGACCTTTAATAACCAAAGATACTCAATACTCAGAGAGCAATTATGAAATGTCACCATGCTAATACTTAAATTCTTACATCCCGGTTATAGTGTGCAAAATGGAAAATGTGCTACGCTTATAGAAACAAACAGCTGATTTTCTCATATTGTCTAGAATCATGAAATATACAACCTTTGAGGTGTTTAAGCTCGGATTGATCTGTCGAATGGCTGCTTATGTATGCATGAATCTGCTCGGTGTGTTCTTTGTGCCTCACATGTAAAGTATCAATCATCTCACGCAAGTTTTTGGCCTCCTCTTTCATCAAATCATTAATGCTAGATAACTGGATGGTGGCATCTGAAAAAAAAAAGGTATGTGAATTGTCTATAGCCGTTAAATTAAAATGAATCGATAATTGGCACACCAACCAACCTTCTGCCGATTTCACAGCATGTAAATTTTGAGAAATACTTTCAGCTTTCGCCCTCTGTGTAGCAATGGTGTTCTCAAAGAGTCCCATCAATTCCATTGTAGAGGAATGACGCAAAGCAAGAGCTTCTTCAACCTTTCCTACTACCTCATCACTATTACTAGTATCTAAGGAATCAACTTGCAGAAGTCTACACAGAAACATTTCATCAGCAGCGCATGGTGGAACTGAACCTAAATTACATCAACATAGATAAACTGTTAAGCAAATCTAAGCGGCTATAATACTTGAAGAACTGAGAGATAACTCTTATTAATACCTCGCTGTTTATCTGCAATGTCCAAGTATTTTAGAGCCTCTTGATTAGCCCCAGCACGAACTCCAAGCAATATCAGATCATCTACCAACTAAACCGTCAAAATGCACAAATAAAACCACAGACCCTCTGAGTTAAACATCAAAGGATGCAATTAGTCGTTCTATAAAGCCGAAAAGGAACATGAAAACCTAAAAACCAAGTAATTGCAGACCTGATTCCAAAGCTGGTTAACTGAGATAAGTTCATCATCATAAGACGTTTGTTTGATTTGCAATTCTTGGATCTTGGTTTCAACATCGTACAGGTGTTTCTTCTGAAGGTCTAACTGCTGAACCAGTTTCTGATTCTGTAACTGTAGAACAGTGGCATCAACCTGAAAGAAAAAAAAAAAACTCACTCTTGCATAGTCCTTATTTGCATCATTCATAGATTCCAAACGTCAATTTCATAAAAGAAAGATACTATCAAACTATTCAATCAACGGGCTTTTAAACAGATAAGAGAGAAGTCTCAGTCGAAAAAGCTTACACTTTTAGCAATAGGGTGAGAAGGTGAAGAATTACGGGCCATGGAAGTCGGAGAAACGGAGTCTAAAAGATGAGGCTTCTTCTGCATCGGCTCGTCCGATTCCTGATTCTCCATTTAATACAAGGAAAACCCTAAATCAAGATGATCGTTGGTTCAGGCAGAAACTCTAAAAGTCGAAAACTTTTTGAACACAATATTTGTCTCGTTGACAGAGAATCGCTAATTTGAGTTTTACGGGCGTCCAGAGGCGGAGGAGGTATCGTCGGAGAATCTGCCGAGATTTCTCTAGTCAAGACTGATTTTTTATTTTTATCTAACAGATAGAGAAAACCCTTAAACGACGTCGTTAGTGTATAAAAGGCTTATTGGGCCTAAACTACATGAATATAAATACAATAAAAGCCCAACGTCGTCGTGGAAATTATAGACAAAACCTTTAATCTAAAAAGATATAAAATTAGAAATTATAGATTTGCATGAACAAAGTAATGACTTGTGACTAGCGTACCTTTTGGATTAGAAACAAAGTACACGTCACGCATAAGATATGCTGAAATAATAGAATTGTTAAGGGAATTTATTTGGCACTAAAACACAAACTCACCAAAATAATACGTACTGGTCATTTTGCTTTATTATTTGATTAAAACAATCCATATAACAATAATCATCACCACTTTAGAAACTTTCTCACATTTTCTGCCTATGTCCAACGAGTTTACCCATTTGGACAAAACTTGATTCGAAATGTTGTTGTTCTTCATCATCTTGTTCTGTTTGATAATTGGTGATTAGAATAGAGTACTCTACGTTTTCACCGTAAACACGATCGAGAATCAAATATAGTGTGACAACAAATATTGTACATGTTTGTAACAAATAGCCAACTGAAATACTGAATTCGAGGTTGACCAACGACTTAGCTCTGTGAAGAGCTTCTTCGGTAGAACATTTAACCATTAGGTGTCTTATTTCATCGTGAATATAACATCCCTTGGGGATCAAACTCGGTATGTAAAGCATGCAACCCATCACAATGAGCCACACGCCTTGAAAGGCTATGCTTGAAGATCTCACAAGGCTCACCAGAAAACTCTTCGGCAAGAAAATACCTTTTGATGTCAAGAAAGTAGTTATTAGTTAGTACGTACTCCATATGAATATCAATCAAAATTTTGATTTTAGAAAATAAACTAAAATTAGAACAGTACATAAATTCAAAATTCAGGATTTTTTGGACCGACCTTTATAGACTTGGCAAAACCAACAAGCAACAACATCATATTAATTTATGATATATATATACACATATATAAGTTTAAGATATATTAGAGTCATCAGAACAATACACAGGATAGTGGTAACGAGAGAGACGAAGATAACGACTTGTAGAATCAAATGGTATTGTCCCCCAACGCCCATGTGGTCGGTAGAATGAAAATGGAAGAGAAGTAGCTGTTGACTGAAGGCAGCGGCTGCAGCTAGCATGGTTAGCCCCTCAGAAGCGGCGGGTCTAGGCCGTGCTCTATCGAGGACTAATGCCAAAACGGCATAGACTAAAAAAGACATGGAGATGGAAGAATGTTCGAAGTTGTGGAGGTGGTTCGATGGGATGGTACCATCAGAGTCAAAGGGATTGTGTCTTCTAGGTCCAATGAAGAGCTCCATGGATATGGAGGCTGATGAAGATAGCATGATTAAGTAGAGCTCTAAGTGTCCGAGCTCTGAAATTGGGAACCATGTTGATGAATTGAATGTCTTTGGATGGAGACAGAAGAGTTTTATGTTGTTGAATAAGTGCCATAAGCCAAGTGCTAAGAAGGCAAAGCCTGGTATAACATGTCCCACAAGTGATCCCATGTTGTGGGTTTGTATTATGTCTTAATATGATCTTTTGTTTCTATTTAGAGAGAGACAATTAAGGGATTTTGATTGTGGACAAGTGACGACAATGATTGGTTAGTGGATGGGTTTAATAAGAGTTGAGGGTGAGGATATTGGCTTAGGGATTATGCATTTACGTGTACGTATACGTATCTATAAACCTGTATTAAATATTTTCATTACTTGCGACACACACAAAAAATTCATCACTAATCACGTGTAATCTTGCTTGTTTACTTTGAGCGTACACATGAAGTATGATGAGAAAGACAGATCAGGCGTCATAAAATAAGTTTAATTCATTTAAAACTTTCATTTTAATTTTAATGAGTTTGTCCATGATTATGAATTCATTATTTGATTTTTTCCGTAGGAATTTTTTTTTTAACATCTAGTCAATGAACTTATTCAGCGGACGTTGAATAACAGATGTGATGTTTATGAGGAGATTTCATGAGGATGCATTTCCGTATATGTGTATAAAGAAATTAATTTACATTTAAAAAAAAAAAATTGATCTACATTTTGCTGACGCTTGTTCTTATTAGGCCTGGGCACGAACCGGATATCCGGAAAAATTGTGATATTTGTTATTCGATTCGTTTTAACCGAATACCTGATTTTGTGATTTGCTTTGATTCGAAAATTTCCGGATATCCGGAAATTTGAATATCCAGATTTTTTTGATATTTGCGGATATCCGCTTTGATAAATATAAATATTAAAAAAATCTGTAAACTATATAACCATATCAGATATTTAAAGTTTTTATTTAACATGCTGTCAAAATAAATTCCAAATATCAAACATAACTGTTGTTGTTATCACCGGTCAACAAAATGTTATCACACTAATTCCAAAAACCAAAACCCGATAGATTAAGATGTCATTGATCAAAACATAACATTAAAGAAAAATGATAAAACAAACATCTTAACATAAAAACATAAGGTAACAATAATACACAAACTATTTATGATATATATATATATATAGACATAACTATATATTCTAATATATATCAAAAGATACGGATCGAAGCGGATATTCAATTTTTAAAAAAGCAATATTTGTTATTTGCTTCGCGTTTTACGAATACTACATTTTCCTATTTGCTTTGGTCCAAAATCTTACGGATATTCGGATTTTTCGAATCAAATCAAATCGAATACCGAATCGAAACGGATCAAACGAATATTTTGCCCAGCCCTTACTTCTTATCATATTAAGTTTATACAGTATTATACAATCAAACATTTTTTACTTCTAATCGATCTTATATTTTGTACAAGTTGCAATGTCAAAATGAAAAACAACCGAATAATCTATTACCTTTACACGTCTTCACTTCCAAGGAGTTTACCTATCTGGACAAAACTTGGATTACTTTTCTTTAGCGACTCTATGTCTTGTTGCTCTTCACCACTTTCTTCACTTTTGTCTTTAGTGATAAGAATTGAGTACTCGGCATTTTCACCGTAAAGTCCACTCAGGATCAAGTAAAGCGACATGACAAAGATTGTGATTCCAACAAAAAACCAACTAAACTCGATGTTGACTAGCGACTTGGCCCTGTGTAAAGCTTTATCGCTGGAACATTTAATCACTTGGTGTCCTTCTTCTTCATGAAGAAAACATCCCTTGGGAATCAATCTAGGTGTCCAAAGCATGTAACCCATCACTACGAACCACACTCCTTGAAAAGTTATGCTTGATGACCTGACAAAGCTTACCAAGAAACTTTTGGGCAAAGCTATTCCGATTAGACTGGTGAGAAGAGAAACGAAGATAATGAGCTGGAGGAGCTTATGGTATTGTCCTTCAATGCCCATGTGGTCAGCAGAGTGAAGATTGAAGAGGAAGAGCTGTTGAGCAAAGGCAGAAGATGCGACGAGTATAGTCAGTCCATGCGAAACATGAGTTGATATACTCCTTGCTTGATCAAGAACTACTGCGAAAACCGCGTATACTAAGAAGGACATGGAGATAGAGGAGTGTTCAAAGTTGTGGAGGTGGTTTGAAGGGATGGTACCATCAGAGTCAAAGGGTTGATGTCTCTTGGGTCCAATGAAGAGCTCCATAGCTATGGAGGCTGATGAAGATAACATGATTAAGTAGAGCTCTAAATATCTAAGCTTGGAAGTTGGAAACCATGGTGATGAAGTAAAGGTGTTTGGGTGGAGACAAAAGAGTTTTATGTTGTTAAATAAGTGCCATAGACCAAGTGTAAAGAAGGCAAAACCTGGTGCAACATGTCCCACAAGTGTTCCCATGTTGTGGCTTTATGCCTTATTCTTTAGTTTTTGTGCCTATAGAGAGGGAAAGGGGGATTTAGGGATTTGATGATCATGATTAGAGCTCTTATGGGTTTAATAAGAGCTAGTGAAGAACTAAATTTGAAAAGGGGTCGTCTAGAGTATTCGTTTTGAAATTTCTACAAGTCATTGACTTTGATGAAGTAAGGGCTGACGAATTGGCTTGGGGAGTACGGAGTTTGTGTTTGGCTTTGAGTCTTTTAACCAAATGATGATTATTCAATTCAGAGATCGATAAGATTATATATTGAAAAAAAATTGTTTATAGAAAATATTATTGACTGTGATATTAACTTATTTATAAAAAAATCAAGTAACAGCTTGAAAATTTCCCTCGTGCTCGCTTGATATGAATATTTCTTCTAGCTCTGGGAATAATACACAGTTGGAGACTTAATTCTGATTGAATAAAAACTTTAAACAAATTATTTTTTTTATATTTTCATTAGAAAATTAAGGCTATGGTCTTATAGTTGTATTTTTTTTTTTGACATCTTTGGATCGACAAGACCCGATCCATAGCCAATCCCTACTATGCGGGGTAACGCGACTGAGTGGAGTCGAACTCCGGTGGAAAATGCGGAGTCAAGTGATTAAGTCTACTTGACTAAAGGCACATCCCCGGTCTTATAGTTGTATACACGTCACATATTTTATTTATTTTTTATTTTTAAACGTCAGACGTACGTCACACATATTATCACACATGTAATATTAAACACATCGTCAAAACAATCCTTTACGTGACGAAAAAAAAAAAAAATCATTTACGTACAGTTAATTTTTTTGGAATATATTTAACCACTAAACCCAAAAAGATTTTTTTTTTTTAATCTCTACTCCCTCCGTTCTTTTATATTAGATGTTTTAGGAGAGTGTACACAGATTAAGAAATCATTTAATTTTTGTTTATTTCTAAACAAAAACATCATTTATTATCTAATCAACCAATAGAAAAATAATTTACATAATATAAATCATCAAAACTAATAAAAAACTACTCCATCCGTTTCGTTTTAGTTGTCGTTTAAGGTTTTTTCACACAAATTAAGAAAATCATTTAATTTTTTGTTTTACCCTTTATTAATATATTTTATAAAAAATTTCATTGGCCAAAACATTAAAACAGTAGGGATAAAACTGGAATCTTCACCAAACATTTGCATTGAAAACCTAAAACGACAACTATTATGAAACAAAATTTAAATCTTAAAACGACAACTAAACTGAAACGGAGGGAATAATTAATATTGTATTGAAAACTGAAAACATCATTTATTTAAAAACAAAAACAAAAACTTAAAATATCATTTATATAAGAACGGAGAGAGTAGTACTCAGTGATTTTCTTTGGCCGGCATTTAAGCGCACAGAAGTGGCCATCACTATCTATCATCCACTAAATTAAATGTCCATGCCCAAAATATGGAGACATTTTTAAATGATTTTTTTTTCATAATTTTATTCTTTTTGTCAAAAACATGCAATATGGTTATGGTTGTTCAAACACGTGTTGTCGTAACACATTGACATCACTAGTATATATACCATTAAACTTTTTTTTTTTAGATGTTAAATTATCATTACAAATTTACAATATTAATAAAAGGTTAATTAAATGGTACATGTTGAATAGGTCCGAACTTTCAAATAGTAACATTTCACATCAATCGTAAAAGAATGCATAGGGTAAAGAAGATACAGGTTGGAATAAGTCTGGAAATTTCAAAGATTAACATCTCACATTTTGTCTTGATGACTATAGGGTTTACACATTTGAACAAAACATGGATAACTTATCTTCTTCAACGATTCAATATTTTGCTGTTCTTATGCTCCTCTTTTACTTGGTCGTCTTTGGTGGTTAGAATCGAGTAGTACTCAGCTTTTTCACCGTAAACACCATCAAGAACCACATAAAATGTCATGATAAAGATTGTAAATACAACCAATAACAAGCTGAATTCGATGTTGATCAGTGACTTGGCCCTATGAAGAGCCTCTTCACTAGAACAACTAATCAGTTGGTGTTTTTTCTCTACGTAGAAAAAGCAACCCTTAGGGAGCAAACTTGGTGTAAAAAGCATGAAACCCATGACTATTAACCATGCTCCTTGACAGGCTATGCTTGATGATCTCACGAAGCTCACCAAAAAACTCTTGGGCATGGCAATACCCATGAGAGTGGTGATTAGAGAAACGAAGATAACAAGTTGGTAGAGCAAATGGTATTGTCCCTCAACGCCCTCGTGGTCGGTAGAGTGAAAATGGAAGACGAACAATTGCTGCGCGAATGCAGCTGCTAAAGCAAGAAACGTCAATGCTGAAGGTACAGAGTGGAACAGGACGCAGCTGTGTTACACAGGAATGTCTGGACACAAAAAGATTCCAGCAAGGAATGAAGATGACGTGGAGATAGCTTCAAATCAAAGAGAATATTCATTAGTTTATGAATAAGGATATTTTACATTTATTATGTGGTGTAAACGTGATCTCTTGTGAATAAAAAGAGAGACGTCACGTTAGGTTTAGTTAAGCCGTCAAGGAGAGAAAAACCAGAGAGGTTAAGCTTTTGAAAGAAAGAGAGTGATTCTTAGATTAGGTGTTAATCTAAGTGTCTCAAGTTCATTAGAAATTTATTGGTGTCGAACTAAGGGGTGTCTTAGTGTCGAGTAATTCCATTTAGGCAAAGCTTGGTGTAAGATTATCTAAACAATTTCTATTGAAAGTTATTGAGGATTAGGCACGTTGCCAAACCTCGTGAAATTGCTTGTGTGCTCATATTCTTGTATCAACAAATGCCTTAGCGGTTGCGGCTGCTCTAGGCCGTACTCGATCGAAGAGTATTGCAAAAACGGCATAGACTATGAAAGATATAAAGAGGATGGAATGTTCAACGCTACGGAGATGGCTCGACGGGATGGTTCCATCAGGGTCAAAGGGATTGTGTCTTTTGGGTCCAGTGAAGAGTTGTCGAACTGTGATGATTGATAGGCTGATCATGATAAAGTAAAGCTCTAAGTATCTGAGCTTGTGAGATGGGAACCATGGTGATGAAGAATAAGTATTTGGGTTGAGACAAAAGAGTTTTATGTTGTTGAATAAATGCCATACACCAACTGCCAATAAACCTATACCACTTCCAAGATGTCCCGCAGGTGATTCCATGTTTCTTAAGAGAGATTTAGGGACTTTGATTGTGATCACAAGAACTATTGATGAATTGGTTGGAATTAGTAAGAGTTGAGATCAATGAGTACTTAAAAATGTCCACAAGGGTCATATAGAGAAAGTTTATTTTTCTTGTTGTTGATAAAATATTACAACTTTGTTAGAAACTTAGAATCTTTCTTATATGAATGATTTAAATTATTCGTACGACGTTAAGATAACAAAAGTGAGCAACATGATTTATTTTACACGTCCAACTAAATGTCTAGCCAAAAGAAGTGAGCAACATGTTTTATGGCAAATCAAATTTAAAAGTAGATCAAAGGTCTATGTCAACAACTCAGGAGACAGTGACAATCTTAAATGATTTTTTTTCTTAGGGTTTTCATTATTTTCTTCGGATTTTTTTTTAAAAAATAAACGTTGAAGTTCCGAACTTTCCATATATAATGTTTTAGCATTCAGAGTCATTTTTCAGATATTCCGATTTAAAGAATAATCAACAATCTTCCATATATTCCTTCTTGGTTATTTTGTAATCACATCTAGATCATTGGGTCTAAGTTAGTCATTTTACTATTCGATTTCAGTCGATTTCCTGTGTTTCCAATAGACCATAAACTCTAAATCTACCTAAGATCTTAACTATGAAAAAGAGAACAAAAATATTTTGTATAAGAATCTCAAAAATAACTCGTATATTATATAATTAATATTCGTTTGGAAATCACCTTTGCAAAATTGTGTTAAAAATATGATTTGTGTAACCGGTCCAAAACATACAGCTACTCAACTGTCTACATTTAGTGTGAACTGTTTATGATTTTTTAAAATAAATTACAACATCTATAGTTCTATACCTCAAAAGTCAATGCTTCTAGACTAATTCTTAAAAGTCAACATTAAACTTACAACAATCCCAGCTTGTTGAACTATAGTTGCGTTTTCATCATTCGTTAGCAATTAAAAAATAATTTATAATTTGGAAGGACACCGTAAAAAGTATTCTGGTCTCTAGTCTTAGAGGATCTGCGAACCTAGGTCTAGATCACTTAGTCATTCTAGAAAGAAAAAAAATTGTAACTTTGATATCAAACGTATATTTGAGGTTGGTAAAAAAATTTCATAAAAATGACAGCTTGTATCATAAAAATAAAAAGTTCAATCTAAAATCAGATCCTCTATGTGGATTGATCCCTTAAGTGTTTTTTGATGTTGCTAAGAAATAGTCTCTAATTAGTTTTTTTTTTTTCTATAAATGTTGATATCATATAAAATAAAAAGTTTTGGCTTTACAAAAGTTTGGATTTGAATCCTTGACAAAAAAAAATAAAACAAGGAGACAAAAGATTTGGAAATCACAAAAGAGTGAGATCAAGTTAACCAAAGTTGCATTAGGTTGCGGTAACGCTTGCGCTTTATGTCTTGCGGTGATAATGTTTCGAATCTCTCTATCAATGATAATATCATATAAAATAAGTGTTTTTTTCTTACGTTGATTTCACGAAAAGAGACATTAAAGAGGTCTCTCTAACATATTCCATTCGCTTTAATAAATGTAATTTTACATTAATCCCGCAAACGTGACAAAATGTAGAACCTACCGTTTTCAATTTTATGGACTAATATATACAAAAAAGAATGAAAATCATAAATAGTCTTTGTTTGAACGTACGGAATGGAGCACGACAAGGGAAAGTGGAAGACTGGGTCCACGAACAATGGGCTTTTCTGGTGAAGTCAGGCCACGCCCCAAAAGTCAAGAACACTAGCACTATTAACAAATAAACATATACATACACTGTAGTTGGTAAGTTGGTAGGTAAACTACGACAAATTCATTAGCTTTCTTGCTAATAGTTAATTTAAAGACATGTCAAATTACGTATAAAAGGGTTCGTAATTGGTTGAAAAAAGTCTTTATGTTACATTTTCGTTGCATACACTATACAAAAAGAGACTGGAATGAAAAGAAAAAAAAATTCCGAAAAAAACAAGAGAAAGCGAATAAAGCAAAAGCGTGATAAATACTTGATAGAAAATGGCAGCCATTATGATACCGACTACAGAAAAGTAAAAGATACAACATTTTGAATTTACTAATGGACTCGTCCACCACCATAATGATTCAAAATTTCTCAAAATATGCTTAATTTACAAAGAATAATGGGCACAATCTCAAGAAAAGCTATTAAACTGAAAAATGATTATTTTTCAGTTTCTGTTATGAAAGAAAGAAAAAACAAGTTGTGAGTATGAATGACTTCACCGTAAATCATACGACTCGATGACGCAATGATTATGATAGTACTTCACACGCATCACACATGGAAATACACATCAACCTCCCACACATATTTAAATTAAATTTTTGTAAAATAAAACAAAAAATCTCGTCCATTCCCTAGTCAATGTTCTTTAACTACTTCACAAAAATAAAATATAAACGAATCCACAATTAAATAGTAGTAATAAAATCTTTCTTTCTAGAAAGATGTCCAAAACTCGACATCTATATTAATAACATCACACACCTTCTTGTTCTCTACACCTTTTATATAAACAAACCATCCATAGTTACCAAAGCCACAACAAAACACATGGCTAAGCTCATTTTCTTCCTCGCCGTCCAAATCCTCCTCCTCGCCGTGGTTTCTTCTGCCGGAGATGGCGAAGACTTCTTTAGAACCATGGACCGGAAACTTCTTGGTCTCCACAAAAAGGAGAAACTTACCCATTTCAAAGTCTATTGGCACGACATCTTAAGCGGTCCGAACCCAACCTCCATCATGATCCAACCACCGGTTACAAACACTTCATACTTTGGAGCCATCTCCATGATCGACAACGCTTTGACGGCCAAAGTTCCGATGAACTCCACGGTGTTAGGTCAGGCTCAAGGGTTTTACGCCGGAGCGGCACAAAAGGAGTTGGGTTTTCTGATGGCGATGAACTTTGCTTTTAAGACAGGGAAATATAACGGAAGTACGATCGCGATTCTTGGTAGGAACACGGCGATGTCAGAAGTCAGAGAAATGCCGATCGTCGGAGGAAGTGGGCTTTTCCGATTTGCTAGAGGCTATGTTGAGGCTAGGACAAAGTGGATTAATCTCAAGAACGGTGATGCTACTGTTGAGTATAGTTGTTACGTGTTGCATTATTGAGGTTAAAAATATTTTTGTCGTTTTTCTATATTTAATTTGACTACGCAATAAATAATGAATAAAACGGGATTTCAATCTATTGAGTTTTCTTAGTTCTTTTTTTTTTGTATTTGGTTCTATGGTGTGTGTGGTGGACGTTGTGTGGGAAGTGTTTGTAGTTTATAATTTATAATAATTATCTAGTTTTTTTTATTTTTCTTATGAGGAGATTTTGAAAATAATTTGGTGGTTTGAAAGATTTGATAATATATTTCATTTTAGATGTGTTGTTTATGTTTGGTTTGTTAAAGGGTTGTTTATGTTTTTGGACCGACATTCTTAGAGCAACCCCAATGGAAGACTTTTGATGGGTTTCTTAGTATAAAAATATTCAAAAAAATAGAAAAATAGGAGAAAGAAGTAAGAAACTCTAGAAATAGTTTATTAATTAAGGATTTTTAGAATCTCATAAGAAACTTTTGAAGGTACTTGTCTTTCTATGAGTGATTTATCTTGTTTTAAAAACTAAAATTTAATTCAATAATTTAATTTTATAAAAATATTAATAATTTAGTTTTTAGAAACTCAAATTAGATCTATCACCACCATTGAGGGTGCTCTTACGTGGTCGGCACCACAATTTTAAGGACCATTATAAGTTTAGACAAAAAAAAAAGAAAGAAGGACACATGATAACTTTAACAACTTAAGAGAAGTAAGAATGAAACCACATATAAAAATCTGAATTATTATAAAAATCTTGGAACTCTCAAGAGTATGGATGTTATACGTACTTTGCTCTAATAGTGGTCAAAGACCGAACACACAGTTTAAGGTAACTTGATGACTGATGCATGTTTGATCGTTCTGCCACGTGAAGGCCTGCCCAAACTCAAAGTAGTACGACCATACTATCCAACGATAAGTAACAATCTTGACTAGTGGAGTGGGTCTCGCTTGGTCGGGTTACTAGACCAAGAGAAAACCGAGTTCAAATGCTCGGTTAATGAAATTAAACATTAAGTTAAATTGTGCATTGACGCTAAGAGATTCATATTAATTAAACATTAAGTTAAACCGAGTTAAGTTTGCTACCTAGTGGACAGTGGCCGAACCATCTTTGACTTGCAATCCTGCGTACACGTTGTTTTCCGATGAACAACCTCTCATACGTTGACGTAATGACGTTTCTAACACAACTTCTCAACTTCTTACAAATTTGCATTGTTCTAAGAAAATAATAAAAATTATGCGACCACTTTATTTTAGGTTACATTAAGCTCAATAGTATTATTTGCTACCGATTAAATATCTTCGAATAGCAAAAAAAAAAAAATATCTTCGAATAGAGTTTGTTGATTATTGGAAAGACTTTTACATTGCAAGAAACATGCGTCTTTTCTCCTTTTCCTCCTCTATCCTCCATCTTTTCTTACCATAAAGCAAATTTATTTCTCATGTTTTAAGAGAAAAACACAAATTTATTCGTCTAAATCATTATAACACATTAACACGTACTACGTTTATCCTAAAAAGCAAAGACCAAAGGCTTGTTTTATGTAATTGGGAAAACGTACACTCAATTTATTATTAATTATGGGCAAAAAACCTTTAAAACAACTGATCTACTCTTCTTTTCTTCATTGTGAATTTGCAAAACGGCTAAAGCATTTAAAAGAAAAGAAAAAAAAAAAACTCAAATGGCTCCTTGGACCGACATATTGACAAATGCTGCTATTTTTGTGATAATCCAAGCTCTAGCGTTTCTGATAATCTTCACTTCTTCCGACATATTCTCCTCCAAGATCAAGATGAAGGCGAAGAAGAGATCTTTTGGTTTCAAACTCTCTCGTTCCATTTCGCATTTATTCGCTTTAACCTCCGATGATGTCTCTCGAGCTGACGAAGAAGAAGTAGCAGAAGAAGAAGCTTCCTTTCTCCTCTCCTCAAATCTCAATTGATTTCTATTACCAAGAACATTGGTTTGTATTTTCAGAAACTTGAGTTATCCACAGAAAAATCTTCGAAGTTTACTTTTCACAATGTATGGATCATGTCAATTTAAAGAAGGGTCTGATGATCTATGACTCATATGGTTAAGATCAGACACTACATTGACAACTGTAATCTAGCCAGCAACATTACACTGATCACTCAGTTGCTTATAAGTTATAACAACGCAAAAAGACAACTCGAAAATGAAAGAATTTAAGCAGTGAGTTTTAGGACCTGTTCTAAATTCAGGACCTTTCGGATTTGATAAGAGATGACAAGAACGATACAACCCGAGTTTTTGTTTACATTTCATGTCTTTATCCTACCCCAAGCTTGTTGTCATAAAGGCATCGAAATACCTGCAGTTTCAGATAAAAAAAAGGGTAACTTTAAAATGCATAAAGCTAAGCAACAAGTCCATATCAAATATAAGAATTCCATAAGATAAAAGACCAATGCCTGAGTCACAGATCAAGTACTAAACATGATGAATACGCCAATGTATTAAATATAACCAAAGCTGCTAATACAAGTATACTATAAGCCAACAAAGACAAGAATTTCAATCACAAGTAACAACAATCCAAGAATGTAAAAGTAGGCAAGAATTATCCTTGATATAGAGAACACATCGATCAAGAAGGTATCCATCAAATTTACAAACCGATTGAAAAGGCGATAACAGTAAGCAAAAAAGCAAACAAAAGTCTACCAAGCTCCTATATCACTGCCAAGTTAATTAGCTAAAACATACTTTCTCTATCAAGAAGGGATATCAGCGAGTATGATAACAGTCATTGGCACCACAAAAAGTCTAAAAATGGCACACGACACGAGGAATCAATACCGAGAAACAACATAATAATGTGAATCTTCTTGGTATGTAACAAGTCCTCTTCAAACTTCCATCTCAAAACAAACAAATGATATGAAGAGAGGAAAAAGAGTGACCTTGAGGAACTAAAGTCCAGCTCTTAGACTCAACAGACAAACTTGATATCAATCTGGCAGATGCTATAGCACTGTGTAGTGGCAACATCGATAGACAGCTACTTAGCTCCACTGGTAATCTGTTTTTTAACCATCCCATCAGAAGCAATTCACATCATAATCGCAGCTGATTTCCGAAAGCTTACTCATTTGCTGAGAGACACTGACCTAAAAGATTGATTGATACGAGTGGTTGCTGAGGATGGAGATGAAGATTTAATGGGAGAGGGTAAGGAGGAAGCGTGAACATTCGTCTTGCTAAGCTTCTGGGTTAAAGAATGAATCTTTGATGATAATCTGCAGATTTTAGAAGAAGACGCCATTGGAACATTCAAGTCAAAGAGATGAGATCGGACGATTTAGGGTTTAAGGGTGTTTCTGGGGATTTTAACGGGTCGGGTCAAACAGATGGCTGGATTATCCAATAAGGGGGAGACTAATTAAAACGTCGTCGTTCTTATTATTATTATTTTTTTTTGTCGTCTAGATTTATTATTAATTGCAAATTATGAGAACTGAATTCTTATTATCTTCTAAGAGCTAGAATAATAACTAAAGTCTTTCTATGCATTTATAAAAACGACTTTCTTAAAATGAATAAATTTTACATTCTCATATAAGAAAAAAAGAAATGTTACAAAGCCATTGAAGCCTAATTGACTAAATGAGGCTAAACACACAGAACCAAGTTTGCATCAAGTAAGCCCATAATTTAAATTTTCAGCCCATAAGTTAATTTTTGAGCCCATGAAGATAACACATCTGAGAATTTTATAACTTGTTTTCTAAATGTGTTCTTAATTGTTTAAACCGTGTTTAGCAAAACAAGGATACTATTGAAATTTTTAAATAAGACAAAACAAGGTCCGAGAGTCCGAGACAATGAACCGCCTTGAATGGTGAACACATAAAACTTGTCAACTTTGATCCCTAATATACTCTGAACTAAACATGCCACACACACATACACTAAACTAATCGCTCTAATTATAAATTAGTACATGGTTTTGTAACCCTTGCAAAACTTAAATTTTTGTCTTTTACTTAGAAATTTGAAATAATAACGGGTGATTAGCACCAGACATTAATTTAATCGTTGTCGCGTACATAGCAGTAAAGCACATCGCCCAAAGCGGACAGCCGCCACTAAAACGTTAATTATGTATCTACTCGATTAATTAATTTTTGTTAAGATTTTATATTTTTCTAAATGATTTTACGTTAAAATTATTAAATTCCATTAATTTTAGCATCTCAAGAAGTGTGACAAGACGAGACTACTGATAACAGCCGTAAATATTTAACAATCGTAGTGTGTGTGATTGACTGGTCGGAGAAACGCAGCGTATTATGGTCCTTGTGATGGTGACAGGTCTAAAACTCTATCAATCACGCACACAAGACTAGATACACAAAAAAAAAAAAAAAAACAAGATACACAAATTTGAACTATTTAAAGGTTGATGATATTGTTAGAGCAAACGCAGTGGAGTATTTTCTATGCGGGTGTGAGGATTAAAAAAAAATATATATATTCAAATAGTTGGTATCCGGATGTTAACTTACAACTTATTTGGCTTGGGTGTGAGATTACATGGCAGGCTGTGATTGGCTAGTTGTGAGAAAGCAAGAAAAAAAAATAATTTCTCGGAGTCTTTTTCTCTCTCTTCATTAAATTTCTAACCTTATTTTACTAATTTAATTTGCCTAAAGATGTATCTTCCAACTTATACCACTGCCTATGCTCTTATCATACATTATTTCTGTTATCAGTCTGATATTGTTATTTGATTAGCACTAAAAAGAGGTTTAATCACTTAACTACTCCTCATGAAACAAAGAAACATTGAGAATGAGAAGATACAAGATTAACTATTTTTAATTAGAAAGATAAATTTGTATTATTAGTTTATTATTATTACAGAACTCATTGGATCGTTCATGTTAACTTATTACTAATATACAGAGAGTGATTTAAGGGTTTTTGGATCACAGTGTTGACAAAATCAAGAACACTACAAAGCTGCTTTTTATAACATTTTCGCGCTTTTCTGCTTGTTTGTATCTGAGTCAGCATTTATGCTGCTTCTTCTCTAGATTTTATACACTGTCTTGTTTCTATCTCTATAAACGTGCTTTTGATGTTTAAAGCTGAAAACTTCCAATTCAGACAAAACATAGCCATATCTATGCTTCATGTTATTATGTAAGATGATACAAATTACTAAACGTTCTGTTTCACTTGTGTCCTTCTTCCTTATCTCTTGCTCATTTTCATGGCGGTGAAATATATGAGTGCTTATCTTGGTGAGAAATTTCAGAATATTTATTTGAATAATGTCCTTGCGATGCAGTTGTACACATGATTGATGATAATATAATACTAGTATTTTTTTGTTTATTTTAGTAACGATTTAATTTAATGTATCAATCTCTTTCCATTGCTAGATTCTTACTGCAAATCTAGTCTAAAGGGTACTACTACTTATTTTGGCAGTTTCCGTTTCAAAAACTCATTTATCTCATTCTCTTTTTGTAGGTGTGATTTTGAAGATTGGTAGATTCTGATGAAAGCAGATCAAAGCAGAGACATTTGAATTGTGTTGCCTTTTCTTTTGTTGAAAGGGTTTACTTTGACTCAGTGATTTGAAAAAAAAAGAGAGGATAGATTTGACATTTGAGTGATTGGATTGAGAGGATTAGCATCTCTTTGGATCTTTGGGAGATTTTCAGCCTAAAGTTTCAGTTCTTATTGAAAGGGTACAAGGATTTTTTGATTAGATTTACTCCAAAAGCTGGTTGGGAATCTCAAAAGTGGGATTTTTTTGTTCAGGGTTTTGTATTTTGTGTTTTGAAGTTTATGTGATTCAGTGAGTGAGAGTGAGAGGTCTTGTCATGTCTATCAGTTTTGTATGCATGTGCAAAACCAAGCATTCTGTGTTTGGTCTGATTTTGTCTTGATTTCCAACTTGCCATAATAATGCAATCATATCTACAGAATCTATCTCTCCTGGAAGCTACATTATCTCTAAGGATCATCTAGAAATCAAGAGGAGTCTAGAGAATTGTTCTTGCAACAGTCTTAAATGAGCAGAGAGAAACAGGAGAAGAGATCAGGTTCTAATGGGACTGAGAAGGTTCTTGTTGCTGTTAAAGCATCTAGGGAGATTTCAAAGACAGCATTGGTTTGGGCTTTGACTCATATTGTTCATCCTGGAGATTGCATTACTCTGATTGTTGTTGTCACTTCTCATAATGCTGGTACTTTTTCTTCTTTGCTACTAAATCATGAAGATTACTTACTTTGGTCTGTTTTATTCATTATCCTTGTTTGTTTGTTTTTTTATGATGAAATTGTTAGGCCGAAAGCTATGGACTTTCCCGAGGTTCGCTGGAGATTGTGCTACTGGTCATCGGAAACTGCATTCTGATGCAATTCCTGAGATAAAGAGTGATCTCACTGATACTTGTTCCCAAATGATTCTCCAGCTTCATGATGTCTATGATCCAAACAAGGTTATTATATAGTATTAATTAGGCCATCATCAAAATAATGATATTCTGAAACATCAAAAGTTCTTCTCATGCTTGTTTCTTTTGTGTGTTATTTGAAAGGTTAATGTCAGGATCAAGATTGTTTCTGGATCACCATGTGGAGCTGTTGCGGCTGAGGCCAAGAAATCACAAGCAAATTGGGTAGTTCTGGATAAGTAAGTAAATAATAATCTGAGTTCATTCTTCAGTTCTTTAGTTTTTACTCTCCTTGTGTGGTTGAATGATTCTTTTACAGGCACCTTGAGCATGAAAAGAAACGGTGCATAGATGAGCTACAATGTAACATTGTGGCAATGAAGCGTTCTCAGGCAAAATTTCTGCGCTTGAACTTGGTCGGGTCACCAACGAAGCAACCAGTATTAGCATCTGAAAAAAACAAAAACAAGTTGTTAGATTCTGTTAAAGCGGTTGTTACATCAACTCCAATGAGCAGTCCTGAGGTTGAGACATCATTCACAGGAACAGAAGTTGGGACTTCATCAGTTTCTAGCTCTGACCTCGGAGCATCATCACCTTTTTTCACAGCTGAAGTGAAAAAGGATGAAACTTTGGCCATCAAAGAGAATGAATCTGATTCTGATTCAGAGAGCGAAAATGTATCACTACCTTCCACTAGTATGAGATTCCAGCCATGGATATCAGAATATCTTGGCACTCATCGCCTCTCATTGCAGGAATCCGAGGAGAGTCTGTGGAAAACTGATGATAAGGCTGCTCAAGTATCATCTAAAAAGGCTTTTCTTGAGAAAATTTCTAAGGTTGATGAAGGAGAAGAATCAGCAATGTCAAGTAAAAGGAATGACTTGGAGGAGTTTAGTGGAACCTTAAGAGAAACAATTTCCTTATCACGAAATGCTCCTCCTGTTTCTCCTCCTCTATGTTCTATCTGTCAGCACAAAGCGCCTGTATTTGGAAAACCGCCGAGGTTTTTCTCCTACAAAGAGTTAGAGCTTGCAACAAATGGGTTTTCTCGAGCTAATTTCTTGGCAGAAGGTGGATTTGGATCTGTTCATAGAGGTGTATTACCTGAAGGCCAGATTGTAGCAGTAAAGCAACACAAACTGGCTAGTACACAAGGAGATGTAGAGTTTTGCTCTGAAGTAGAAGTTTTGAGCTGTGCTCAGCATCGAAACGTAGTTATGTTAATCGGTTTCTGCATCGAAGATACCAGAAGACTCTTGGTCTATGAATACATATGCAATGGATCATTAGACTCTCATCTATACGGTAAATCTCATGTAAAATTCAAGTTGGTTAACCTAAGAAACTCTTAACTAGAGTTGACTGACTAACTTCCATGAAATGTCTATTCAGGTCGCCATAAAGACACTTTGGGATGGTCTGCAAGGCAAAAAATAGCGGTTGGAGCGGCTCGTGGTCTTCGGTATCTTCATGAAGAGTGTAGAGTGGGTTGCATTGTTCATAGAGACATGAGGCCTAACAATATACTAATAACTCATGATTATGAACCACTGGTATTTATATGTTCTTCAACAACAGTTTACGCATTTTTTTGGTGTCTACACTAGTTTGATTCTGTTTTTGTTTCTCTTTCAGGTTGGAGATTTTGGTTTAGCGCGATGGCAGCCTGATGGAGAGCTCGGTGTAGACACGCGTGTGATAGGAACTTTCGGGTAACAAATTATAGAACTAAATCACCATTCTCTAACTATAGAGTACAATTTTCTCAACTACTTTCTGTGTTTCTTTAGGTATTTAGCTCCAGAATATACTCAAAGTGGACAAATCACAGAGAAAGCTGATGTTTACTCATTCGGGGTTGTATTGGTTGAACTAATCACGGGTCGTAAAGCAATGGATATCTACAGACCAAAGGGACAACAATGTTTAACTGAATGGGTAAATCAAAACGTTTCTTCGTTTTTAAGGTTTCTTAGCTCATTTTGAGTCTCATTTTGTTTTTGTGAGCAGGCAAGGTCTTTATTAGAAGAGTATGCAGTTGAGGAATTGGTTGATCCGAGGCTCGAGAAGCGATATTCAGAAACCGAAGTCATTTGTATGATTCATACAGCTTCATTGTGTATACGTAGAGACCCACATTTGCGTCCTCGTATGTCTCAGGTAAAGAAAAGATCACCATTCTTGAAACATGAAACATGTTTTAAGTCAATAAACTTTGGTCTATTTTGTTGAAGGTGTTGCGTTTATTGGAAGGAGATATGGTAATGAATGAAATCTCAGGCAGGTTTAACGGAGATTGAGAAAGGTCTCAGAGGTCATAACTAATGCAGAGATTGATCACTTTCTTTTTGTAGGATCAATACAAGGATTTTGTGTAATCAAAGTCCTCTCTTAATTGACAATTATGGTTTCTAGTGGCTTTATCCAAAAGTGATTAGTGTTTGTAGTTATAAACTTTTGGGTTTGATAATCATGTAGTAATAAAGAGTAAATTAACCAACAAAACATATACTCAAGTTTTCTCAAATCACACCAAAATGATCAGTAACAAACAAAAAACAAGCACAACAAATTTGGTAATTATGACGAAGGGTATGACATAAGCCCTGAAGATTCAGAAACCGCCGCAGCTTCTTCATCAAGAAACAAATTATCACTTCTTCTAACCGCCGCATGAATCAGAACCAACACGGCGGCGGTTAACAAAGATCCCAGAATATTCGACGTAGCGTGAGTCAACAAAAGCATCACAACCGTGAAAACCGATAAACCAATGAGAACCGTCCGATCATCAATCTGATAACCGAAAACCACAAGAGGCTCGTCACGGAGGAAATAGAGAAAGATCCAGAAGACGACCAAGATTGATAACACGATTAACGACGTTGGGTGATAGAGAAGGCTTAGGAAGAGGATGAAGAGAACTCCGATGGCGTAATTAGCTCTGAAATAGCCGAGATTCGTTTTGATTCTCGAGATCGCGTCGAAGAAACCGTGTGGGAGAGTCATTGATTCGAAATCGAACATCGATTTCCATGGCCGGCGCGTGGCCAGACCGGATTTTATACGGTGTTTGGCGCGTGAGATGTATTCGAGATCTATCGCCGGTGATGGATGAGACGACGTCGGAATCGCGTTGTAGTTCGTCATTTCGGAGAGAGAAGAGAGAAACGAAGCTAATTTTCTTCTTTTTTCCTTTTTGTTATATATAAATTGCTCAGTGTCCCTATGGAATGGTGCTCATAAAATGTCACATGGATAAAAGTTGTTTACATAAGGGTGACCAATAAATACATGAATGCTTGTATACTGTAATAAATTCTATATATAATTTATAAATTCCAAATATTACACGATTTTTTCTTTGTTTTAGCACTAATTTGTTGTGGTAATATTGGTATTTTCAAGTGGAATTATAATTATTTACCTAATATTATGTAAATTTTATTTGAGAAATATAAAAATCGTATGTGTTTAACAGTCAGCATAATAGAGAAACTTTTTTTTTTTTTGTCATAAGTGTGTTAATTTTTATTGAGCCAAAACGGAGCCATTACAAAAGTTAACATCAAACATCAAAGCCAAGAAGGGAAAAATTGAATCTCTCACTTAACCCTCGTCCCAGGAACCTTTACACTTAACGCGCGACCCGGCGGAGCCATGAGTGCAATCTAGTCCCGAACTTCCCGAACTTTTAACTCGGAGTCACCGAGCATGCTTTATGAATCAAACATAACAAACACAAAATATAAACTAACAAAAAGCCCAAACCAAGCCCAATTAGGAAAAACTAATCGAGAAGAGTAGAGGAGGTTGACATCCAGCGTAGAAAACACGAGTCGATAAAGGACCAAAGCACATGACACGTGTGAAGAAGAAGAACTGTTGTTCGCCGTTCATCGCCGGCTGCTTTTTTCCGACTTCATGGAGCTCCTAACCACACCAGAATTTTCAATTCAACAGGTTCATATCAGGACTCCAAGAAGGAACTTCATCTTCAATAATCTACAATCTTCTCATCGAAATAGAAAAGGCTCAGATCTGGAAAGTAAAGAAAAAAAACCAAACCGATCCGATAGTATTAGAAAAGAAAATCCCCAAATCAACTCAGTTACTTAGAACATCAATACCAAACAACCATCGATGAAACTTCAATCTGTAACTCAAATCCTCTCTTAAAAGATGAAACAAATAGGCTTGAAGAAGGGATTAAGCCCTTTAAAGAAAGGAGGACCAGAGAATTATACAAACGATGGAGGAGATATAGACATAAGCAATCAAGAAGAAAAAGGTAATTTAAAATCCTAATAATCGGACACTAAACGGAACTTAAATCCGGCCAAGAAACCAGAGAGAAACCCGGCCAAAGACGTCGGGAAAGGCCCGACGAGACAAGAACGAGAGTATCTTGCTCTCGGGAGATAAGCCAGCCAACGCCGCTAAAAGTAGCCGGTCGATGCCGGAAGCTAAGCCAGCCAACGCCGCCACAAGTGACAGACGATGCCAGAAGATGAGCCAACCAACGCCGCTGAGAAAGCCAGCGATGCCGGACGATAAGCCGACCAAACGCCGCTGATAAAACCGGTCGTTGCCGGAAAGTAAACTCTGAACCTGCTTTTTCTCTCTAAAAGATGTAGAGAGAGAAGAGAGAGAAAGAGGTTCAGAGTTACAAATTTTATCCACAATAGAGAAACTTTCTTAGGAAAATGTACGACATATATTCTCTGTCATTTCAAAATATAATCTAATTAATAAAAAAAAATCTAATTAATTACTTGTAAACAGCATAATTTTATTAACAAGAACGATTAGTTTTTTTTTTTAATTCACTATTCGTTCATAAAAAAAAAACAGCGACCGAGTGGTTTCTCTGGCATCGCTTTATTGCTGCACGTGGCTTATCCTACAAATATTTACAAAGACCACCAGATATTTTCATGGTTTCTCCATTTTAGTCCCAAACGTTTGTTTTAATAAAAATTAACACATTGCTTTTTAAAATTTCTAGTGTTGAAACCAAAGACGAAGGCTTGATTTGTAGTCAAAGACACTTCACCTTCATATTTTTGTCATATACATGGTTGAATGTTTTCTTTAAGATTGTCCATGGAGAATCCTACAAGTTTTACCAAAAACATTTACAAATATATATATGATGGACACAACCTTGTGCATAATGTTATCGACCAGCTTCAAGCACATATTTGAGATTCGCAGAAATTTTTCTCTCAACTCTTAAGATACATTTTGAATAAAAGAGAATATGGAGCTTGAAGAACAGAAGAAGTTCTTCCATGGAACACTTGAGATTACAATCTTCGATGCAACACCATTTTCTCCTCCATTTCCTTTCAATGTAAGTCTGTAACATATGATGGATTAATGACTCTGATGATATTATCGTTGTGTTCATTCTCATGAACTATTGTTATCATTTTTACAGTGTATATGTACAAAGCCAAAAGCAGCTTACGTGACCATCAAGATAAACAAGAAGAAAGTTGCTAAAACAAGCTCAGAATACGACCGTGTCTGGAATCAGACTTTTCAGATCCTCTGCGCTCACCCGGTTTCTGACACGACCATCACCATCACGCTCAAGACTCGATGTTCTGTTCTCGGAAGAGTCCGGATCTCTGCAGAACAGATCTTGACATCTGATTCAGCAGTTATCAACGGGTTCTTCCCTCTAATTGCAGACAATGGGTCAACGAAACGTAACTTGAAGCTTAAGTGTTTGATGTGGTTCAGACCGGCTTATCTTGAACCGGGATGGTGCAAAGCGCTTGAAGGAGATTCTTTTCAAGGTATTAGGAACGCAAGCTTCCCTCAAAGATCGAATTGCAGAGTCATACTGTATCAAGATGCACACCACAAGGCCACGTTTGATCCCAGGGTTCATGATGTTCCTTTTAATGCAAGGAATCTATGGGAAGATGTTTACAAAGGGATCGAAAGTGCTAGGCACTTGGTTTACATCGCAGGATGGGCACTAAACCCTAATCTTGTTCTTGTACGCGACGAAGAAACTGAGATTCCACATGCAGTTGGAGTAACGATTGGCGAGCTTCTGAAACGGAAATCAGAGGAAGGTGTAGCGGTGAGAGTAATGTTGTGGAACGACGAGACATCTTTACCGATAATCAAGAACAAAGGTGTAATGCGAACAAACGTCGAAACAGCTCTTGCTTACTTCAGAAACACAAATGTTGTTTGTAGACTGTGTCCAAGATCGCACAAAAAGCTCCCTACAGCGTTTGCGCACCACCAAAAGACAATAACATTAGATACACGTGTGGCAAACTCAAGCACTAAGGAGCGAGAGATTATGAGCTTCCTAGGCGGGTTTGATCTTTGCGATGGTCGGTATGACACGGAGGAGCATACACTGTTTCGTACACTCGGAACAGAGGCTGATTTTTACCAGACAAGTGTAGCCGGAGCTAAGCTAAGTAAAGGCGGACCAAGAGAGCCATGGCACGATTGCCATGTGTCTGTGGTCGGAGGAGCGGCTTGGGATGTTCTAAAGAACTTCGAACAGAGATGGACGAAACAGTGTAACCCTTCGGTGTTGGTTAACACTTCAGGGATCAGAAACTTAGTAAACCTAACCGGACCTACGGAGGAAAATAACCGGAAATGGAATGTTCAAGTTCTGAGATCAATAGATCACATATCGGCAACAGAGATGCCAAGAGGTTTGCCGGTAGAGAAGAGTGTACATGATGGCTACGTCACGGCAATTCGAAAGGCTGAGAGGTTTATCTACATTGAGAATCAGTATTTCATGGGAAGCTGTGATCACTGGGGGAGCAAGAACGATAAGTACGGATTTTTTTTAATCGAAACTATTAAATATCCATTGCGAGATTCTGATCTGATTTAGTATTTCGTTTTTTGATATATAGAATCTGCAGCGGATGCACAAACTTGATACCTGTCGAAATAGCGTTAAAGATTGCTGCTAAGATACGCACAAGGGAGAGATTTGCAGTGTATATAGTGATACCGATGTGGCCGGAAGGGCCACCAGAGAGTGAAACGGTTGAAGAGATACTTCATTGGACGAGAGAGACGATGTCAATGATGTATCAGATCATTGGAGAGGCGATATGGGAAGTTGGAGACAAGTCGCATCCTAGGGATTACCTAAACTTCTTCTGTCTTGCAAACAGAGAAGAGAAGAGAGACGGAGAGTTTGAAGCAGTTTCGTCGCCCCATCAGAAAACGCATTATTGGAATGCGCAGAGGAATCGGAGATTCATGGTCTATGTCCACTCCAAGCTCATGATAGGTAACAAACAATCCGCAATTCACAATCTGAAATGAAAAAATATTGAAGATTTGTTAACCTTCCACAAATTATAAGCACTTAAGATTCAAATCACAGAGATTGTCATATGTTTGTAGTGGACGACACATACATTTTGATAGGATCGGCCAATATAAACCAGAGATCAATGGATGGTTGTCGGGACACCGAGATTGCAATAGGTTGCTACCAAACCAATACAAACAACACCAAGGAAATCCGAGCTTACCGGTTATCGCTCTGGTATGAGCATACCGGTGGCCAGATCACGGCAGATGACTTATCATCGTCAGAGCCAGAGAGTCTTGAATGTGTCCGAGGGTTACGGACAATAGGAGAGCAAATGTGGGAGATTTACAGCGGAGACAAGGTCGTGGACATGCTCGGTATCCATTTAGTCGCCTATCCGATTAGTGTGACAAGAGATGGTGCAGTTGAGGAAGTCGGCGACGGTTTCTTTCCTGATACCAAGACCTTGGTCAAAGGAAAAAGGTCCAAGATGTTTCCTCCTGTTCTAACCACCTGAAAAAAATGTCCGAATCAGAATCATTCTTAGATCATAACTTGCAATACATATGAATAAATAACATTCAGCCTGTTGATTATGATGATACGTGCATATAAATGTTTAATTATGAGAGGGTGTATTTAGTGATTAACACACATACTGGTTTTTGTTATAATTATAACCATTCGTGTCCCTCTGTCGGTTCCAACTTGTAGATGAATGGTTTTTTCAAGCTTTGTCGCCTGTAACAAGGAGAAGAATAATCAAAACCTGTATAGACCATGAAATGAGCAGCTTTTAATAGCTAACGTTAATGCAAAGCATACAATGCTACGTGACTTAGCAGACTGGATCTCTACATCTAATGTCTAAAAGGTGAACCGGTATGGAGCTTGCAGAAGAATCTTTTCCTATTTGCGTCCAAACTCATCTAATGGCTAAATAACAAATCTCTCTTTTTTCGCATCGTGTACTGTTCCAAGAAGATTCACACTACTGGAAACTTGCATATTTGCAGCACGGTACCAATTCCATATCTGGAGTAACAACTCTGTTCTTCCTCAGAGATTACAGTTCCAAATGAGGGTAAACATTTCTGAAAATGTAAGTCGTTTATAACTCACTCTTAAGCTGCAAAGTTCTCAGAGTCTTCAGAAAAGTAAGAGGGGAAGTAAACTAAGTACCTCTAGATTTATATCGACTACAACCTTTCATCCTGGTAAAACATACACCTAATTTCAGATCAATTTAAAGCCTTAAAACTTAAAACCACAGAAATAGGCTAGTCGCAGTCAACTCCAGGATAAAGTGAGCTAATTCTATGTATTTCTATAAAACCTTTGCCTTAATTAACCATGGGTAAGATAATCCTTTCCATCAATTCTAAAGAACTTTGCTTCCGTGCTACTCCAGAAACCAACGTAGTGAACCCTCTTCAAGAACAGCTACTTCTCCATCAGTCCAGCATCATCAACATTATCTTCTTTCTATAGATACTAATGTGAAATCTAGACAAGTCTCACAAATCCTCTTCAACCTCCAGTGTCGCAAGCTCTACAGAGAATCCAAGGTCTAAGTGGCAAAACTAATGATGCGGACCTAGATTAGGAAGAAGATGAAACTGTGTTTAGCTAAGTATCTATATGCAAAAACCACAGACATAAATGAAGATCTATATGCCAAAAAGAAAACGATAGCTAACCTCTAGAGGATACAACCAGATAAAAAATAAAAACTTCCACATATGGAAAGTTTTGTTAGAAAGATGCTATACCTGTCTCCAGACTCGGTAGAAAGATCGTTTTCCGTAAGGCACATCAACATCCTTTAGAAAGTGCATACCCGAAAAATGGATGTAGTATCAACATAGTCAACAAGAACATTGGCAATCTCTTCATGTATGGAAAAATTCCTTTCTCTGGAGGCAAACTAACTCAAAGGAGACAGAGAAGGTACTCTGAAACTATAGATTTCTTCTTAAGAAAGTTGCTGCTAAATGCTTCCTTGCTGACAAATTCCACTTACGAATGCAGCTTGTGCCCCTTCAGAGACATACTGTTCATCTCTCCAAGCAACTCCTAGGACCTCAAACAAGACATATCAAGGATGCACCACCGTAAAATCCTATCTTATTTGCTAAACTGCACCTGAACGAAGAGTTTCTCTTCTGCTCATCGTGAAAGCTCCAAAACTAAGATATAAAATTCTGCATCAGAGTATCTACTCTAGACGTTTCAAACTAGTATCGAGCAATTCTGCGCACTCCATCAACGATGTTCTAATAGAATAGTTATAAGCTGTCTGCCCACCTTCAATATTTGCAGAAAGCAAGGAATTATTATGGTTCAATGATCCCAGCTCAGATCTTCGCAGATAATTCCCAGCTCGCGGCAACCTGTTGGCCCGTCTATCAGAGAATGCAGAAGTCTCAAAAGCTGTTGAGACATTCAGATTACTCTGTAGACTGATTACTATGTGTTTTGATGAAGTAACTCCATGAAAAGTCGCTTTGATTTGTCTTCTATTGATCCATCTGTCCTCAATGAGTTGGAATCTTCACCCGGCCTTCTAACTTCTGACCTCATTTTATGTTCTTTAGGATCGATATTCAATCTGTGGAATAGAGATTCAGCCCATTCACCTGCTACTGCTAGCTATGCATCAGCTCCTGACCAGCGTCCATCCATGGGTTCCAACCGTGAAAATTAGTGGTTCGCCTAATGGCACAAGATGAGTTTGATGGTGGAAACAAGGAGTAAATTCTTCGAATCCATTAGATGATTGCACGTGAGGAGTAACGGTCATGAAACTCCAGACCCTGACCAAGTCCAAAATCACTCACAGCACCTAGATTCAGTCCTATTGCAGTCACAGCTAAGATGCTGATCACTCAAACACTGCTCAAATAATCCCTGTTGAAGGTTTTTTGAAATGAAATATCCCGCTCATATTAATCCATATGACCCTCAAAGCCTTTTCTTAGCTGCTGCCGATGGAAGTCTGTTAGCCAGATCCCAGCAGGGCGTCACTGGTGAATCCCAAAATGAGTTCTGAGAAGCTACTCACTATGGTCAGATGGCCATAGAGGATCAATATGTCTCTGTTCCTCCAATAGTGTATTGTGCCTCATTCCCTTTACCAATTGAATCAGCATTGACACTACAAACCTGAACTTGAATAAGCAAGCTCGAGAAAATTCAATGAAAAAACGCTGCCTCCTGACACAATCCAGAAATGGAAGTCATTCCAGTGTTTCCACTTCTTCTTAATTGAGCTTCTCCTATAGCCTTTAAATATAGCCGAAACAAACATAACACTGCTACACAAAAACAGTGGTCTGTGGTACTGCTACCTCTTTTTGCTTCTAGCAACAAGCAATTGCAGCTTGAGAGTTCCTCCAAAATATGGCCACAGTAAACAACTTTCGCTCAAATCTCTTTTAGACCAAGTTTCTAAAGCCTATAACCCCTTTAAAAGGTGTTGGCTCGGCAGATCTTTATAAATTCAAATAATGAGAAGGAAGGAGTCTGGGATGGAAGCAAAAGGAGAGTATCCTTTCCTCTTATTAGTGCCAGTATGATTTCTCAAACTTACTGGCACTTAGAGTCCTCTGGGGTATCTATCCGAGGGATTATCTTTTACAAATAATCAAAACCAGGGTGTAACAAATACGAGCATAAGAATAAGAAGGATAATAGAACACAACTAATAGCAAGCAAGAAGAACCAAATCGTCAAATTATTGAAATAAGAAGGAAATAGATCAGCCATCTAGGTTTGGCTAAAAAAGAAAAGAATAAAAAGCCATCTAAGTTACACAACTATTACGCTTTATTGAGAAAGCAGAAGAACTAACATTTAGATTTAGAGTAGATGCATACCCACAAACAACCAGAGGATTTTGAGAAGTGGGCTATTTAGACGTCACCTCATTCTTTTTCCACAAATCATTAATAGATTTCAATGACGATCCAAACGAGGTTTCTTCTGCGAGCCAGACCCATGGCTGTAATATTGACTCCTTTCCGAAGATCCCTAAGAAACAAGAAAAAGAATGCAGACGTGTCAAAGTACAAGTCCACAATATAGATCAAATTACACCAGAATGTAAGCATGACTTTACCAAATAACTATCGTTTTCACCATAAGAACCACGGAAAGTGCCATCCATATTGTTGAAATTCATCCCATACGATCCACCTGGACGCATAACATATCACAACAAAGCAGTTAGCGGCTGAATGAAAATACAAAATGTTTCCAAAAAAAAATCTAGGATCATACCAAAACCCCAAGGCCTACTATCAACAGTAGCAAGTTCTGCTCGTAGCTTTTCAACTTCACGGGCCATAGAAACCATGTTCTTTTCCATTGTCTGCCGCTGCTCCATAAGCTCAAACTTTTCCTTCTTCTCATAGTCAATTGCATCTCTAAAGAAAAAGAAAAACTCCTTTCAGCATTTACGACCGAAACCAGATGTTTAGCACTAAAATACCTAACTAACCTAGCATGCATAAGCTCCTTCTGCAGGTCTTTAACCTCAGCTCTCATACCCGGAATCTGCTTGTTATCTGATTGCAATTTAGCCAAATCTTTCCTAAGCATCTGAACATTTCCACTTAATTCACGTTTAATCTCATTCAGCTTCTGAACTTCACCACGCAACTGCGACGCCTCCTTCTTATACGACTCCATAGCGCGAACATCCCCCTCAAGTTTATGCCTTTTCTCACTAAACTCCATGGACTGCAGATCTTGCTCAGCACGAAGATCAGAAATCATCAGATTCATACGGTGAAGCTCTTCTTTAGCAGCAACGAGTTCTCGCTCCAGAACCATTCGGTCGTCAGCTAGTCTATGATTATCATTCAAAAGCCTTCTAATTTCAGCATCCTGAATCTGAAGATCTTCTAACAAAGATGGTGGTGGAGGTTGTAACAATGGAGGGCCTCGGAGAAAAGGTCTCTCCGGAGGTAATTCACGCCGATCATGATAACTGTCTCGGTGAATCCGGTTTCTTCCAGACATTCAGAATTACCTTCTCAATCCCAAAAACAAAAAACAGCAAAATTCAACATATATACCCAATTCATGATCGATTTCACAGATTTGAAAATTGAAACGGAATCAAATAAATAATGAAATTGTGAAATAGACAAAGAAAAAAAAAAAGAGTCAAAACCTTTTCTTCTGTTCTGCTACACAGAGCGGATATCGTCTTCTACCTTGAATTGCTATGAACAAGGTTAACTTTAAGTTGTCTGCGTGGAAACGACGTCGTGTTGAGAGTCCTCCGTTTGGGCCTTAAATGGGCTTTAAAAATTTAAATAAATGGGCTATCCTCAGTATGTACATGTGAAGTCAATTAGGAACAATTATTTGGACGGTTGCTTAAAAAATTCGCCTAAACACCACCAAATGCTCAAACCTTATTAAACGCAATTTTGTAATATGCACTGTATTTCTTTCTCTTCTGTCAGTAGTATTCGACTATTTGGTTTTGATTTGATGATGTTGAAGCTCTTCAAGATTTGTTTTGAGAGAAAAAAAAAAGCTGAGAAAATCAAACCTAAAAAGCTCAAAACAAATTAGTCTTTTAAGGTTTTATTTTTAAAATCCTAATTTCGTTAGAAGTATACAAAAAAACACCCGACATCCTAATAATTGATACTAGCAATAAGGAGAAAGCATCCTCATATCCACCTAAACAACAAGTGCTCAAACTCAAAAGCAATAATGGAAGTTCTTGAAAATGTTTCTCCAATTTTATACTCCCTCCGTTTCGTTTTAGTTGTCGTTTAAAGTTTTCTCACACAAATTAAGAAAAACATTAAATTTTTTGTTTTACCTTTTATTAATATATCTTATAATTTTTTTCATTGGCCAAAACATTAAATTAATATGGATAATACTGGAATTTTTACCAAACATTTGCATTGAAAACCTAAAATGACAACTATTACGAAACAAAATTTAAGTTCTAAAACGACAACTAAAACGAAACGGAGGGAGTATTAATTATGTATTAATTGTTTTTTTTTTTTTACTTTTTTATTTCTTTCTCTTAAGGAGCCAGGATTGAGCGATTTTCCTCTTTTGATTTTTGATTTTTGTGGATTAGCTTACCTTTCATTTTTGTTTTGTTGCAATTTTTTTTTTGTCCTTATGTTTCTCTTTTTAGGGCTTTAGCTTCCGCAAATTTCTTTCTTTTTTCTCATGGCTTATGTTTATCTCTTTTGGGATTTAACTTTGGAAGATTTTTTTTTCTCATGTTTCTCTCTTTTGAGCTTTAGCTTCCGAAGATTTCTACAATTTCTTCCGGCATTTGTATCTTATAACTCAAATCCTTCTGATTATCATTCAATGAAATGACAAAAAAAAAAATGAGCATCTGGATTAATTTGATGTTGCTGCTCTTAAAGATTTGTTTTGAGGAATAGACAAAGCTTAGAAAATCAAAGTAGAAAAGCAAAATAAGAAATTGTTGAAAAGGGTTGGACAAAGTTCAAAACAGAATAACCATTTAAGGTTTCACTTTCTATCATAATTTAATTATAAGTATAAAAATTGAATTTCAAAAAGATTGCAAAATAAATTCTACTAGATCCTGACCCGCACCTACGTGCGGGATTTTATGTTTTAAGATTTGTGTTGTACAAAAGTTATTTACATTTCTTTGATATTTTAAACTTTAAAGTAGTATCACAAAATTAGTTTTCTATTTTTGTAGTGAATTAGATAATAGTATAGATATCATCATATAAAAAACTAATTGGAAAATAATAATTTGTTCTTTTTTTTTTTTTTGTCATCTGTAATTAAATATTACTCAAAAGAGCCATTCTTGTGGAATGTTGTTTACATAAGTGATATGAAGCGGTTCCGTACGAATTTTTCGTGCCAGATTATCCGCTTTTGCATTTGCACAACGAGAAATTAAAGATAAAGAGAAGGTAGAGAACTCTTCCTTGTCGCTCTGAAATTCCTCCAGATACACTGAGAAGGCCGGCCATTCGGTTGGGGAAGACACCATCTTCACCAGGTCAGAACAGTCTGTAAGGAATGCTACCTCTTGATTATCTGCACCAATCATACACTTCATCGCCCAAAGGAGGGCCTCGAATTCGGCATGTAGCGGAGATAGGCTTCTACGGAGGTTGGCAGCTCCCATTGTTGATGGCTCACCGTTTGATGGTGTACAAAACCACCCTATCCCGGAAAACTTGTCGCTGTCTTTCCAGGATCCATCCACAAAACAACGGTATCCTGTAAAATCCGAATCTAGGGACACCCCCCTCGTTTGAGGCCGATTTGGAAATTCCACTGAAGCCTGAGTTTCAGTATGAAGCTCCACTTGAGCTGAGTGCCACAATTGTGCCTCTCTTTCCGCTAACCGTAAAACCTCTAACGGATCGTTATCCACATTTTCAAACAATTTTTCATTCCGTGCTTTCCAAATATACCAAATAATCCAAGGAAAAGCTATAGAATCAAACTCCGATGGTATTCTCCAAAATAAATGATCCAAGTTTGCATAAATAGAATATGTGGGAAAAGTCCCCATAACCGTAGGAATCTGAGAAAGTGCCCAAACCTGTCTTGCAGGATGGCACTGAAAGAGTGTGTGATTGACTGTTTCCTCTAGTGCACCACATCTAGCACAACCAGTGTCACAATCAATTCCTCTTTTTCGTAAGTTCTCTGTAACCGGTACACAACCCGTTAAGATTTGCCATAAAAAATGACGTATCCTAGGTGGACACTGTACTTTCCAAGTATGAGCCTTTAGCTTATTGAAATCTGGCCCAATGAAAGATGAGTTGGTTTCCAACTTATCCAACCGTGCGGTATGATACCCCGACTTAACTGAATATTTGCCGGATTTTGTAAAATGCCAACCCAAGGTGTCCTCCTTGGTTGGCGCACCCACCGGTAGGGCACTTATTAACTCGACATCTTCCTGGTCAAAGACCGCTTTGAGGAGATCAATGTCCCAAAAATTAGATCGACTATCTATAAGCATGTTAACTTTTAAAGATGGGTCATTAATAGATCCATTACTTTTTGCTGGTCTCGGGAATTGAGCTGGAATCCACGGATCCTCCCAAACTGAGATGGAATTCCTAGATCCGACTCTTTTAATAAGTCCTTTATTTACCAGAGATCTAGCTGAGCATATACTCCGCCACCCATACGATGGGGAATATGACTTTATATTTTCCAAAGGATTGGATTTCCTGTAATACCGCCCTTTAAAAACCCTCGCAAAGAGAGAATCCGGAACCGTGATCAACCGCCACAACTGTTTTGCAAGTAAGGCCGAATTAAAATCATCGACGTTTCGAAATCCTATCCCTCCTTCCGATTTATTAATACATAATTTATCCCAAGCCATCCAATGCATACCTCTGGAGGCACCATTCGAGCTCCACCAGAAATTAGCAACCGCACTAGTGAGTTTAGAAGTGATTGTTTTCGGTAGTCTGAAGCACGACATAACATAAGTTGGTAATGCCGCAGCTACCGATTTAATCATCACTTCTTTCCCACCTTTTGATAAAAATTTTGCCGACCATCCGTTAATCCTTGTCTGTAACCTGTCTCTAACAAAAGAGAAAATTTTTGTTTTTGAACCACCGAGACTTTCTGGCAACCCAAGATATGAACCCATACCACCAATATTAGAGATACCTAAGGTAGATTTGATATCTTCCTTCACACCGTCATCTACCTTATACCCAAACTGGATCGAAGATTTGGAATAATTTATTTGTTGTCCCGAGACCGCTTCATATTGCTTTAAGATCCCCAAGATTACCCCACACTGATCCTTGTTAGCCTTACAAAAAAATAGACTATCATCCGCAAAAAGCAGGTGAGAAACCGATGGGCTTGCAGTTGCCACCTTGATACCCGTAATTAATTTATCCCGTTCTGCTTTCCGTATGTTCGCAATTAATACTTCAGTACAAAGAATAAATAGATAAGGAGACAGCGGATCTCCTTGCCGTAAACCCCTCTCTGGTACTATTAGTCCTCGAGGTTGTCCATTAAGAAGAACCCTATATTGGACAGTACTGATACACCACATTATCCAACTAATCCATTTTTCACAAAACCCCAGTTTGGTTAAAACTTTTTCAACGAACATCCATTCCACTCTATCATAAGCCTTACTCATGTCAGTTTTAATTGCCATGAATTTTCCTTTACATGATGGGTTAGTTCGTAACCCATGGAACATCTCTTGTGCAATAAGAATGTTATCCGAAATTAACCGTCCTTCTACAAAAGCTGATTGTGTTTCCGAGATCAGTTTTGGTAGTACTGTCTTTAGTCTTTGGCAAAGAATCTTTGATAAAATCTTGTAACCAACATTGCAAAGACTAATAGGTCGTAGTTCCGTCATCCGAGTCGGTCTTTCCGTTTTTGGAATAAGACAAATATTTGTCGTATTTAACCGTTTGTCAAAATTCCCATCCTCGAAAAAAGAATTAACCAAACATAAAAGATCTACTTTAATGGTAGCCCATGCTTTCTGAAAAAACAAAGCCGTCATACCATCTGGCCCCGGTGCCTTCTCCGGGTGCATCATAAAAAGTGCTGCTCTCACTTCACCCTCTGTTGCCGGGGCTATTAAAAAATCATTATTCTGATCCGTGATCAGACTTTGTACTTCTTCCAATGCATCCTCAAAAATCTCAGGTTTTGTTGTAGTGAATAAAGTCTTAAAGTAGGAAACCGCTATATTTTGAACCTCTTTATCTTCCGTTAACCATGTCCCATTCTCATCATGTAAACCCGTGATTCGATTCCTCGCCCGTCTTTGCTTCGTTAAAGCGTGAAAATATTTTGAGTTATTGTCCCCTAATTGCATCAAAGAGCTTCTGCTTTTCTGGTGCCAGTACAATTCCTCGTCCCGATAGGCCTCCTTCAGCCGTAATGTTAAATCCGTAATTTCTTCCCGTGACCGCCTATCGTCTCTTTGCGCCGCATATAGTTCCGATTTTAAATCTTCAATCGTTTGCCGACCATAGGGAGTCAACTCTCGTCGCCATTGCGAAATAGCTCGCCGACAATTAGTCAACTTTTCCACAAATTTCCCGTCGCCTGGTTCAGAATCAAAATTCCAACCATCTGCAATTGTCTCCAGTAAACCTTCTTTCCCTATCCACCTTTTGTCAAACCTGAAACTATGTTTCCCGCGTGGCATCTTATCCGCAATCGTAGCTAAGACCGGTGAATGGTCAGAAGCTACCATTTGTAAATATTCTACAAATGTGTTGCAGAATAATTCATGCCAATCTTCATTCGCTAGAGCCCGATCTAGACGACATCGTATTGGTTTTTTATCCCGCCACCCCCGCCAAGACAACCAATCGCCAATAAAAGGAAATTCCAGAAGACCACAATTTTGAATCATTAGATTAAACGGAATAAAAGAAGACGCGTGTCTTAATTTACCCCCTCGCTTTTCATGATTTCCAGTTAATTCGTTAAAATCACCAATTAAAAACCACGGAGAATCCCGAGATAAACCGGTTCTAGTTAACCGCTCCCACACTTGTTCCCGCTTACTAGGAACCGGGTCTCCATAAACAAAAGTGAGATAAATTACTTTACCCTTATAGTTTGCTTCAATATCGATCACACGATTACTTGCAAATAAAACCGAAACATGATAATCATTATTAAAAAAAAGGGCTAAACCGCCACTACAACCAATAGGATCCACCGTTTTAAAATTTTTATAACCAAAGTGACCTACAAATTTTTCCATAAAAGAAGAGGATTGTTTAGTTTCCGACAGAAATAAAAAATCCGGCCTATGTTGCTTCCACAAATCCCGAAGATACCCAATTGTTGCCTTATTTCCTAACCCTTGACAATTCCAACTTAAAACTTTCATTTATTATAAACCTTTCGATTAAGTGGGTTGCGTCCACCTGTTAATCTCTTCACCGTGCCATGGTGCGTCGGGTTATGCCCTTCATTCCCTTGATTATTTCTTAGAGAAACCAAATTACAATTGACCATTGATATTCTTACCCTCAAAGTATCCACATCCAACCATGAAAAACCCGAAATCAAACTATTGTAAAAACGTTTGTTACAACCAATGAAACTCAACTCCATACACTCAAAATCCAAAATCAACCGACCCACATCATAACTTTTAGAAATATTCCGACCACCCACAATAACCCATGGAAGAGTACTCAACGTCCTCCTTCTCCTATCACCGGAAGAGTATTCAAAATCGATTTGGATTTCAAATTTGTGTTTATTTTCCATTTGACCCAACCCAGCATTAAATACAAGAGCCTTGCGTAAGCCATTTGAAAATTCCTTCTCGTATATTACCTCATTAAACCAAACCGAATTTAACTTATATGTAACAATCATATGCCATGTAATATTTAAAGTGGACCTAACTCCTTCGTTATTGAACAGAAATTTCATAACAAAACCAAACATATAACCGCTGAGATTCCTTTGGTTTGATAAATAAGAAAACCAAAAGTAAACCAAAAATTTTAAGAACAGAACATGTGACATAAACCGATGGAAAAAATAACTTTCCTTTATTACTTTGAGCTCACAGATTATATGAAACACATAAAGAATCTGTAAGTTACATCTTGCAAGGAGAAAATAAAAAGAGACCGTACCGACATAATTCGGATTTACCGAACAACAATGACAACTGAAAGAATACAGAAAATCATGTTCTTGTAAAGAACTTATTTCTAAGAAATTGAAATTCGACCACTTCCCCATCCAAACTGATAGAGACATTAATTCAATCAATGTTTAATAGGAGGTTTCTCCCCTTGAAGAGATCCAGAACCCACCGTCGGGCCACCAGTTTTTGGAACCGATCGTTTGCGAGGTGATGCCAAATAATTCCTCTTCCTGGAGCTAATTCCTACCAAAATCCCTTTGTTCTTAACCGCTTTTCTTTTTGCAGGTTGATCCGTTTCCAAATCATCTTCTCCCTGCGAGTTTTCCTCTTTTTCCTCTTCATGTTCTTGTTCCTTTGGGACAGTATCCGAAACAGAAACTGTACTTGCATCCTTCTCAGTGACCGGAATGACCACTTCCTCAATTTTATCTCCTTCGTGATCCCCTTTAATATCCTCTTCATTCTCTGCCTTAAACTCTCCCTCCTCATGGGCTATCTCCACACCACTTTCTTTCTCCTCCATTATGGTATCCATAAAATTCAGAGAAGATTCTCCTACGAGAGGAAAATCCTGAGCAAGCAACTGACTTAAATCATCCGAGAAAAGATCTTGTTGTTCTGCCAACCCGAGAGTATTCTCTGTCCTGCTCTTAAAAGTAACTTCTTCAGGACCCGAAAAGAGATTCTTACGCACCACCTTATTTGGGATTGTGTCACTAGAACGCCCTTCCATATTAGCACCAAGAGTACCCGAATCTGTCACCGTCTTCCCCGAATCAGAGACTAGAAAAGCCTCTAGCATCTTCTTCTCATGAGCGGAGAGACTCATCCCCACCGTGTCCGTTTTTAACGAAGATAAACCAGTTACTTGAACCGCCAAATGGGTTGTTGACGCTTGAATAGGAGCCAGAAATGGATTCCTTCTCCCCTTCTTAGCCTTGGTACCAGAAATCTGCTTAGACCGGTGCGAGTTGTCCTGATAAATTACAGCCCTGTTTTCAACCGCAGATGGTCCTTGGGAAGATTCTGCGGAGACAGCTCCATTCGAACCCGAAGAATTCCCAGGAACGAGACCATTAATGGTAGCACCTTTGTAGCTTTGAAGCTTATTATCCCGCTTTGGATCCTCTTTGTGAATATTCTGCTTTCCCTTATCCCCAAAAACTGGACACCGCATCTGTTCATGACAAAGACTGTGACATTTCCGGCAGAAACCAAAAAGTCTCTCATACCTCAGCGAGACCATCGTCTCTTCACCACTGTGAAACTCCACCGCCGCCTCAAAACACAATGGTTTAAACCCATCAAGCTTAACCTGTACCCTTCCCATGTCCAAGTCTACCGCTTGGACCTCACCTAGATCTGAACCAATACTCCGGAATGTTTCATCCGCCCAGAAGTGTAGAGGCACCCCCATGACCCGAATCCAGAAAGTGATGAGAAATGGGTATCTTCGATCCACCACTGGTTCCCACCTAACCAAAGACAGCATCCAATGATCAAAATGGAAAGGTTCCACCTTCATGATCTCCTGGATGTCCTCTTCATGGTCAAAATCGAATTGAAACCGACCTTGACCCAAGTCAGCACCGACAACTCTGTCCTCTAATTTCCAAATCCTTGGCAACATGAACAGCAAGGATTTCATATCCTGCATTGCTGGATTCATACATCTGCCGATGAGAGTCTTCGAATAGCCCTCGATCAGAGAAGTGTTATCAAAACGAGGAACCTTGATCTTAAGCTTCATGGTGTTACTCATGTTGCTGCCCTGATTAACCAAATCGCTTTGAGTCATCTCTTTCCCTAACCCGAAGCAAATCCGAAAAGATACAAACCCAGGAGACCAAAAAACCCAAATAAACTCAAAAACTTTGAGAAATTGACTTAGAATAAAGCTTTTGGTACCCTGAAACTTTGAGAATATGTTGTGATGAATAGAACCTCCAATTCGTACCTCTGATTTATACTCCAAACCCTTGATGTAAGAGTATCTCACCAAATAAATCACAGATCCGCTGAAATTAAGACATAAGCTCTCGATCCGTTCCAACCGTAAAAACCCGGATTTTGTGGCCATAACCAAGACAAAGATGGCTCTTCTTAATACAGCATTAATCCACTTCAGACCTTTGATTGCGAGATTGATACCCTTCCTTTCCTTAGACATGTCTTGTGAATCAAAGCAAATCAAGATCTTAACTCCGAATCCTAACCAAAACCTTTGAAGATGATTAAAACCTCTTTGTGCCTTTTCAGAGAAGCCCTCACTAATGCTCGTAGATTGATCAAACAGGATCCCAACAGATCTACCTTTTTCCAATCGAACCAAATCTCTCTTGTGAAAGAGATCCCTTTTCAAAACCGAAAAATCAAATTCCACTATAACCGTGAAATCAACCGGAGATCTTTCCTTGAGATCAACCATTAACAACAGATGAAGAACCATCTCAGATCAAGAACCATCTCAGATCCGAAAAGTATCAGACATCATCGCCGCTTCTTTTTTCCTTTTTTTTTCTTTTAAAATAAAAAATAATAATAATTTGTTCTAAATGAACAAAATCGACAAATTTGTTCTCTGTTTGATGAATTATAAATTGTGAACAGAAAGGTAAGTGTTACAGATTTTATGTTTTATTTACATTAGTTTAAAGTGTTTTATATAAATTAGTAATTTGGTTATGGTGAATGATAAATAATTTGGACAGTCTTAGAATTTTGGTGATTCTTTTTTTTCTCCCAGGCACGATTATCGAAGCAAGTTTTCCGATCCCGTTTTCTGACGCCGGCGAAGCTTTGGCTTGCCGGCGTCGGGACACCTCTTTCCCCTTTAAGCTGCTTCTCCTAAATCTCTCGATTATTTTCTTTTGGTCACTTTCTCAATCATCTCTAAAACCCAATCTTTCGACGGGTTTCGACGGCTCCGAACGAATCTGTGACAGAGAACGAAGGCGGTCCCCGACGACCTTCATCCAGCCTTCCCCTCTACTTAAATCAATGTCGAAATAGAAGAAGGAAGATCTCACTTTTCCCAGCGGTGCCTTACCTCACAAATCAAAATCTTTTCTCATCGCTCCGCCAAGATACTCTAGATCTCAACCTTTACATGAAGGTTCCACGCACCAGCATATGTCGATTAGCGTTGTTATTCTTGGACTGCCTTGTCTGGTGATGATGGCGGCGGTGTACAGCAGAGCTTCGCAAACCAAAGTTATCCTAGGGTTTCTTGTTTTGGACTGGGCTCAATTGGGCCCAATTGACTTTATCTTTCGGCCCATCACAGAAAGCTACAGCCCAAGTTTTCCATTTGCTTGGTCCAGGTCTGTTTTTCCTAAACTTTTGCTTAGCCCATTATCTTTGACATCTCGATTTAGTGACTTGACTGGCCGAGGACTCCGACCAAGTCCTACGTCGATATCATTGCGATGGGCATGTAATTGTATTTCTCTAACCTTGGTCAATTGCAAATCCCCAAGTACTTCATCTATTCATCAAAGCCTTAGGCTAATTGGTATGTTGTATCTAGATTCTAGATATGTTACTAGATTGGAGAGTAACGGCATTATGATCTTCTCTCTAAGGAGAGCTGATTACCGAAACTTCTCCAATCCCTTTTCCCCGTTTCCTCTGAATACAGAATCTGAACAAGTGTTATCCAACGTTTTTAAGGTTGATATTCATGAAATCAAAGGTTTGAGGAACTATGGCATTATGATCCCGTCTCTATGGAGCGGTGGTTACCTAAAATTCCTCAACTCTTTCCCTCTAACCTCACTCGACGACAGAACCAGCTTAACCTCTCTCTTTGCCGATGAGCAATTCCAACTCGCTCTTCTCGTACCGGCGAGAACCTCGGCTATGGAACTCTATTCAACGTCACTTAGTCTTTTGACCGTGACTATTGTATCATCTAACGCCTCGTCCGTGGATGACTCTTCGACAAACCGTGTTATCATTTGCACCAATTTGCTTCATAGCTTTGGCCTCCAAGCTCTCATGGATCCCTTGTCGAACTATTTTTGCTATTTTTGTGTAGCATTTGCTTTAACCTTTGTTTGTTGTTGCTACTTTGTTTTAAGCCTTTCTATCCTTGTACCCCTGGCTACTTTGAACCTTGTTTCTATTGGATGAATGAAAATAAGTTGTTTGAAAAAAAAAAAAAAAGAATTTTGGTGATTAATAGTTATGATAGTAATATTCATTTTTTTAGAATTATCATATTCTAATAAAATGTAAAATAATTATTTGTTAATGCTACATTATTGTTTAAACAAAGATAACTTGTAAATTTTAAAAAGGCTATACCCAAATTTAAATATAGTGGCCCATAACTGCATTTTGTTTGGGCCGGAATACATATAGAGTAGACTATATTCGATTGTTTTTGTATTAACTATATGATTGTATTTCTTCTCTTTTTTTGGCAAACTATACGACTATTTTTTTTTGGGCCGATGTTTTTAGAACTTTCTTGTCTATTCCTCTCTAAAACACACCCTAAAAATCTCAGTCGCTTGTTCGATCTAAGCCTATGATGCAAAATTGTCTGATAATAAAGATACCACATCTCCGTTTATCATCTGTTCATCGTTAAATCGGAATTCTACAAAGGGGTAAGCTTATTATTGATTCAGATTTTGTCTTTTACTTTTTCTAAATGTTTTGATTCAATTTCCAATCTTTCAAGTTTTATAAATGAACAGAACTCTTGGGTAGCGATTGTCAAGAACCCGATCTTATATGGGTAAGTATTGGCAATTGAAGCCTCTAAATTTTGATTTCAATTTTGTTTTGTCAAGAAAACCTAAATCGTGATTGTTTAATTTTAGTTTGTTCGTGACAATCATTGTTAGTCTTTTATCTCCATGTGTTTGGAGAAATAGATAAACATATATTCGGATATTAAATCCAATATATTCATAAGCTGGATTGTGTATAGATTTTGACAGTAGATTTTGTTACATGATAATGACAATTTGTCTATATATATATATAATTTTATATATATTTCACATAATTACAAACATGATGATGCCAAAAGAAGATGTTTATGAAGAAGATAAGTTTTATGTTGCGATTATGAGAAACCCATAGTTGTTTATAAATATGTGGTCCTGATGATAGAAAGTTCAATGTATACATGCCAGTATTCATGTCAGAGTTTAAATCTTATAAAGAAGGGAGTTTCAATGTCATCTTTTGAGCTATTCAGAATCATGAAACAGTGTTAAAGGTTTGTGAGATGATAAGGACTTTTGTTTAGTTGATAAGAATATTTAGCTATTGTTATACTTATTGAATTTGAGACAAAGTTATATATTACGTTTTTTTTTTTCATTGTATATTAAATGATTTTACTAAATTAGAGTTTAAATGTTAAATGCATACAGGCCAAGCATATTCTCCATGTTTAATTCTTATGGATGAGGCTTCTATTGATGTCGTCTTTGGAGCTATTCAGACTATTCAGACAGTATTCAGACAGCTTAAAGCAATGTTAAAGGTTAGTGAGATGATAAGGATTGCATACTTTTGTTTAGTTGTTAATTGTTACGAATGGATAGCTGCTGTTATACATTTAGAATTAGTAGAATTGTTATAAAATTTATTTTTTGTTGTCATTGTCTGTTAAAATGAGTTAACAGAATTAGAGATGAGCAATACATTAACTTCTGCTATTTTTTCATAATACTTAATTATCCTTACTGATTATTTATATGAAAAAGTTAACTTCATATTACAGTAACTTTTGAAAACAAAGTTAAGGTGTTTTGAATTGAATGTTTGAGATTCTTGAAAAAAAATTCTGATGAAAATTATAGATACGCGATTCTAAACAACATCATTTGTTCTCTGTAAAATAATTTCAGTAACACCAAATGCATGTTAGAAATAAACTTTTACCAGTAAAAGCAGATAAAAAAAAGGAAGAAGATTATTAGAGTATAAATAGAACTATAACAATCAATTCTTACAGAATAATAGTAATAATTACCTCTTACATTAAATGACTCTTGCAAAGCATAGTCATATAGGTTTTGAAAAAGAAGTGGAGTCACCTGGTTTGCAGTCATTTAATACATTTAATAGTAGCATGAATCAAAGTATCCTGTACAGAAAATAAATACACATGTGTTAATAATTGGATCACCTTAATGATTATTATAAGATTGTAATTAGTATAAGATCTAGTCAAAATAAAATATATACTTACAGTTATATCAGCGAGAATCATTTCCATTGTTTCCCCAGTGTATTGCGTGTATTGAGTCCACAAATGCACAATTTTAACTTGGATTTTCCAACTTGTTTTGAAGGGTTTGATGTCGTCAAGATTGGCGATACCAAGATTTACAGCCATTTTCTTTAAAGGAGCAAGAACAGAAGTGTTTTCGGTAAGAAAGGTTAGTGTGTATCTTCATTGGCATTTGATATTCTATATTTATAATAAGCAAGGTCGGCTAGCCTTTTTAGGGTTTAGAGAATCATATCAAAGTAATATATTTAAGAATAAGGATTGTTAAGGTATATGCTTGTTTGTTAGTATTTGAATATATAGATTTTGTTATGTTTGGTAAAATCTAATAACTGAATTCGTATTTGAAGAGATAATTCCTTATTTACTAATCAGATTGTATTGGATTTGTTTGTTATAGAAATCTCTTTTGAGTGATTGAATCTAATTTGATTATGGCATTAACTTCAGGAGATCTCAAAGAGTATATTCGAGAACATCAGAAATACCATGATCCACGAAGCCCAATCAGATGAGATCCGCGAGTATAACGGATCCGAATGCTAAGTACCAAGATCCGCGTGTTTTACCAAAGGAGTATAAATATAGATCCGACCCAATAACCCAAGATCCGCGTCTCATTAACCAGCAAATGTGCCATTTTATCCTTCCACGATACCTTTTAATTACTCTTTGAATACAAAATTTGTAATGGCATTTTTTGTAATTCTTTACCCTTGATAAGGTTATTTATTATCCAATGCTTCCCAATTAATAGTATAGATTTATTTATTAACCTCATGCGTATTATTATAGAGTACTTTTATTACTAAACATTTATTCATTGGCCCAAAAACCACTACAAGAAATCTATAATGTAAAGTCACTTAATTAACGTTACTTAAGAAAATGACGTAAAGTTGTTTAAAAAGAAGGGATCTAGAGTCGGTTTAGTAACCGACTGCAAAAACCAACGCAAATATGATTCAAATTGGTGGGCTATTTTTTTGACAGATTTAATTTGGTGGGCTATTATTCGAATTAAAGCCCAACCACTAAAGACTTAGTGAAAACACGAGCATTCTTCTTCGGAGAACATACGAGCATCTTCTTCTCCGAAGCTTCTCAAACCCAGAAAATACGAGCATCTTCTTCTTCGAAGAACTTCAGTGTCATCGAACAAATCATGGGGTTTTTCGTTTCTATGAATTTCTAAGTAGATTTCAAGCGTTCGTCAATCTCAATAGATCCCGAATCGTTCATCGATCTCATCAATCGCGATTTGATTTTTTCTCGCCGACTCCAAAATTCAAGGTACCATTCACTTGCTCCCTCTAGATTGATTGTCGACTATTAGCCTATTTGAGATTTGTGTTTGTTTTATTGAAGTTTTGATTATGCTATGGTTCTCGAAAGGAAAAAAAACTAAGAGACTTTAACATGAACATTAACATATCCTTGAAAGAGATACTGAAGCTCTTAGTTGCTTCATCAAAGAATCTGAACAACACACACAATTCATCATGTTTTCCTTGTTTGCTTCTTGCGTGAGTGAAATTGATTCTGGATTTGTGAATTTTGTTTTAAATTTTTGTTGAAAATGAGTGAAATTGATTCTCGATTTGTATTTTACACACAATTCATTGAATTTTGTTTAACACGTTTGATTGATTATAATATATCTCTGTGATGTGCTGTGAGTGTTGTGAGATATATAATTATACATGTTTTGATTCTGGATTTGTATTTTACTGATAAGCATTGAATTTTGTTTAACACGTTTGATTGATTATAATAACACGTTTGTTGCTTCTGGATTTTGTCTCAATAAGAATATATGTTTAACTGATATTTTTATGACTCCATGAGTTATCGATACTATGTTTGTGGTTTCCAATTTCCATTTCTATGGAAGTTAGAGTGTGTTTGTTTATTGATTGAACTTGTATAGTTTCAGAATTGAGAATGGACAAGTCTTGGATTACAAAACATCGTATATCTCAAGACTACATAAATGGAGTCAAAGAGTTTTTGGATTTTGCTTTTGGTTATAGTAAGACAGATATGATCAAATGTCCTTGTCAACGTTGTTTTCTTGTTAAACACAAGAATATGACTGAGATTGAGGGTGATTTAGTCTTTCACGGTTTTCTGCCTACATATACAAATTGGTATCTCCATGGTGAAGAACTGGATTTTCAAGAGCAAGAAGTGAGACTAGAACATGAATCTGATGATAATCATGTTGAAAACCCGACTATGAATCTGCTTGGAGATGTTTTTCCAAGTATGAGTAATAGTTTTAACGATGATGCTGCTAGTATGCCTACTATGGAGGATCATTCAAAGCAAAATGAGGTGTTTGATGATTTGCTAGCAGACTGCAATGAAGCTTTGTATGAAGGGTGTCACTCTTTTAGCAAGTTATCATTCATGCTCAAGTTGTATCACATCAAGTGTATAACTAGAATCAGTGACAAAGGAATGTCAATGATACTTGACCTTTTGAAAGAAGCTTTTGAGCATGCAAAGTTCCCAATTACAGAAAAGAAATGGCTTGGAAAGTGATTCAGGTATTTTCATTACCTATTAACTATTAGACTTTACTTTGGATAAGCTCTCACCATCTTTTCTGTTCATTTTTACATTAACACAGAAAAAGTTCTGGTTTGATAATCCAAGGAGGAGGAAGAAATATGTTTTATCTGCATTAGGAGTCAGATGCAGAGACTTGAAACAACGCATTTGGATGAAGTACAGAAGAAATACTATAGAGGAAGCATTTGAAGCAAGACCAGGACTAATTCCTGAAGATCAATGGAAAGAATTTGTGGAAATGCAGTTCACTGATAAGGCTAAGGTAAAATCTATTCCACAACTACTTTATAGTTTATATATATCACATACAAATAACTATGTACTGCTTTGTTACAATATAGAGAGTGAGAGAGCGTAATATTAATAGTCGAAACAATCATAAAATGCCACATACACTTGGAAAAAAGAGTTTAGCAAGAAAAGCTAATGAGATGGTACGTTTAGTCAATCTTTATTCTGCATTAATTAGTACTATGATTCTGTCAATCCTCTTTAACTTGGTGCATTTGTACATTTAGGAAGAGGAGACAGGCAAAGAACCAAATCGAGCTGAACTTTTTATTGCATCAAGGACTAGATCAGATGGAAGTTTATTGAGCAACGAAGCAAGAATCACTGTGGTAAGTTGTCAGCTTTGCTTTTAGATTGATGGTTGATCTCTGTAACTTTGAACTTGTAACTTGTCTGTTTTGTAACTTGTAACTTGCTGTTTCACTATGGTCAGTTTTGCTTTTAGATTGATGGTTGATCTCTGTAACTTGTAACTTGTCTGTTTTATATGCCTGATGATCTCTGTAACTTATGAATCTCTGTTTCATTATTTTTGCAGGATAAGCTTTCCCAAGTAATGACTGAGAATATACAAGATGAAGCATCCAATACTGAGTCTAGACCATATGATGCATTTGAACAAGTGTTTGGTTCTGAGCCTACAGGTCGAGTTCGATGTGTTGGACGTGGAGTAACACCGTCCAAGTATCTTTTGGATCAGGAATCTGTGATGTCGTCTAATGCTGAGATTTTGGAGCTAAAGACCCGTTTGAAAGGACTTGAAGATAAGCTAGAAATCGTGACAGATGCTCTTTTTGTTCTTGTTAAATCGAAAACTGAAGGAAGATACTGAAGTAAGGTACTAACTCTCTTGTCTCTTGTCTCTCTCTCTCTCTCTTGTGTTGGAATTTGATGTGAGTAGTGTTATAGGTAGTGTTGATTTGAGTAGTGTTATAGGTAGTGTATAAAGCTAAGTTGTAGATTTCAGAGATACATTATAGATGGTGTTGTTGCCGTCTATAACCAAACTGAGACTACATTATACTAGGATATGACCCGCGGTACACCGCGGGTTAATTTTTTTTATTTATGCTTAGTTTTTAGAAACTGATGAATTTTTTGTGTATAGTATTTCTTGTTGTTGTTGTTGTTTTTGTTTTTGTTGATTATAAAAAGATGATTAATCGCGGCCGAGTCCGTGCCGTAAGGGTTCGGTCTCTAGTCTGGACCACTTCGGTGGGGCCAGGACATTCGGTTATCGAAAAAAAAAAAAAAAGATGATTAATAGTCTACGGTTTGTAGTTAGTCGTAAATTTCCGAGATTATGTAGTCTAATGTTATTTTGTCTTTTATCTGGTTTTCTTGAATTATTTTTTGTTATAAACTTATGATATTTTTTGTTATATAGATTTTTGGTATACCACTGGGTATATATATATTGTGTTATTGTTGTATTAATTTTTTTTTTTTTTTATGTTTTATTGGTATAGACTTATGTTTGATTTTAGGTACACAGCATGTAAATTTTATTTATAACTAAAAATATAAAATTTAAGTTATATTTGTTTGGGACTTTTACAAAAATGCCCATTTTTCAATGCCACTTTTCAAAAATGCCCCTTCTTTAAAACCTTATAAAAAATGCTCTTAAAAATATAAGATTTACCCAAATATGTATGTAACATTATTAAAACATACACAAACTACATTTCTATGTATCTAAAATCTTATAAATACTTTATAAATACCTTATAAATGCATTTTAAATACCTTTAAAAACCTTTAAAATATTTTGTAAAACCTTTGAAAAATCTTAAAAATCCTTTAAAATAACTTGTAAAACCTTTAAAAACACCTTATAAAACCTTATAAATACTTGGATCGAGTCTTCAAGTAGTAGTTACAATCCATAAGTACCTTATAAACCTAATAAAACTTTATAAAAATTTCAGATTAAAAAAGGGGTATTTTTGAAAATGGACATCTAAAAGGAGCATTTTTGAAAAGGGGCACACCAAAAAGGGCATTTTTAACAATTTCCCTATTTGTTTTGTTAATATTATTTGTTTTGTTAAATGTTTAAGATTGTATAATTGTATTTTGATTGTTAATTTTAGAATTTCACCCGTGATATACCATATTGCTACAACCCGTCTCACCAATCACCATATAACCCATCACGTGAAATTAAACATCATTTTGTTATTTTTTTTAATAATACATTTATTTAAAAAACATATCATTCGAATAAATTTAAATTTTTTATTTTAAATGGTTCACACAATCACATAACAGTTTGATTCAAAATATAATAATGTATTTCATGAAATAAATAATTTATTTTACTCGAAATAAATAATTAGGCTAGATATAATAAATATTTATAATATGTTTAAAAATATATTTATTTTATCCACTTCATCTTTAGATTAGTAATATATATTTAAAATAATGAAAAGAACTCGTTTAAAAAAATATTATATTATACCAAAACTAATATAATGTAAAATATTTTAGTCTACTACATTTTGTTGGGATAAAAGATATTCTACTAAAAGCATGAGAATTAAAATGTTACATGGCCCAATGGCTACGTAGTCCAATACACTTCGAAGGAGAGCCAATTTTGAATCAGAAAAAGCCCAATGGTGGCTAGAAAGAAGAGATGGCCCAAGAAGGAGAGTAATCATGTACGGATTCCACGAGGCTGAGATGAAGAATCGATTGAACAGAGAAGAAGAGTCGATAATGGAGGTTGAAGGAGGTCAAACAGAGAACCATGTCTGAAGCATTTCAGAAGCTCTATGGGGATTTGATTGGCGAAGTCTTGCTGTTCGATTTCAGACAGTTAGTTCAGCCTCCCGAATCAAAGCATCGACAGATTTGAATCAATATGGAAGCGATTATTACAGAGAAGAGCATCCTATATGCGGGAGGAGAGGTCGTTGCAACGACGGGATATATTTTCTCAGACTACCCGTCGTTGTTTCATTCAATTTGACTTTAATCGTAAGAGATCACATGCTTAGTTGAATCTTTGGTTTCTGATTTCTCAACCACTTCGTTCAATTTTTTTGTTCTAAGTCTCTCTGGGCGGACTTTTCTTTATAAGATGCTTCATAATCTCCTGTTCTAACAGGCGTTGTCTTTGTTCAATTTCAGGTTCTCAAAATCTCTGGCCAGTTGATTTAATAACTCTAATATAATTAGCACATGCAAGAAATGGTAATCTCTTTCTCTCGGATCCGTTTATGCATCTATCTTATAGTTATAGTTTTATAGACCAATGCTTGATAACAATCAATCCAGTAGCTCTAAGTACGTATTGTTATTTTTTTAAAGTAAACTAAATGATGTTCTTGTTGCCAAACACCCAACACTAATTATTTACCTTGGTTAGAATAAGGTTACGTTTGCCTAATCTTGTAAATTCTGGAATTTGTGGATCAAAGATACTTGAGAACAACCTTCCCCATTAGTAATATTGAATCTAAAACAAATAAAAACAGAACTCGCTAAATATAGATGTAGAAATAAAAAAGATGAATAAGATTTTTGCTAGCTAATTATAGTACCTTATCATCAAGGAATTATAACTCGATTGCTTCATCCTGAACTCCCTTTTGCTTCCAGATTTTCAAGATTTTTACACGGATTTGCTAGTCTGATATGTGTGAATGAAGATCTGAAACATCAGTAAGATAAGCAAAATGAGAAGAAACAACAAAAAAGGTAACACAGATCATCATGATCCCATCAATAGCTTAACATGATTTAACAAATTATCATAGTTTGTAAAAGATAGATGCAACCTACCTGATTTTCTCGGTATTCCTCGTATGCAGATCAAGTTATCATAGTTTAAAAGAGTTGTCTTTGCTCCCTAAGACATACAACATATCAAGTTAGTTAATAAGAAAAAGGTTTAGAGCCAAATTTCAGTACATGAAAACTGACTTCCTCATCAGTCTAGACCATATCAAGAGTCTCCCTTTTTGACAGTATATTGTCCATGAATGCAGGATCTTAAACTTGGACGCACATGAAGCTTTGTAAAGTCTCAAATCTATGAGATTGGAGAATGAAGCAGCCATTGATTTCTGAAAAGTCTTCTTTTATTGTGTTAAAAGGTAAAATCTCTGTTGATGTGATAATTTTCTGTTATCGAAAACCTATTTATAGAGGTTATAGTCTTTTGGCCTTAGGTTTTATAAAAATTCGAAAATAGCTTTGTGATCAAGCCAGATTTGTTAGATATCATTAACTAACATTTACATAATAAGAAATCCGAAATAAATGTCAAGATATCTTCGAGAAATTAAGAATTGAATATAGCATGTTTAAAGAATATGCTTTAGTCATTTACTTAAAAATCAGTTGTTGATTAATGTCGATTTGATATGGTTCATTTTATTTAGGAAACAAATATTAATGGACTCAAAATCTTTACCATTTAAATAGGAAACAATTTAATTATAGAATATTGGTTTGTTTAAAAGATATATATGGCTGATATTTTCCTAAACTCAAACTAATAATTTCGTTTATAGGATCAATTAGTTATACAGATTCTAGATGAAATCGTTTCTCTCGCCTTTTAATAGGAAACATTTTGTATTTAGGATCAATTTCTTATAACTATATATATTCTATATATCTTTAAATCTTTCAAATATGAGAAACTTAATCATTTAAGCTTTGAATGTAGGTAGCAGCAAATATGGAAGCATTTGGTGAAAGATTTCGGGTAAAATGCTCAATTAAGGTAAAATCCGAGATTGATTTTTCCGGGTCAAAAACATTAAATTTCCGGGTCAAAATTAAACAAATTTTGACCCGATTAGGATCCCCAAAAAGTGTTGCAAAAATGTATAGTAGATGTTTTTGTTTCAGTTCACAAGGGTACTAGAAGAAGAAGTGCATAGAAATTGGATGAGTACAAGGGTACTAGAAGAAGAAGTGCATAGAAATATGATCAGATATAGCATATCATATGTTTTTATTTTTTATAGCTGAATCAGATATTCTTGTATCAGACTGTGATCAAATATTGTTTTCTATTTGACTTTGGAACATGAAAATATATAATGTATTTGGTTATTGTTCCTCATTTTTTTTACAGGTTTAATTCAGACAAAATTTAAAGACACAAATGAAACTGAAATTCAGACAAAAACATAACTAGATTTCAGACAAGTAAATGGATTCAGACAAAATATAAAGCCCATTAAAAAATTATGCCCCATATTGATTTCTGACTTTAAGTTTGAAGTCACTTTTTGAAGTGTTTCTAAAAAAAAGTCATTTGTTGTATCATTTTCAAAAATGACTTTATATTGTTAGGGTCATTTAAAAACTGACTTTAGGAAACTTGAAAAATGACTTTAAATCCCTTCTTTTTTTTTTTTTTTTTTTTTTGTGGAAGCCCCTTTGGCCCATTGGTTGAACAAGGGTTAATTAATACTTTTACACCCAGAGGTCTGGGGTTCGAGTCCCAGATACTGCGATTTATTAATAAATTTGCAGATTATTGGAGGCAAGTGTGCAGGAGATCTCCAGCGATGTACAATTATAGCCGTTCGCCAGGATTCTACGCATAAGGGAAGTGTCTATCAAGAGCATAAAGAAGGAGGTGAAGGAGGTGAGTATGAAGAAGAAGGTGAAGAAGGTGAAGAAGGTGTCGTCTGTCGTAGATCTAATAAGGGTCGGAAGGAATTGTCCGTTGTAGAATCGTCTATGTAACAGTTCTCATAATTTGCAATAAATAATAAATCCAGACGTTAAAAAAAAAAAAAAAAAATCCCTTTTTTTGTAGTTAACTAATATTAATATTATGCGGTCCAAATGACAAGCCCAATTACTTTGAAAAATCCTATATACGGAAACAAAATAAATGAAAATTTTAACCAAAAATAATGTTGACCAGTTATTTTGTATAAATAGATAACATGTTAATCTTCTCGCCGTCAAAACATTCATGATTTGTAGCAAATTTCAAATCCATCTAAACATTTTATGAAAAGTATAAAGAAATCGGTCATACTTCATCTAATCGAGAAAGTCATGAAAGATTTGAAGGTAACTTTCTTCTCTAATCTCAAATTTTCATATACTTGTTAATCGATAGTCAAGTTTTGCAATATAGTAGTTTGTCTTCAAGATTATCAATTGTAAGTTGTTTCGTTTATGAAATTGAATTAAGATTGGATTTACTAAATCATAAATGAACATTTCAATATCCAAGTCTTAGATCTTGATTTTTATTATCGTTAAAAAATCCAGGTAATCTTTGTATTGAACTCGTATCACCTATTCAAATTTATTTCAGTCTTAGATCTCGGTTTTTATTCTAGTAAAATCAAGATAATATTTTTTTTGAACAAGTATCTCCTATAATGCAAAAATTAGTTTATTCCATTAGTTTCGTTCATTTTATTTCTAGATTTATATGAAACGATGTAGTAAGCTTGCTAGATAAATTGTTGTAACCAAAATTTTTCGTTTTTCGATTCAAGATAATACTCAATTTGATCTAATAGTTTTCTTTTGATTCTATGGTAAGGTTAGGCAAAATATTCGGGATCTGAGATCTGATCGAAGATCTAATCAATCCACTCTAGGTATTTTTAATTGTAAGGTTAGTATACCCGAATCTGTGTTTTATATATAATTTTATGAAATTTATATGAAGAAGATTTATATTAATTTTATACTAATAAACAGTAAAATTGTTTAATATATCACCAAAAATAAACTCTATATTAAAATTGGTGTGTTTTTCGAACGAACATAGTAAATATGTCCTAAAGTATTTAAAACTCATTATGAACAATTTCTATTATATTTTCTATTATAGTTTATTTTTTCAATATATATATATATGTATTTTAGCTATTTGTGTCGGATCTGGATACTTAAAGACATTAGCGGATCAGGATCCGAGTAGTCGTTTTACGGATCATATTTGGGTAACTCAAAATTCTAGGGTATCAGATCCCTGTCCATCCCTACTAAATCCACTGGTTCTTTTGTTATTATCACTTCCATGAGGACCATTACAATCACTTGGTTTAAAAAGTCTTCTTCTTGAACTAAAGAGAAACATTTTTCTTGTCTTTTGCATGCTTAATAACTTAGACAGTTCATATTTATTTTTATCTTCATACTTATTTCATCAATAGTAGAAAAATGTATAATGAATGAAACATTTATAAGTGATTTTGCATATTATATGCCGTAGATGAAATAATGTGTCTCCAACAAACTGAGCAACAAGAATTATACCGACCTTCACATAACATACATGAAAAAGTTAGTAGTTCCCTTGTTAAATACCTATTAAATCCATGATATCAAACACAAAGATTAAGGTATTTTTAGTAAGGAAATTGTAGAAACGAACAATATTAACATGTTAAACAGTAAAACACAATCTTCTTTAAAAGACATATAAACACAAGATATTTAAAAATATTAAGAAACTAGATTGTTACCCGCGGTACACCGCGAGTTGAATATTTTTATTATTTGTTATTTAATAATACAATAATAATTGGTTTTATTTTATTTTGATTTTTTTTTGTGGTGATATATATATATTTATGTATTATAGTTGGGATTGTGTTATAAGTTATCGATATTATTTGTGTATAACATGTTTTAATCGAGTCATATGTGTTACATAAAAATTATTTCCTTTTATATTAATCGTCTAATTGATACTACATAATTATTTATTTTTTAAAAGTTTGGTAATGTGTAAACATACAACTTGTTTCAACTGTAAGATTAATTTTCATATATGTGCATTTGGCTTTTATATGTTAAATGTCAATCTGTTTGCATTGGTAATATAATTCTCAGATTTTAGATATCTTGTATTATATGATTTATTTAGATGTGAAGGATTAAAATAATTTTAATCAATATAAATTGCACGATAGTTTGATTTTATTAAGGAAAAATTAATTTTTGATCATGTAAATATGGCTGTGAATAGTTTTTTTCATATGCAAAAACTGATTGTTTGAGATAATAATATGTTTTAATTAATTAGTTTGCATGATATATATTGAACTTAATAACATAATTAACATGTTAATACAAAATAAGGTAACCTCTCATACATGCTGGGCTGTAGACAACAAAGTCCTTTAATGTTACTGGGCAAAAAAAAAAAATGCAAAAGAACCGGTCGGATTAGTTGATCTGATCCGGTAACGTACCGGCCGGTTAACACAGACTTGATCTCGTTGGTACAGTGAAGACGGGTCATTTTCAATTCCGCGAAACACAATCAACCTAACTTCTTCTTCTCCATTTTCTTCATCTTCTTCTCCATTTTCTTCATCTTCTTCTCCTTCTTCTTTAATCTCGTCTTCTTCAGCTCAAAACCTAAACCAAACAAAACCTTAACACCACTTCTTCTCTCGATCAATCAATCAGCGATTATTCACCTTTAATCGACCATAGATCTTTCCTTAATCGTCGATCCCAATTAACATGGCTTCGAACGGCGCTTCTCCGGTATCTTTCTCACTCGATATCTGTCTGCTACAATTTAGTATCTTTATTTTGGCTCCTTTTCTAATTGACAGTCTTAAACTTCTCCATTTTGTCAATTTCGGAAAATGCGTAGAGGATTGTTGATGCTACTGATAACAGCTTGGATAAGATCAAGCAGCAATTGGAATCGAGGGTTATCGGAACTTGCTTCTGGGACCTCTTATTCAAGCGAGCTGAAACTGTAAGTTCAATTCTTATTCTGACAATAGTATATTCAATAGTTTGTAACTCAAATGATTTTCAGTGTTCTGAGCACAGCTAAACTTTGAATGACATAGCAACTGTACTGATTTGCTAATCGATTAATGTGTGTTTGTCTAGGAATTAACATAGAATCCGACTAATTGAAAGTTATAAACTCCTCAACTTAGCATAAGCAGATCAAAAAATGAAGAGAAGGTAAGAGTACAGTTAGTGATTTTGGGCGGCATAAAGGACTTTCTGATGATTATTTTGAAGTATCTAACCCTTGCTGTATATTAAATAGGAAGCTTCTACCATCAGAAGCATCAGGACAAAAATCTGAAACAAAGGAGAATCAAATCTACATCCGCATCTATGCAAGGTTAGTTTACACTTTCTTCTCACTGAAATGTAATTTATAAACATCTACAACATTTTCATTAATGTTAAGCTAAGATAAATTGAGTGAAAATGAGAAAACTAAATGATTGTGCATCTGCTTGATTGATTGGTACTTTATTCAATACATAAAAAGAAAGACATAACCAAATATGACGAAAGTAAGAGTGTTTAAAGAAGTCAAATATAGTTAGCACAATAACTGGAATTGAAAGTCGATTGATTGGTTGTTACTTTCTTTTGAACCATGAGACATTGAATCTGTGAAAAGGTAAGTAGATTGTTAGTCAAATATATGATTGATTGACTGGGGGTTTTGCTTACCATAAAGCAATTATATTATAAAATAAAATGGTAAACTAAACATACCTTATTTGATAAGATTGTTTGACAAATAATGCAAGAAGCATTATGAGTCAATATTCTGAAAAACTTCTTTGAAAACAACATTAGTTGTTTGCTTTTGAATCTTCCCTTCTTTGTCTAGAATCAGAATTTTCAAACCTGTCTTTGAGGTAACCCTAGATAAAGCAACATATAGTTGCCCATGAGAAAACACTGGCTTAGGCAGATAGAGTCCAACCCTCTCTAGTGATTGTCCCTGACTCTTGTTGATAGTCATAGCAAATGCTAGTGATACTGGGAACTGTCTTCTACGCATCCGAAAAGGTAGCTTTGTATCGGATGGTGTAATATTGATTAATGAAATCAAAACAATATCACGAATTCTGTCTCCGGTTATAACTCTTGCTTGAAGAACACGTGGGGTCATCTGAGTTACCTGAAGCCGAGTACCGTTGCATAGACCACCTTTAGGATCAATATTCCTGAGTAACATTATTGGAGCACCAATCTTCAGACGCAAAGCATGGTGTGGCAAACCTGGTAGCCTGATACTGTTTAAGAAATCTGGTGTGATAACAGGATTTTTAAGTGAATCGGAATCTTCAGGATCAATACTATCAGCACTGTAAAAAACTTGCTCATCACCTGTTGAAAAAATAAAAAAAAAAACCTTTTAGCTGTAAGAAAGACTTGAAGGAAATAATTTCACAAAGCTAGTAAGCTATGACTCACCCTCCAACTTGTCTAACATATATTGGTTGATTGTGTGTACATCATCATTGGTTGGCGCCAGAATTGCTCTCTTTTGAAAAAATACTGGATCTTCAGTACCTTTTAACATGGCTGGATCTCCATATATCTCACGAGTAATGGATTCAATTGGATCTTTTGCTTCGGTAATCAGAAGTTCTTCAGGTATATCAATTAGAGCCTCACCATCATTAGGTTCTGCAATTCTACCATCACCAACAGCTAGAAGCCAATCACTGAATTCTTTGATGTCTTTTGCTTCTTCTACACTCAAATCCTTCTTAAGTAGCCTCATGTTCTTAGTAAGCTTTAGAACCTTACAGTGATCCCAAAGATAAGACGCATTAAGAGCTGCCATCACAATCTCAGCCCTGCCTGCACCAGCGATAACAGGTAGAACTTGTCTAAAATCACCTCCAAAGACAACAACCTTTCCACCAAATACTTTGCTATCTTTATTACCAATGATATCACAAAAACTCTTATCTAGAGATTCAAAACACCACTTGCTCATCATAGGTGCCTCATCCCATATAATAAGAGAAGCTTTCTTTATCAGATCAGCAAGATCAGACTTCGGCTTTATCCTGCACACTGAACTGCTATCAGGTTTAAGAGGTATGGCAAACCTTGAATGAGCAGTCCTTCCACCTTCCAACAACAAAGAAGCGATACCACTTGAAGCCACGTTTAGAACTATATCTCCTTTAGATCTAATAGCAGCTGAAAGTGTTTTCCAAATAAAAGTTTTTCCTGTACCTCCAAATCCATACACAAAAAAACACTCCACCTAGATCATTGAATACTGCAGTGGTAATCTCATCATAAACACCTCTCTGCTCCGGTGTCATAATATCTATCCACTCAGCATGCTTTTCAGCCAATGATGTACGGTCATACCTCATTTCATCAACAATCAAACGGTTAGAATTATCTATACCTTCTCTAGTTGGCTTAGGAAAGTTTTGTATATCTTCAAGAGTACCTCCATTAGACAACATCATTTTTTCTAGTTCTTGAAGAGTGTAGTTCCTAAATTCTGCCTCTGTCAGATTCAAATCTGCATATAAAATAAATGGCAATGTCAAGAAAAAAATAGAATCATTGCTTATTTAACTGAGAAAATGGATATGATATAACTTTAGCAATTTCATTATTTATCACACCTTGATTGTCAAACTCATTTCTCTTCTTCTGTTGAATATCTTCTGCTAACAAATGCCACGTCTGTTCCCAAACATATTTTGGCCTAGATAGTGAATCAGATAGTAGCAACATAGCGAAGAAATTCCTCAAAAAATCACCAAAACAGAATTGACTCGCATCAACCAGACTGTCAATGAACACCTGGTCATCATCTAGAATTCCTCGTGCAAAACATGCTTCTTTGTAAGTTGGATAGACAACACCATTATATGTTTTAATGTCATCAAAACATGTAGGACCTCTGACGATGTTAAGTAGGACTCGTAGAAAATATTCATCTTCTAGCTTCCTGGGAACATAATTAATCCGACCTAAGGACCATCCTCTAGACCTCTTATTCCACAGCTTATTAGTTCCATCCCATGTAAAATATGCAGGTATCTCTGCATATAGGAGTTCTCGAGCACGCTTTCCATTTTTTCCAATTCCATCATTCCTATTCAATGTTAGCCATGCCATGAATTGAGAATCTCGATTGAGAATTCTGTCCAAAACATCTGATATCACCTCTTTTCCTTTAAAATAAGCTGGTTGCTTTCCTTTTACATGAAAAGATAGCTTCAAAACAGGTGTTGATTTATGCTGTATCGGAAACTTAAAAATTCTCCAAATTGCTTCAGATGCTGACACATATCTACAATTTTGAATAATAAACAAAGCCATTTCAGGATCCAGACTGACCAATCACAGAAATAAACTGAGAAAGAGCAAAATTAGGATACAATACCTGCAATCAAAATAATCTTTTATTTCATTCTTCTTTTTCTCCTCTGGTAATGGTTCTGATCCATTAGCTGTTTGATCTACGTGTGAGCCATTATCTGTTGGTGGTGGCTTGACAGGCTCCACAACAAATGCTAACTTATCTGGGCCTTTATTTATATACTTGAATAAGTATTTAATAGACCCAGTTTGATTACACCATTCAACGTTAATGTGAGCACCATACCTAACTGATAGTTTTTTATTGTATGGAACGACATACCTATTATCACATTTAATTCCACATTTCTCAACATAGTGGTCAGAGCGCCTTCTTCTATAGATAGGAAAACCATCAGCGCCTACCTTGGTGATATCCTCAAATTTTTTAGGATACGATTTAGAACACTGGCCATCCACCATACATGGAGAACTCATATTTGCTGCACCACATGGGCCATGAATCATTGAATTACTAACAACCTCATAAAGCTCTGGTTCTGTTTCTTTATCTGGAATCTCAGCAGATATCATCCTGTCAATATCGCTTGCTGTTGGAAGTTTGCTTTTAGCATCCATGAATAAAAGAATGTGAGCATGTGGAAGGCCTCTTTTCTGGAATTCTACAGTATACATAGCTGCATAACATAGAATATAGTGTGAAAATATTGAAATAGTCTCAGTTTATTGTTATTCTATTGGAAGTAGTCAGACAACTTACATGCGACAGTCTTTCCAAGCATCTTCTTTTCTGTTAGATCGTTCATCAGAGAATCCAACTTGATTTTGAATATCCTAGCAACAATGTCTGGCCTATCCTCAGCAGTTAACCCTCTTGCTGTGACATATCTTGTTATCTCAGGCCACTTAGGGTTACATGTAAACGTGATGAATAAATCCGGGAAACCATAATGTTTACATATGGCCATAGCATCATAATAACTCTGAACCATATACCTTGGACCACCCGTAAAAGATGCTAGAATCAAAATCTGATTTCCTTCTTCTTCCATATTTGTTACACCAGAGTCAGCAGCTTCTTTTAGTGAGTTTGCATTCTCACATCTAAGCTTAGACTGATTGAACCTTATGTAGGATAGACGATTTGATTCAATAGTGGTGTAAGCGTCACAAAGAAACTGCTGAAACAACCTCTTCGACAGTAGAAGAGTATGGCACTCACCTGGCCTCTCCTGAATACGAAATGCAAACCACTGACGCATACTAATACACTTCTTCTTCTTCTGGTTATTACCCTTATAACATTTCTCTATACCTGGGGTGTAACCATCTTCACCATAGCAGAAAATCAGAGGATACTGAAGAGCCAGATAAGAAATATGAATCTGGCTAATCCTGGTTAGGTGGCCTGTAGTCCTTTCTTGAAGAACTATATCACGGTTTGGCATACCTTCTGTAAAGTCTCCTGGGATTAACGCTGCAACCTCCGAAGTCGTAGGCATGCTGTAAGTCCTTCCATCAGCACCTTTACGACCAGAGCATATCCTCATATGAAATGGTTGGGGATTAACTACCTCAAATCTTTCCTTGGCAATTCTAAAATTCTTGACATAAGGATTAACTTCATTGAGCATTTTCATAATGGCTTCAATTGTCTCTTTGTTCAGTATATCCTTGCTTCCTCTTCTAGATGATTCTTTCCCCTTGCTACATTAAAAAAAAAAAAGATGCCCATGATTGAGTAATACCACAACATAGAAATACAAAAGAATTTAATAAGCCTGTTAAGTAGAAATAATACTAACCCAATAACAGTTGCTCTGTTATCTACTTCATTCTCAGTATCTACTATATAGAGTTGTGAATACTTCGCATAATCACCTTCTGCAGGTTTCAAACTGCCTATCAAATGATAGTTACCTCCTTGTAAACGAAACATGCTTGGACCTTTACCCTTAGGTATAGACTTATCTACTTTCCCACCTAGTGAGGTCATTGCGAAAACCATATTCCATATTCTCAAGTGCTTTATGTAATTCCTACTTTGAGGATCTTTCCCAGTCATAAATTTCTTGATCAATTCTGGTGACTCTTTAAGAAAATGCAGCTTAACAGAACCTTGACCACAACATAGTGTAAATGTAGGATCTGTCGTTTTAACTTTTTTGTTTATTCTTTCAGCATGCCATATCAATGCACCACAATACTTACACGAGTAAGTAGGGTCACCATGATCAAGATAAGCTGAAAAACATAAATATGTTTCTCATAAGTTTCATATTCAGAATTACCAAAAATAAAAAAAGTACTGGGAAGGGCAAGAAAATTTACTTATTGGTTTGTTTTTCTTTTTTGATTTTCTTTTCTTTTTTCTTTTCGGAGGCACATTTCCTTCATGTGTTTCTTGCTGAACAGACTCAATAGATGATCTTGCCAAATCATTGGTATGAGATGAGACTTCAGTTATGTGTGACATCATTTCAATCTGTTCCTCGTCAGAAACTGACATTTCATTGTTATCTACTACTTCATCTTCACCTTCACTGCAACTAAGATCATAGCTTTGAGCTAGTGTCTCATCTTCATTGACATTACCAAACTCAGGATCATCATACATTTCATCATCTTGGCTATAATCACTATCTTCATTATCTATTACTTGAGTTGTATTCTGACCTTGAGAATACAAAACAGGAAAATAGGTTAAGACATGCCTCTTAATTACATTTTGCTTCCAAGCGAAAAACAATACAGTAAAGACTGTTACCTTTAGATGAAGAAGAGGTTTCTGCATTTGTAAAATCAATATCTAAGTTTTTCCTTGGCAAATTTATTCTATGAGAAACAAAGCTTGATGTCTGGAGGTTGGTTATACATGATGGATTTCCAGTGTATTGAACACCTACAACAGATATTAAACTTATTACTTATACAATATACTTCTCTATTTAAAACATTATCATACCATAATTGTTGCAAAAATTATTCATATGTGGAACTTAATTAATCTAACCACCTATTCTCTTTGGTGTTACAGAAGGTGGAGGCATTATTGGAGTTGTAGGTGTTCTGCTAAAAAGACTCTGGCTTGTATTAGTCATGGCGCTTAATCCAGATGGAGTTAACAATGGGTTAGGTCTGGTGTAAGGAGAGCAAGGCTTGGACATTTTTCCACGAAGTGAACCTGTTTTAAAACTCATCAAGATTTAGAGATAAAGGTATTTTCTATTTATCTTTGATGAGAATGAAAACAAAATAATTGTAAATGAAAACTTGTCTATAGAAATTAACCTTGATTCTTACTGTTCTGTTTTGCAGATGAAGATGTATTAGCATCTGCAGAGTTCTCAATGGGGCTAACTTGTGGGTCTGGAAGGTTAGTAATATCTCTAAAAGCACTACCAAACGCTGTACTAAGAGGGACAGAACCATTCCTGATTATAGGTAGATTAAACTGAGAAATGTTCCTTAGTCTAGTGTAAGGCTCATTTCCTCGATTACGTTTGGGTGGATTAGACTCAGGAACATTATTTTCTGTTGGAGATAGAGGTTTTTTTTTCATATTGTAGTCTAAGAATGTCTATAGATGATTAGACTACATGGTAACTATATAAAGGAGATTAAGGTCTAAATAGAAAGCATTTTGATATCTGTAGATTGACTATTATTGTTAAATGATTGTCTGTTGCCAAAGATATAGGAACTAAGATATGTTATTTTCTATAAGTAATGAATGAGAACCTTTAGATAATATGCGGAATATACCAAACTATAAGATTGATTCGGTGATTATAGTGATTATTGTTGTAATTATAAGATTACTAACTATATTTTTTGTATCAGGAAAGAGAGCAATGAAATATTCTTGATATACACAATCAATAGCACATAAGGAAGATGGACTATTCAAATAAGGTAAATTGAACAAAACTGATAGTTTAGCAAATATCTCAAAACTTGTTAATTTATCTAATGAAATTATTACTTTGATACAGTAATTATATATTTTATTGATCATATACTAAAACTTACTATAAAACAAATAACCATTAGAGTAGATTAATTAGATAAACATTAAATTCAAATAAAGGATAAAGCAGTTGATAGTCAAAAGAAACTTAAAACAAACTTGTCTTCATAAACATAAAACAATAGAGAACCGAGAAAGTATTTTTGTAATAATAAAACAACTGCAGCCACTGGTAGAACCAAACTTAGCTTCCCATCATCACACTTCCAACTTCATTCCAACATCCTGAACATCATCTTGTTGTTCTGCAAAGCCACGGCTGTTTCAAAAAAGAGAAACATTACTTAATCCAATCAGTAATCATAGCATTTGATTACTTATTTAACTTCTGATAGGTATCTACTTACATGTATCTCGGAATGTCCAAATCAGGAAAGGTTGGATCAAGGAAAAGCCTTGAACAACCATACTCACTCATCAAACAGTTTTGACCTATTAAAACATGTTGATAGTTACCAGTTAAAGTTATTGTCTAATGTATTTGACAGTTATATATAGTTTATAGGAAAATAACTAACCTTCAAACTCAGCAACCCTCCAAAAACGCAGGACAATGACAACTGGGTCATAATTGTATGTCACAGAAGTTATTTTCCTAAACCATTTAGTCACAAACGCCTGACAGGACCTACCCTTTGCAACACAGATTGTTTTCCTACCCCTACATGATCACAGATTCAATGCATTCAATACCACATCGCCAATATAGATACTAATTTGAGATATCTATTAAAATAAAACTTACATGTCATCCTTGATTTCGACAACAACAAATCTGGTTTCATAGTCTGTCTCTCCTTGACGACAAACAAATGGAAATCTTTGAATAGCAGAGACACTCGAGACCACACCAATAGCATCTGAAAACAAATTTCAAATATACTTAATTAAAGTCAGAATAAAGCAAAGTTTTACTAATTTCAATCAATAAATAAATATACTTGAACCTGACACATGTTGCTTATCCTCTAATCCAGCATACTCAACTTCATCAGAATGAATGAAGTTGCAGAAATTTCCATTACATCTAGGAGACACAGGCCACATAGTGGTAGGCCATATACACTCTAGTGCAAAACGATTCCAGGAGTACTTAACAGGTTGAGTAGATGGTACCACATGGAAGTCAGCCATGTAGTACCAGTGACCCTCCTTGAGACCTGGCCGGAAATTGTATAAGTAGTTTCCAGGAGGGATAAATGCATCAATCTGATTGGCCTAGGCATATAAGAAGAACTAAATAGTAAGTTTTCTCTGTGAAGATTCAAACAAATTAGTAAATCTGTGACTTAAGAAACAGAGGTTCAATAGAAGAAATTTGCTAACCTTTTCATCAGTCAGAATCATAATCGTAGGTTCATCAATAGCGTCTATACCTTGATTCCAGATAGATAAAATCTTCACGTACAAAGTCCATCTAGGTCTTTGCAGGTTGAGATCGGAAATGTAGTCAATAGTACCCATTAGAATCACAGAAAGTGTAAGTTTTTCTCAGTTTTTTTTTTATAGAGAAGGTTAGGTTTCTGAAAAAATCTAAAGGTTAAGTCTGAGTATTTATAGAATCGTGTAGAGATGTGAATGAATAGATTTAATTTCCTATATAAAATAGATATTATATATTGTAAATCATTGAAACCGTTTGAGATAAGTAAAGTTAGATATAATATATCAAGGAAACTGAATCGTTAGCCTGTAAAAGATCTTTATTCAATATTATAGTAATGATTATATAAAACTGTGCTTTCCATATTACGATTTCCAAGAATTTCCATCATTGTTTATAATAGAGATTTCGTGTAGCAAACATAAGGATGTTATAGCGGTTCTGCTTTAGGTTTTGAGGTCTAATGATTAGATTAAACTAAATAAATATGCTATTTCAATAACTGAGTAAGACAACGGTACAGTAGACAGAAATTGAAACAGGTTTATTAGAGGAGATTAACCAAAAAACCAAACTGAAACATCAATTAAAAACCAAAGTAAAAAACCAACAAATGTCTAACAATGAAATTTTAAAAAACTTGGAATTATGATAACTCCTTATTGCTTAGCAAACAGGTGCTAGATCACTATTTCTCTTTTTTGATCTTCATTCCAACTGCTTTAGCCACATGCCTAGTCTCCTTTTTCTCATTCACAGGAAGATCACCACTGTCTTGAACACCCTTTCCTTTGTTGCTTTCAATCTTGACATTCTCTACCTTCACAACTTCAGAGATCTTGTTAGGAACTCCATTTAGAGACAGACCATTCTCCTCAAATTCTAGTTCTGACTTCTGTAAGTCTTTAGGCTCGATGCACACCTTCTTAGAACTGGAGGATTGCTCTGACTCAGACAGATTAGGAGCATAAACACGCTTGGAAGATGGAGTAGATGAGTCAGACGTGTCTTGACTCATTGTTAACATGAGACACTGAATATAGAGATTATCAGTAGGAGAGATAGTTGATATAATTTTAAGGAGATTAGATAGTTAAAAAATGTTACCTGATCTCCAGAAACAATTGAGGCAGGATTAACCAATTGTTCAGATTCCTCAAGGACATCTTCTTGCAAGAGTCCATCTTTGTTTAGGATTCTTGAAACCTTGAAAGAATCCTTACCATCCCAAATGTTTTCTTTCTCAACACATAGCAGAAAGAGAAAGGTCTTGCCAACCAAATTCCTTATTACGTCAGGCAAATCATTAGGGTCCTCAATCTACATAAGGAAATTAGTACTTATCAGTTGAATGTTTCATATATATCAATTACATATATAATTCACATAATAGAATGTTACCTCATTGAATGATCCACCTAGCAATGATGCAGCAGTTTCACCAACAATTTTTGAGCATATACTGTCAAACAAAAGACATTTTGTTTCACCAGTGTTATCCATCACCTTAACATATAGCATGTACCTTCAATAAGAGAAGTCATATTAGTAATTATTTCAAAGAAAAAACACAAACTTATAAATATGCATTATTATCAGATTAAGAAAAGAAGTCTCACTTTGCTACAACATTAGTGACATCATTCCTGCAGACGTCACACCAAAACTTTGGCTTTTGTTTCTTCATGGAAGCAGTATTCACTCCAGAATGAATGTGAGTGACCTTTTTATTACAGTTACGGCAACTAAAGTAATACCAAGCCCAATCTGTATCAATTCCATAGATTGTGCAGATAACTCTAGCCTTTCCAATCTACAGGGTATAGGTAATTAATGAGATTTCACACACTAAAGTAGATAACAATGCTATATGAATAACTCAAACAAATACAAACCTCTGTTGAGTTAAAAAGATCTGATATTGTATTCCTTTCAAACTGAAGACAATCATCATCCTTATTCACTGTAACCATCTGGAACTTAGGAACACTTTCACGGAAAGTTAAGGCTAGACCATCAGAGGGGAGACTGTTAATAGAAAAAACAAAGAATGTAATTTTCAGTCAGTTATAATAAAACTATAAGTTTAGAGTAGTTTGAAAAATAAACTTATACGCTCTGGTGAAAGCTTCAATCTCAGGGAAAGGTGGATTGATGTGAACTTGTGAGGCATCAAAGGAATTAGAGAGACTCCTAACACCTAGAAAGAAAACAGGAACAATTGTCAAATAAAACTTTATTCATTACAAAATCTTAGGTAGAAATAGTAATTTACCTTTGTATGCCTTAATCTTTGCAAATCTGATAACACAGATCACCATGATTCCATCAGCTGCTTGGCATGCTTGAAACATTTTTTCAGCAAATGCCCCCCAGAGTGTGCATGACATCCTATCATCACTGCAGTAGAAAACATGTAATCAAATATTAGATCATATCAAATCTCATTCTATAAGTTCTCAGGTTACTTAATAATAAAACAACCATATCAGATCACTCACTGTTCATCACGCAACTCAAAGTCAAGCTTAGTGGTTGGCTTGTTATTAGCTTCAAGGACCTCTAGCTCACCAATATTCACCACTTGACCCATGACATCTATATTTGGTTCACAACAGTACATTTAGTATATACATAAATTAACAGAATTGATTTAAGACATGAGAATGTATATTTTAGAGCATTACATACCAATCAACATGTAAGGATTTAAATCGCCATTCTGTATTCTGCTAAACCTTGCCAGAGTTAAGTAGCTTGAATCAGAGACAATGTCAGACCGTGTCACAGTAGTGCCATTCACAAAGGACATCTTGTATAGATGACCGGTTGGTCTGAATTGCCCTGCTGCATGAGTAAGTGTAAAATGTTCAATGAACTTCCACTCATTCACTTGTAGGCTGTTAACATATTTAGCAACCAAATCCTTCTTCACAGAAGCATGAATCTTGACACCCTGTTTTAATAATGAAGTAGAATTAGAGTTAGGTTTTTAGATGTTGCTCATGTATAGAAATATAAAATGCTACTCTCTGATATATTGTTGTTTTACCTGTGAATCAGCGAGGACCAACTCAAGGGTTTCACCTGTGTTGTTGGTATACTGGCGCCAAGAATGGAGCACCTTAACCTGGACACGCCAAGATGTCTTGTATGGTCTGACATCTCTTAACATTGCAAATTGGGAAGCCATTGGTGAAGGTAAATAAAGAAAATTTTATTATCTGATATATTGCTATTGGGAAATGAGAGAGTGTGTGAATAGAGACGATGGAAATGAGCGGCTATTTATATAGTTTGAATTAGTAGGTTCCATTAGGTTTAGGCGAATATTATAAAATCCTTGATGATCAAGGATTAAATATATTGCGTGATCTTAATTATTGGAATAAAAGAGAATATGCTAGGTTTATTGAAGCGAGAATATAGATGAAATCTCTTCTCTATTAACTATTTTCCATCTCAATAAGATCATTCGATGATTGCTTTAGTTGATAGAAAGAAATGATAAATGGAGTAGTTACTATTGCGTTTTAATAGGGAAGATTAGATATGCTATGAATGTTTGCTTCTTTATTGGTGTAACTGCAAATATTTTGTGTATCTTTAACTGAGATTGAATTGAGAAACTTAATCATTTTTGCCATGAATGTAGGTCGCAGCAACTAAGGAAAGATTTGGTGACTCAAAATCGGAGCAAACAATTAAATTAGGCAAGATCCGAGATTCTCCTAATCGGGTCTAAAAACAATTAATTCCGGGTCAAAATTTTGACCCGATTTGGGTACCCAAAAACTGCTGCAAAAATGTATAGTAGATTACAGTTCAATTATATGTCGAGTTTTGCATGAAACCCGAACCGGAGATACTACCAGGTCACGGTTCAATGGTCAAACCACCCGGTCCGGTCTGGGTCTAAAAACACAGTTGCAGTGGCTGCTGCTACTGTCAATATGTTCACTTTCATCCTTTTGCTTGGTGCTTCTTCAGCTTCCGATACTATTTCGAGTCGCCTTTGTGGCTTTCCTTATCCTCTTCCTTTCCAAAGGACACAAAGCTTCAACAGACTTTCTGCTAGCAGGCTGAGACTTGATCCACTTCCAACGACCCTCAGCAGGAACCAAGTGATATATCATGCCATGAAGGAGAAGAAAGAGAGCATGTACTAACATATCAAAATCCCATGATGGACTTTCTGTTTTCACAAACAGGTCAGTGGCCTTCTCAAGCACTAGGATATTAGGTGAACAATTTAGAACATTAGCTACATCTGAACTTTCCGCCAGCACTTCTCAATTCTGTAAACCCCATCGTATCTCTCACTAGCTTCTTCGGAGGAGTCAGGAGCATATGCAGAATATATGAATGAATAAAGATAAAACTAGAAAAGAACTAGTGAGATAGGATGGGGTTTTCAGGATTGAGATCGGCTGGCGAAAAGTTCTTTTGTTGCCACTGAGATCTCTTCCCCCACTGCAAGATACGTTAACACATATTGAAGGCAAAAAGAGAGGAAGTCTACCAAGAAACTAGAGCAAGGCTAATTCTATAAGCAATGGCAAAACTCAATAGTAATAAATATTTCACGATTCATAACGAAACATTTCCAAGGAGTTATTGATTAAGAAAAAAAAAAAAAAAAAAAAAGAGTAATCAATTGCACCAAAGGCTATGAGGAATGCAAATCCAACCTTCTAGAGAGTGCTATTGACTGAGCTCCATACCTTGACTTCCAAGTAATATAATGCCACTAACACGTATGTGTAGTTATTAGGCAGCTTAATTAAATAAAGTGAACAATATAGTAACCAACCAAAACCAATAACAAGATTCAACAAGCATTAACAAAATCAAAAAGCATAAGAAACACTTATATAATCTATTGATTGCACAAATCTATAAAAGCCGGACCCGGAGAGTGAATGAACTACCGTGACTGGTTTCTCAGACATACAGAAGCAGATGTTACAAACAAGGGTTTCTCGAACTGAAGCTACAACATCATCCTCGACTCCCTTATTTTTCTTTAAGCAATCGTCTTCATCTCCCGTATCATTATCAGCTTTGCCGCTCATCAGATTTTGCTTCTTTTTAGCATTCTTCGCTTCAGATAGACTTTCATCAGCCTCAGTTACACGGCTCGCTGCTATAAGGCTTGAACAAAACTCAAAAACATTTGCCATTTGTCACAGTCTTTAGTAGGATTGTGACAAATGGCAAATGTTTTTGTTTCTTTTTTTTCTTCTTGTCTTTGTACTTTATCTTTTTTCTTCTTAAATTGGTTTTTAAATAGAGCTGGAAATATTAGAAATATAACATGAATATCATTGATCCCAGTAGCTATTGGTTTTTAATTATGTTATTGGACATTGATTGTATTCATTTTATCATTTTAAGATTTTCAGCTATATTCAAAACCCAAAAGAAAAAAAAAAATCAATACAAGCAGAAGAAAATATAAAAGGAAACAAAAATGTATTTGTCATATGAGTCACTACCTTATTTAGTTATAAAGATTTCATTTGCGATTGAGGATGATGAGTCTTTGGCTAAAGCTCAGAAAGTTAAGAAGAAGCAGAATTTGATAAGCGGTTAAGCCGATGATGGTGGTGGCGATGATGATGATTCCAAGAGAAAAGGGCATCATCGATGATGATGTTTCAGTTGCAGTTCGAGAAAATTTTGATATAATTTTTGCTTTTGGTTATCTGAAAAAGTAGTCAGAGTTCGTTCTCTCTCACACACACTTTGCATTTAGCTTTTATAGATTTGTGCAATCAGTAGATTTTTTTTTTTTGTTGACCAAAGCTTTTACTAGAAAGCCCAAAGGACAACTTACAAGAAGACGAGTGATACAAAAGCCTTTGAAGCCCAAATATTAAATGAACCCAAAAACATAAGGAAATGACACGTAAGACATACACGTGTTTGATTCTAGACCTAGGTTCATGTTGCAGATGCGAAAACCACCGGAACACCGTCAGTTGCTCATCGCCGATCTTGAGTTTGCCATCTTGACAACTCCGATGACAATCCTGAAGAACCAGATGAAGGCTTCAAGATCATGTATTTAGGCTTCAAGATCATCCTAAACATGCTTAAATATCATTTTCATTTTCAAAGTAGAAATGAATATAAATCATTTTCATTCTTACTACTAGAAAAATGATATTTAAATAGTAAAAAAACTTGCTTAAATATCATTGTTTCAGTAGAAACCAATAGATGATTAGTTTAGTGAAACAAATATATCCATTTAGAGATAAGCTCCATTATCCTCCTCCACTTTATAAACAACCTTAAAGGTTGTTTAATCTTTAAGGTTTAATCCTCCATTTAGAGATTAGCTAGAACATAAAAAGAGGTACAAGAGACAAAACCTTAAAGGTTGAAAATCTTTCTATCAAAAAGACAAAAGAATCATTCACTGAAAACAAACTCAAGGGATAAACAAGACTTACACGATCAACATCTTCTCCACTTCCCATTCCTCAAGGTTCAATTTTGAGTTTATTTTCTTCTGGAATCTTGATAGGTCTTTAAGTTGTTTATAAGGTGGAAGAGGATAATGGAGCTTATCTCTAAATAGATAAGTTTTTTTTCACTAAACTAATCAGCTATTGGTTACTACTGGAACAATGATATTTAAGCAAGTTTTTTTACTATTTAAATATCATTTTTCTAGTAGTAACAATGAAAATGATGTATATTCATTTCTACTTTGAAAATGAAAATGATATTTAAGCATGTTTTTTTACCACTTAAATATCATTGTTTCAGTAGAAACCAATAGATGATTAGTTTAGTGAAGCAAATATATCCATATAGAGATAAGCTCCATTATCCTCCTCCACTTTATAAACAACCTAAACACCTATCAAAATTCGAGAAGAAAAGAAAATCAAAATTGAACCTTGAAAAATGGGAAGTGGAGAAGATGTTGTAGATCGTGTAAGTCTTGTTTATCTCTTGAGTTTGTTTTTAATTTGATGAATGATTCTTATGTCTCTTAAAGAGAAAGCTTTTGAACCTTTAAGGCTTTGTCTCTTATAACTCCTATTATGTTCTAGCTAAATATGAAACTATATAGTCAATTGTGTGGTTATTTGGTCTATGTGGATTCGATTCCTAAATACTATTGTGCTTGCATGTGCACTTGTGGTTTATATGATGGATAAAAGTTTTACTATAAATTTTACTCGTAATAAGAAATTATTTATTTTTAGAAATAAATAAGTAAATGAAACAATGTTGTTTTGTGGCTCCACGTGCAAACACATAATCTTAATCAACATTTGTTACCGGAACAATAACATTGGTTGCCGATTTGATGGTTTTCGCCGGATTTAAATTGTTCTTGTAATAATTTCAAAATATAGCTAAGTTCATGTAGTTTTAGGCATGATTCTAACTTGTGTGTATAAATATGCTAGAACAACTAAGTTTATGGGGAAATAGACCGTTTTCTTATGAAACCACATCGCATCATGACTCCACGTGGCATTTTAGACTGAAAATGTGGCATCCTAGTCAACATCTACTAACGGAAAGTAACACCGTTTATCGATTTGATGGTTTCTGGCGGATTTGAATTTTTTTGTGTAGGATATTCAAAGTTTTGTTAAGTCCATGTTGTTATAGACACGACTTAAAGCTTTGTATATAAATATGCCAAAACAACTAAGTTTGTTGGGTTGTTTATAAGAGAGGAAGTCTTGAAATTGTTTTGGGAAGAGTCTCTAAAAATTCAAACAAATTAAAGAAAACAATAATTAAAATAAGACTTGAAAGTAAATGAGAAAAATCTCCTAATTAGATAGGATTGTGACAAATGACAAATACATTTTTGTTTCTTTTTTATACTTTCTCACTATGTACTTGATTTTTTTTCTTAAATTGGTTTATGAATAGAGCTGAAAATCATAGAAAGATAACATGAATACCATTAATTCCTAGTAGCATATCTTTTTTTAAAAAAAATTAGATTTTATGATTATTTTTCTCTAAATTTAATCAATTTGTAATTGCTTAATTAGAAATGGTTATTTTTTTAATTTTTTACGTGGTAAACTTAAAATTATAATAATAAATTTATATTTTCTTAAAAGATTTTTTGGTCAATATTCATCTTGATATTGACCAAGATGGATATAAGAAAATATTGATAGAAAAACAACTTTTATGAAAATCGAAATTTATTATTTCAAAATTTAATGTTGACCAGTTATAAAATTAAAATGTAACCCTTTCCAATCTTTTTTTTTTTGAACAAATGTAACCCTTTCCAATCAAACAATAAAAGTTTGATTCAATTGGGGAAAAAGTAATGAAAATTAATATTTTAAAATAGTAATATAAAATATGCTATTAGACATTAATTATATTCATATTATCTTTATAAGATCTCCAAGCTCTATTCAAAATCCAATTAAAAACAAATTAATGCAAACAGAAGAAAATATAAAAAAGAAACAAAAAAAATATTTGTCATTTTCACCATCCCATCTAACTAGAAGATTTTATTTACGCTCGAGGCTAACGAGTCTCTGTCTAAAGCGGAGAAAGCTAAGAATAAGCCAAATCTGATGAGCGGTAAAACTGATGATGGTGGTGACGATGAATGATGAGTCCGAGAAAAAGAAGGCCATTCGATTATAATATTTACTTTCAGTTGTTTGAAAAGCTTGTCATGGTTTGTTCTCTCTTACACTGTGAATTTGGTTCATATAGATTTATGCAATCAGTAAGTGCTTCTTAGGCTTTGCGATTAAAATTGCTTGATATATCATTGTACTAGTTCTTGATCTGCACTATGCATCGAAAAAATGTTGATAAATTAGAGAGTATTAATTTTGACATGTCTATGAAGATAAAATTTAACTGCCAGATCTTAGTCAATCATAATGCGACATGTATATTTCAAACTCAAACTCTTTAGCCCAAAAAAAGACCAACCTTTTTTCTCTAGCATTCAACGTTTCACAATGCCACAGAAACACAAGACCGGACAATGGATCAATGTTGGAACTGAAGATACCAAAATGACTGGTTTCAACAATGAAACGAAAAAAGTTTCCAAAAGCAAAACATCTGATATCCACATAGTAAGAATTGAAACCAAACTAAAATCAACAGGATCTGCACTTTAATAAATCAGAGAGTAGGAATGGTTTTGGAGCTTATGAACTGTTTCAGAATCGCTTTCTCTTCGTCATTCCGTTTCTTCTCTTGTGCGTTTTTGGGATTTACTTTCCTTTTCTCCTCCAACATCCATTTGAAGAGCTCACGTTGTTGTTTCTCCGGAATTGGCTCACGTGCCTTGACCACCACTGGCTCTGCAACCACTGTAGAAGACACAGTTTTTTCCACAGTAACAGGAGCTGCGACTGAACTCAATTTAGCAGCTATCTCTTCGTTTAGAGGAGGATCTATGTCCTTTTTCTTAGTTCTAAAGAAAAGATAACCTGCAAAACGAATAAGAAGGCAAATAACCGTCAGTATTTGTCATGTTCCATCAAGATTGTAACTTCAACGCAGTTCAAAGGTAATACAGAAATAAACGAGTTGATGAAAGTAATTCTAAGGAAGAATCTCGATGGGGCGATGTAAACTATCTAAAATGACTCTAAAAATCATAAACCCTGCTAAGAAAAGGATAAAACTAAACATCATTTGAGATGTGGGAAAAAAGGTTATCCATAAACAAGGATCAGTCATGGTTACAAGCAGAGAACCTTAAGAATAGTAGTAGTCTGCAACATTACGATACAGGTTCTATAGATCATGTTAAAGATTGCATCTAAAGATGAGCAAAATCCTCAAGTATCAATAGAGAGAGAGTAAACAAAATCTAAAGATCAGAAAAGATGTATCAAGTAAACTCAGACATTCACAAACACATGATCTGAAGCAGAGATCTCAATGGTCCAAGCTTTGTGCCTCATCAAAACCCTAATGATTCAAAAGAATCATTACTACTAGTACTACTCAAAACCAGTCCCCAAATCGTTACCCTAATTTGGATTTTGGACAAAATTGAGAATCAGTAAAAACGGTTTGAGTACCTCCGACGGCGAGATTGACGGTAAGGAGAAGCGGCCAGACATATTTGTACCTCCGAGCGAATGATTCCTTGGGAGGAGGCGGAGGAGGAACAGAACCACCACCCATAGTATAGGAAGCCGCGGCTGCAGCAGCTGGAGACGGTTTTGATGATGGAGGAACGGTGGGATTGTTGAAATTGGCTTCAACGTGCTTAAGCTGAGCGATAATGGCTGGATACAGATCACACAAATCGAAATGGAGATTAAACACACACAAAAAAAAAAAAAGTCAAAAAAAAAAAAATCCAAAACTGTGTGAAAAGATTCGTTGAGTGAGCTGTGAAAAGCGACGAAAAAAAAAAAAATGATGTTACCCTTCTTCTTGGGTTTATTGGTGAAAAGCTTGGGGGTTTGTTCACTCATGGCGGATTCTCGATTCGATCAAATGTTCCGTTTCTTCTTCTTCCTCTCTCTTGTGCTTCAAGTTGTTTAATTTAGGGATTTTACTTGTGAGCGAGCTGTTTTTGTATATTAAGAAATTTTTAATTAATTTAACAAAATGCTTTTGCAAACTACAATGATTACATTTACACCCAAATATATATTTTCCTAGTAGTTTTAAAAAAATAAACTCACTCTTTTATCATTCTGATGTCCAAAAAAGGGAGAAACAAAAAAAAAAAATGACTATTCAATTTTTCTATAAATCCATGGTATACTTTTTTTTTGGTTTATCTTGCTCTAATTCGGATAATCAGATCAAATGTTATCTTACATGTTTTAATGTTTTGATGCAAATGTCAAAATGTTTGAGGAACAAAATAGTAAAAAGGTAATAAAATGGAGAAAGAAAATCACTGAGCCCTAAAGCCATAACAACATACAAAATCAGTGATCAGCTCCACCCTCTTCTGCTCCCGCGGTCTCTGAATCCTCCAAGCCCTGTTTCCACAACATCAACCACACATTCATAAATAAATCAAGACTCAGACTAACATGACCATGCACTTGCAATCTTCTGACAAAGGTTTTTGCTTGTGCTAACTGACCTGGAGGAGGAGGAGCGGTGCTGCGACCCATTGAAGCCAATTCGGGGCTCACTTTCTGTCCAGCTTCTTCTAGTATGTTGCTAAGTTCCTTGGCGAATCTCGCGTTTGCAACTGTGAAGAAAGTGTAAGCTGTTCCTTTAGCCCCGGCTCTACCTGTTCGTCCAATCCTGTGAACATAATCCTCCAGTGATCCAGGGAAGTCATAGTTTATCACATACTTCACATCTTTTACGTCTGTTCAAAACAAAAGACTGTTGTTAGCTTTTCACCACGGTAAAGAGAGTTGATGTGGTACGGAAAGGAGAAAAAGATTTAGTACCTAATCCACGAGCTGCAACATCTGTAGCAGTCATTATAGGGCTTTTGCCGGATCTAAACTCAGAGAGAACCCAATCTCTTTCGGCTTGACTTTTATCACCATGTATTGACAAAGCAGGCCAACCATCCATGCGGAGCTGACGAGTAATTTGGTCACACCCCTTTTTTGTATCGAGGAAGACAAGAATTCTGCTTCCATCCATTATGTCTTCAAGCAACTTCACCAACCTGAAAATTCGCAATGAATAGTTTCAATTCACCACAAATTCCATGACAAGTGAAATGAGACAAGAGGCAGGGAGAGCAGAGTAGGTAAGAAGACATACTTGTTATACTTTTGGCTTTCGGAAATGACATCAACAATTTGACGGATTGCACGGTTAGCTTTCAAATCAGAAGATCCTATTATCACCTGCAATTAAGACCAAAGAAGCCTGATAAGTTTTTGTTGACAACTAAACCATTGTGAGAAACGTTAGAGAGATGTCTCTTACTCTCTTACTTTGTATGGGTTATAAAGAAACTTCTTCGATAGTTGTTCCACCTCCTTAGGCCAAGTAGCACTCCAGTACAAAGTTTGACGGTCTGGCCGAATCTGCACAGGTTTAAGAAGAAAGATTTAAAGACAAAGCAACTAGGATACAGATATATGTGACCGAGACAGGAGTAAGAAAACGAACATGTGAAACAATTTTCCGAATCTGAGGGTCAAACCCCATATCAAGCATTCGATCAGCCTCATCCAAAACAAGATAAGTAACCCTTCGTAGGTTTGTGTTGTTCGACTCCATCATATCTATTAACCTCCCAGGAGTAGCTATAACGATCTCCACACCTAAATCCACAGGCCAACAATCACTATCAGAATGATCAATAAAAAATAAGAAAAACTAATAGTTTGAGAAATGTCGCGAAAGGCACTGAACTAAAGCAATTTACCTTTCTGGAGATCACGCACTTGAGGCCCTTTTGGAACTCCACCATAAATGCAAGTGCTCTTAATTTTTGACGATGAACCAAATTTAGATGCCTCTTGCTGTATCTGCACAGCCAGTTCACGTGTTGGAGCAAGAACCAAGACGATTGGGCCATCCCCAGGAGCTGGGAAAATTTACTTAAATCAGTACAGCCTTTTACAACTTCCATCAAACAAGAACGGAAAAAAGGAACTCCACTTGCAGAAACCAAGCATTACCTAAAATTGGTTGGGCATTAACATGTACAATAGCAGGTAGTAAGTAGGAAATAGTCTTTCCAGAGCCAGTTTCCGCAATGCCGATGAGATCACGTCCCTTCATTGCCATTGGCCACCCCTGAGATTGTATAGGCGTAGGTTCAGTAAAACCAGCCTTCTTAATCTCTTCCAAAACATAATCTAGGCCAATTAGGAAAACTCTTATCAGTAGATATACAAAAAAACAGACATATACATGAATGTAATCACAGCCTTAATCCCTGCATGATTCCCAAATTCAAGAGTGGAAAACAAATGAAATAGAAGTCAAGATGAAACCAGCTTACCAGGAAAGCCAACATCACGAAAACTCTTGACAGGTTTTGGAATATCTTTGCCTTCAACAGTAATTTCCCTCAACTTTCGATATTCCTCCACTTCTGTGTCAGTCATAGCCGCCACAGTGGGTGACTCCACATAGAAATTCTTCTCAAAAGGAGTCAAACCATCCAAATCTAGCTTCCTTGGAGATTCATTGCCATCATTATCCTTTTTGCTAGATGAATGACTACCTGAGCTTCCATATGCTGAAGTCCCACCAAACCCTGAGTCACTAAGATAAAGCAAATTTTGAAAATGAAGCAAACTCTTCTTCTCCAACACAGCCTAGAGAATTGAAAACGTATTATTCCTTTAAGCCCACGAATTTGATTAAAATTAAGCGGATTTTCTTCATAATCGTCGTTTTCATACCGAAAGCAAACACACTTACCTTCGACGGTCACGGAACGAGGTGGAGTCGCCGGTCCGGCTATCGTAACGACTCATGATGTTCGTCGACTCAGTTTCTCCGATTGAGAAATATGATCGGAAAGTTGAGAGGAAAAGCTTTACGGGAACTGAAATCTAGTCGTTAGGGTTTTACAAATTGGGACGACGAAAGGTGAGAGAGAGAGAGAGAGAGAGAGAGACAAAGCTCGTATTGCTAAAGCTACGATAGTCTGTATTTATCTTTGTGAAACAGACAAATAAAAATACGCCACGTGGATAAATAAATGTCACCGCCTGATCTTTATTACCGTCAAAGTAAGGAAACTAAAAAAAAAAAAAAGCTGATAGTTTTTCAAAAATGGCGATTCTATCAGCGAGCTCTACTATCGTGAGAGCTGCTTTAGATACGCAGCCGAAGCTCCGATACAATCCCAATGCGCCGCGAAATGTCAAGAATTTAAGCTCTTTCGTTCCACCGTTGTCTCCGTCTTCATCTTCTCCGGCGACAAACTTGACAACAGGAACAAACGTCTCCGTTTCTGATTTGCTTAAACGTCCCGCAAGCAAAGGTAACGAATTTGGATTTTTGTATATATTCCGGAATTCGATGAAGAACTGTTTAGGACTATCCATTTTTTTATGTCCAATTCATGATTCTTACTAAATTTCTGCTTTTGTGTAGATGTTGGTAATGGATTTGATGATAATTGTATTGGATATGATAAATGGTTTCCAAGTCCACCAAAAGTGGAGAAACCTAGATCTGTCTTCAATGCTGCCTCATTAGCTTATATTGGCGATTCAATCTATGAGGTTAGTCTTTCAGTTCCAGTATTAGTTTGTTCTTCAGTGATTTAAGACAAGTTTTCTGTACTTAAAACATTGTTGTTTTGAGGATGCAAGTATGTCAAACTATGATCATTTTAGTATTTATAGCATGAAAGCAAGGATATCAAGTGATGATTATGTTAGTGTTTATATAGCATTAAGATAATTGGTCACTATGAGCTTGTTCTTTAGGATGCAAGGATGTCAAATGAGGATCATTTTTAGTGATTATAGCATTAAGACAGCCACTATGAGTTTGTGCTACGTGATATAGACATGTTTTATCTGCTTAGTCCTTGTTGTTTTAGGATGTGATAATGTCAGATAATGATTACGTTAAGTGTTTATAGCATTAAGATAACCGCGATGAGCTTGTGCTTAGTATTTTAGACAAGTTTTTGTACTTAAGCCTTGCTGTTTTAGGATACAAGAATGTCAGGCTGATAGTGTTTATGACATTAAGATAGTCACTCTGTTGATACGCGTTCCAATTTTTAAGTTTTAACCAATTTTCTTGGCTTTGTAGATATATGCTCGTCGGCATTTTCTTTTTCCTCCACTTAGTATTGAAGAATATAATGACCGTGTTAGAGCAGTGGTGCGATGTGAAGCACAAGTATGTTTTCTTATCTTCTACCCTTTTGTGTAAAGCTATAAATGTGAATTTGTAGAAAACAACATATTAGTACTTCCACGTACATGTATCTCTGCTTATCTCTGATTCACATTTTTGTTTGCAATTTCATTCAGTGTGCGAAGTTGTTATTTCTACTTTAGGCCTGCAATGTAGATCATTATAGCTCTCTAAACTTTTTTATTTTTTCCATCTATTAGCTTACTAATATTCAACATATGATCATCATTGGTATTGTTATCATTGTTCCTGTTTGAGCTAACTATTCTCTGTGTCTTTCATCTTCAGTATGCTTTGCTGCAGAAGCTTGTTGATGATGATTTCTTAACAAAAGATGAAAGGTCAGTTACAAAAACCTGTTATTGGCAATTCGTACATATTTTAGCATCAAGATTTTTGTCTTCTACAATCTCTCCATTATCTGAAAGATGCGTGAAGATATTATGACTATTTGAATCACATGCTACACAAGTTCCAAGCTTTTTGTTTGAGACAGCAAAGATGGATCGATCTGATTCTAAGTTTGTTGGTCCAGGGATGTACTTCGGTGGGGAAAAAATGTAGGCTCGGCTAAAACACGGTCAACTAGGCGTGCTGGTGTTGCTGTTTATAACAAGGCCTCATCATTGGAAACACTAGTAAGTTGCTCAAATCTGAAACTCATAAGTGTAATACAAATCTGTGCTTCTACCTTAGTAACCCGTTTTTCGTCTGTCCAATCAGATTGGGTATTTGTATCTATCAAACGGGAAAAGATTGGAAGAAATGATGCAGAAGCTAGGATTCTCAAGTGGTTCTTCAACAGAGAGAATGATTAAGGAAGCTGGCAAGAATAAACCATCTTTCAAATAAACTTTACTATATTATAGTTACATGCAATAGCACTTTAGTCTGTATCATTGAAAATGTTTTGAATATATGATCCATTCATCAAAACGTTACAAAGATTTGGTAAATTTTTTGTTTCAACTACGACTAAACCATCCAACAAAACCTCAAGAGGCATCGAAAGTTATGTCATTTTATCTAAATCTCAGTCAATCTTCACCGAGGAGTAGATCTTTCTAACGAACCATAAACATGCGTAGAAACCGATGGAGCCGGTTAGCACGAAAAATGAGTAAGAGATAATGATCATGTACCCGAAGTAGAGCAATCCTGAGACAAGTTTTGAGATCTCAAGCTTTGTGAAGAAGTAGAAGACCGAGTAAAGGAAGAGGTAAAGTGAAGATGAGCCTGATGTGAGGTAAGCTCTCCACCACCAATTGTAGTCTTCACTGCAGAGCTGAAAGTAGCAGAGGACAATTGTGATCTCTGCGCAGGTCACGATCAAGATCAAGAACACGATGAAGAGGAATCCAAAAATGTAGTAGAATTGGTTGAGCCAGATTGATGTTAGGATGAAGAAGAGCTCAATGAAGACCGCTCCAAATGGAAGGATTCCTCCAATTAATATGGAAAAAACAGGTTTCATGTACCAAGGTTGCTCTGGTACTTGTCTCGGGATCTTGTTAGTTTTGACCGGATCTTCGATTGCGGATTTTTTGTGACCGAGATAGCTACCTATGAAGACTAGTGGGACAGAGATTCCAAACCAGAGACAGACAAGAGCAAACATTGTACCAAAGGGAATGGCACCGGATGATCGTTCTCCCCATATGAGTGTGTTGAGAACGAAGAAGATCGCGAAGAGTATACCGGGAAACAGGAATGCAGTCTTCAAGGTGATTCTTTTCCACTCATTCCCTTTGAACATTTTGTGAAGACGAGAAGATGAGTAACCAGCAAATATGCCCATGAATACCCATAAGAGAACCATGGCAGTCATGAGCCCTCCTCTGTTGGATGGAGATAAGAAGCCCAGCAATGCAAACATCATTGTCACAAGAGTCATACCAAAAATCTGAACACCTGTGCCGACATAAACACACAGTAACCCAGAGTTCATGGGCGTCCTAAAGACATCTCCATGTACAAGTTTCCATCCTGTTTCTTCCTGAGCCTCGTCTTGGGTCTCGAGCTGATTGTAGTTTGAAATATCCTTGTACAAAGTTCTCATCATGATCATCGCTACCATTCCAGAGAGGAAAAGGACAATCATAAGCGAGTTTATGATTGAAAACCAGTGGATTTGATCATCATTCATTAGCAAATATGTGTCCCATCGAGAAGCCCATTTGATTTCACTCTCCTGCATATTTCAAACGTCATCATTTGTTTACAGAGCGCAACTAATAAGCTCTCATTGGTAAATTAGTTACCTTAAAGGCGACATCATATGTAAACACAATTTCTTTTCCTTCCTCAACTTCTTGAGGAACAGTGTTGCTTTGGATCAGATTCTTTGTGTCTTTGTTGCATGTTGTTAACTGACGATTATTTTCATCCCAATCTTTGTACTCATGCAATACACTAACCAAAAAGAGAGAGAGAAAAAAAAAAGGGTAGCTTATAAGAATTGAGACAAAATCATACTCTTCAATAACGTTGATGATAACCAAGTAGACAATACCTGTTAGGCGTAACCTCAAAACCAACAATGCGAGAAGAACCAGATTCTAGATCTCTGTGGTACATGACTCGGAAACTCAAGTGGTTATGGATAAAGTATTTTTTCTCTTTACTCTACAAAAGCAAAGCAAAACTACTCCTGATTGGTAAAAGAAAATGCTCAAAAGGTAAGACTGAAGCCCTAGGTTTAAGAGACATATTACCCCTTGGTAACTCCCTTTGAAGCCAACACGGAAACCATGTTCATAAGTCGTCGACTGAATTCCATCTTTTCTTTGTCTAAGAACAGCTACCGGAAGGTTATCAAGAATCCTGCAGCATTTCAAAATAAAACTAAAAGGGATAAATCAACACTACCTCATAAAAATCAAGGACAACATATAAATCTAAACTTACATACTAGCTCGGTATTCATCATCAATCTTCTCCCTGAAATTTTTAGCAGACTCAGCATCGACTCTAACACGGCAACCTACTCTACAGGGCTGATCCTCCAACATTTCAAACTGAAATTGAATCCAAAGTCTCAACACCAAATCCGAAGATGAGAAGGAAAGAAGAGAAATCATTAATCATATAACATAAGTTGTTGTTTACTTAACAGTATAAACCGAATTCTCAATGCGATCTCCTCTAAGAACCTCCCCCAAATTTTCACCGGTATTCAAGATCTTCGGAGGCTTACAGTAATTCAGGTAGTAGAAATCATAAGGAAGCTGAGTCTTTGTAGACGATAATTTGTTCACTTTGACATATAGAGGATCACCCTGTGATCACAGCACAAGCTCGAAAGCTTCAATTACACTCACTGTAAGCAGATTATAACATTCAATCGTATAAATTCAATTCCACAGATTCCTACATTCTCTTATTGGTAATACTCGCAATATACAGAGAAAACGCTAAAAGATCCTTAGACAACACTAAACGCAATAATTTCGCACGGATCTGGATTGAATTACACGCCAAAACAATCGCATTTAACATCGGAAACGCTAGATCGATAACGTAATCAAACGTGAGATCGGAATAACCAAATTGAGTACCTTTTGGAAATCCCGAGGAGCGACACCGGGAAGATAGAAAGCGTGAAGAGTGGAGAAGAATAAGAAAGAGAGTAAGAGAGTGCCGTAGATTCGAATCATGATCGCCATCTTCGCCTTCTTCGTTGCTTTCTTCTTCCTCGACCTCGACGCTTCTCTCAGATAGAGGAAGTAGCCGAGAGCAATGTGAAAGAAGATAGCCAATGCAAGAAGAAAGCGTTTCTTCTTTAAAACGACGTCGCTCTTCCACATTTATTTTTCTTTTGTTTGTTTTTCTTTTAAAATGTGAAATAAAATTCAGTTATAACATAAAATATTAGGTTAAATTAAATTTCATACAAATAAATTTCTGCATAAGAATAATATACACAAAAAAAACTAAAATGTCTTCAAATTTTGAATTGAGAAGTAAAAAATTTCATGAATGTTAATATCTTCATATAATATGTTATGGTCTTTTATTTATTTTGCTTTCCCGTACAATGTAAAATATTTTCCACTCAAGACTGATTAGGTGAGTGTGAATCTTCACGCTCAATAAATGGTGACATTGACTCGTCATTGATTTGAGCAGACTTCAAGCTCCAGGCACTTAAGCTCAAGACGTCAACACTTTGAGTTCCTTTGTTGAAGGCAAAAAGATTTGCATTTTCTCCAATTGCCAATTTTGGATACACTCTTGAGGTTATACAAGTTCCGCCTCCTCCACCATAACTCTCCACTATTGAGTGATCAATCTACAAAAAAGAAAATGAAAAAAACACTAATCACATTTCGTAGCATATGCATCTATTTAATTACTTGATACCACATGACACTTTTTTAAGAAAAATCTTTCATATACTAAAACTTACCAAAGTCCTAAGAGAAACTGTTTGGTGAGAAGGGTCTATCGCCACAAAAGCACCAAACGTTGATTTATCATTTTCCTCGTTCAACGATGATCTGTGAATACCATTAAAACAAAAATCTTCTCGTTAGAATTTTATGTAGATACGAAAAGAATCTAAGTGAATCTTTTGGTCAATGTATAGAGAGACATATATACCTGCTTTGGTCACTGCACATCAACACCACGTACTTATTATTCTTATTAGTATCATCATTTGACTTGAATATTCTGAAGTAAACGGACGTGTACTCTTCCATGTCTTTGGATGCCAAAACCATCAAACCAAATGGTCCTAAACCGGAGTTAACCGAAAAATCTCCCTCACTACATATCTTTTGTGGGTCAGTCCAACTCGGTTCAATCACATCCGCTTTTTCCAATTCCTTCACCTTGAACGATACCTCAACATCTGCCTGCTCAATACCAAATGAGATAAACAAGAAAACACACTTTTGCTAAAAGATAAATTGGTTTTAGGTCAAAATCAAAGATCGACTCAATTCCCGATACTAGATACGGATTCACCATTAATCTGGTCAAGGTTAAGGAATAAGGATCGAGTCTTACCTGTGCAGCAGTGACACCATGAACTTGGAGAGTAGATCCTGCTTTGAGAACTTTCTTGTGCCAGTTGACTTGTGTCCCACGCAACGTCTCAATCTCTTCAATAGGCCATTGCAGCAATTGCTTTCCCGATTCATCGAGCCATATTTTCCTCGGAAATGACTATCACAAATCAATATAACAAAAAGAACACCGGTTGATTTGATTCCCCTCGATCTGAGCCAGCAAAAAAAAACGAACCAAATCAAAATTTAACAATCTGAGACCAGACCAACGTACCTGAAGACCAGACCAACCCTTCTTAATATCATCTTTAGCTGGGGACGATTCATTAACCCAACCCCACAAGATTCTTCGTTTCTTAACATCATCGTAAAACGTTTTCGATGCGTAATATTTCCCGTAATCTAACCTCGGAGCCGATCCGTTTTGCACAAACCCAAGGTCTGGTACGTAAACATCTTTCTCACGATCATAACTCCCAATCGTGTAATAATCATGCAATGTCTCAATCAAACTCACTTTAAGCACATGCTTAATCCCATTCTCACTAAACGACGACGTTTCAACACCGTCTGATCCGGTTATCGAAACAGGGAAAAAATCAGGACATTCCCACATTCCGGTTAAGTCTTCGTAATGCAAAGGCTTCGTCGATTGCGTCCAATTGAAGAAATCTTTGCTGTTGTAAAGAATGGCTAACCCTCGACGATCGTCCGTGGAGCTTCCGACGATCACTCGCCATTCACCGTCACGTCCAAGCCACGCGGTGGTCGGATCTCGGAACCGGTCCGGGTTAATTCCGTTAACCGCGTTAGGTGTCATAAGAGGATTTCGCGGCGGTTTTGACCATTCTCGGAGATAAGGATCGGAAACATTAACCGGAACGGCGACGTTTTGGACTTGACTTTTGTTTTGGTCAATGCCGGTGTAGAGGATCACAGGTTTGCCGTTTGGTAGAATCGTGACGGAGCCTGACCAACAGCCGTTGGTATCTGACGGCTGAGATGGATTAAAAGCTGGAGGTTGTGAAATCCAGTTGACTAAGTCAACTGATGTAGAGTGTCCCCATACGATTCTTACATCCCAAACGGCACCGTATGGATTATATTGGTAAAAAAGATGGTATATTCCTTTGTATATCATTGGTCCTAATTAAAAAAAAAAGAAATTATTTTTGTATTTTCTGTATATGGATTTAATAATATTTTTAGATATGTGAAAAATAAAGAGAACTAACCATTAGGATCTGGGATTTTTTTGTTGGTCGAATTAAGATTTCATCGAACATAACGGAATCAATAAAAGAAGAAAAGTATAAAACGATGTTAAATCAGAGAAGATCGAATTAATAGACACATCGATGGATTTCTATAGATTAATTAGAAACCAAATCAAGATCGGTACGGGTACACACCGTTCATCCAATTTCGGGGAGGTTGAAAGTGATAACCGGTTCGGTACGGTTGGTTGAGATCTTGATGAGAAGCTTCAAGATGGATGATAAAGTTTGCGAGGAACAAAGATAGTAACAGTGAGAGACCAATGTTGGAACGATTTAATTTTGCCATTGTTGTTCTGTTTCTGTTGTTCTCTCTTTGTTCGGTATAGATGTTTAAGTACAAATGAGTTTATCTTTAAAACTCTCATCATGTTGTTCGCTGTTCACATGGTTCAAAGAGATTAATAATGGACAAGTGGGCACGTAACTGCAGATATAAATCCATTAATCAAAGACCAATCAATTAATTAACCTTAATTCGATGCCAATTAACAGGAGTTGTCTCCTAGTGTAAAGGATCTCCAGCTGCTGGGGGTACCGCCACCTGGGTTCGATTTCTGGTCACTGCGTAATTCACATAGCGGTTGCAGGCTTCCAAGACCACGTCAGCTCCGTTTGGACACGATGCTAGTCGGGCCACTTCTTTTACACCGGACACCTCGGTTATCAAAAAAAAAAAAAAAAAAAATCGATGCCAATTGAGACAATCAATCATCGTTTATTTTTCAAGAAACACGATGAGTTTAGGCCTATGGGTTTGATAAGAAAAATTGAAGCCCATAAATATTTAGAGCACTTATTTACGGTTTATATTTCTTCAAATTAGCTTTGTTCTCTTCTCTCTAATTCTCTCTAAACTGACCAACATTAGTTTCTCTAATTTTATTGCTTCAAATTTTTTGATTGGTTGCTGATGAAACTGAAATGTTTTAACCAAACACTGAACCAAATTTGTTTACAAAATGGTTTTACTATTCCTTTTTTTGGTCATACCATAAAGCTAAATTCGAACCGAAACTGATCTTATTGTAACCGAAACCAAACGAGATTGGTCGTCCCTATTTCTCTCAATTTCCAGCTTCCTTGGTTTGGTTTGGTTCTGTTCTGTAAACAATTTGCAACTAATTTAGAGGATCACGATAACCGGTCTTGTTCGATTGATAATTCATAATTGGGACCCAAACGACGACGTTTCAAGAAGCAGACCGGAAACGGAAACATTGGGAACGGGGTGTCCGAAAGGTCGTCTGACCGCATGTCCCGCATAAGAGTCAAACCAATCATGACTCGTTGCTTAGAACTACAATCCAATCAAATCATGCCAAGTGTATTATTGGTCGCCTACGGTTTCATTGACCTCTCACTTTCACCACCTATGATCATCAGTAGATGAGATTCCCTCTCTTAATTTACTTACAGTGGTCAGTAGATAATACCATTCCATAACAAGTAATAATAATAATAATATTAGAGCTTTAGTCTATGCTTTATAGAATATAGAGACGATGTTATTTTTCAAGTAAAACTATATAATATATATTTATATGCACCTTATTTTTTCATTTGTCTTAATCAACCAACGTTCAAACTTATGACTATTATAAGTCTATGATTACAGTTCGAAAATGACATTGGGCAAAGGTTTAGGTGCTATGGAAAATTCTAAAAATATATTGTTGATTTTTTAAAATGATTTACTTTCAAAAAGAACACTTTTTTTTACCAAACGTGAATTATACAGCGACACCCTGATTTTATATTTCAATCAAAACATGGGATTATTGTCTTCCAATTCTACAAAATATACGTAGAGATATTATTATTATTGTAAAATCCATGAGCCACGCGTTGCCGACGTGGAGACGTGGACCTGAAATTGTTATTGACCTATAGTTTTGCATATTTATTAATTATCACTATTGCATATATTATGATGTGAGTGTGACTTCGAAATAAACGGTGTTGCCATTATGATAAAGGGATTGGAATAAACAAGCATAAGTAAAACCGTTGTCACAAAGCAAAACAATTTTAAGGTTAGTAGTGCTTTTAGGATTGTTGCCATTAACAGTCACCAAAAGTACCCTCAAAATATTTTATCCTACTGCAAAATAGATTAACTGGAGTGACTTAAATCCGTTTATAAGACAAATAGTGTTATGTATATCGGTGTGAATAGCATGAGAATTTATAATCAAAAGTTCACATTCTGGGTGCATGGCCATGGATGTCACCAAATTGAATGACGCTCTGATGTGAGTGGACATTTATGAAATTATTTCTTCTAAATTTTTTAATTTCTTCCATATTTTAGATATACTTCTCCTCAAATAATATCGGATCTGACGATAAGAGATCTAAATAATTTCATTAATTAACATTGATAAATTTGCATGGTTAACTTTTTGTTAGCTATATAGTTTAAAATTATGTGTATATTTTGTTCAATATAATACATATATATTGAAGGTGCCTAAGACAATTGCTTTTGTTAGCTAGATAGTCTAGAAATATAGATACATATGTTGTGGTGGCTGGGCCATTGGGGTGATGGAACTCCAACACTGGTCCTGATGTTCTAATATGTGAAAACAGCGTCTTAACAACAAAGATATGAACATACTTAGTCACAACACAACTATAACAAACGTAAAAATTATTTAAGAAACTGGCCTATGAATGTGCTCGTATATTTTCATTGCGCTGCGTAAGAGGTATGTATAGTGGTTTCCTTCCTATCATCTTCCCATTCATATCACTCAGCTGCATTGTCACATATGTAAAAATTTCTCAATATCAAAAAAGACGAACGATAACAAAATAATATATTTCAGTTTTAAACTCAGGGCTCTTAAAGCTTCCTCGTGACTGGAATAAGAAACAAAACCAAATTAATTATGCAAATATCTATATCGACAATAAAAAGTGAAATATGTATTATAATCAATCTTAAAATTCCAGAACATTACGTATAATTGCAAATTTTCAAAGGTGTGCTCATTTTTATTTATACCCACGTAGGATATACCATAAATAAAACATGGATTAAACTCTTAAAATGGTTGGAAAAATAAATTCGTATAATGACACCATAACAGTATTAATCAAAGTTTTTGGTCAGTATTTGTTTTTAATTTGAAAATGTGGATAAAGATAAGGAGTTTTTTAGGGGATTATTATCTAAAAAGCCATTTTTGCTCAACCATTTTTCAAAATTGCCATTTTCTCATCATTCTTTCAAATTTGCCATTTTTGCCATTTTTAAAAACTAAAAATTTGGAAAAATAATTTCATAAAACATATACTTTATAACAAAAACTATACCCTACAAAAAAATAAAACTTAATAAACCTAAGCATTATGTGTAAATTTGTGTTTTTGTTTACAAGAAAATGGCAATTTTCAAAAATTTTTGATAAAATGGCAAATTCTATAAAAGCCATCAAAATAAGTCCTTTATTCCTAATTGATTCAGTTTTTTAGTGGTGTCTAGTCTACGACCTTGGACCGACCATGGTCTACGTATGAAATATAGTTTTATCATTTTCCGAAAATTCAAAAATGTCAATGATTTGTGTCCATAGCTCGATGTAGATCATAAAGTAGGTTAGGGCATGTGTCACTGAACCATAATTTTTTTCTCGACATAATTAATCCTTTTTAGTTTCATTCACTCTTCTTTTTTCTTTTCACATGAAAAGCCAGAAATGAACCCCAAAAAAAGAAGAAACAAAAAAGTTAACCTTTTTTTCTCTTTAATCAATGAATCAATCAAGTGTTTAGTACTGTAAATCACGATGTAAATAATCTTACAACTTTATTACTAAATACATAATTAGTACTATATATATTAACTCTATCGAAATTGTAGTTTACTAAAAATCTGCTGAATATGAATTGTTCAATACATTCAAGATTTTGAAGCATATAGTGCAAATTATGTTAGTGTTTTTTTTTTTTTTTTGCTAGAACTCACACATCAAAATATTCTGTAGATTAACTTCAGATTTGACAATGTTGTCACAAAAGTGGAAACCAATAAATTACATGATTCTTCTGATCCATAAAAATTAGTACAATGATGAAGACTCGATGAATAGTCAAATAAATAATAATGAAAACAATAACTCCTAGGGAAAATACATATAGTGCATGCACTACTATGAAACGAATTCAAACATGTCTTCTCACTATCTCGAGAAACGTACAAAATTATAAGCTTATTTATACAATCTCCTCTTTCTGCTGCAAGCTTTTCAGTTTTCACACAACTGTGACAAAAGTATTTTAAATTTTTGGCCCACCTTTCTTTATGATACCAAAATATAAACATTTCCTCCAATATTTCTGCGGTAATATGCAAAAATGCAAATAACAAATTTACTGTCAGCTTCTGTGTATATAAATAATAACAAAAAACAGAGAAAAAAAAAGACAGAAAATGCCAAAGCCAGAAGAGTTTTCATTTTTTTCTTTGCTTTTTTCATTAGCGGTAGGGTTCACTTTTTATATTTGTTTTTAAGTTTTGAGAATTTATAAGTTTCAAATATCACACAAAGAGAGAAAGATAATAAGAGTTTCTTCTCTCATCCACAACCTCTCTCTCTCTCCCTCCTTCTTCTAGCTAGGTATTTTGTATTTTCTTCCTTCTGCTTTGTCATTAATTTATATCCTCTGTTAATGTTATTCATGTTGTATAGTAGTTCTTGTTTATGTTAATATTTTTTAATTCTTTTGGATTCTTGTTGGTAAAAAGCAAGCTTTTTAAAGCTTCTTGTTCATGTTTTGAAATGAACAAGAACCAAAAAATCTCGTTTTTATGTTCAGGTTTTCAAACACACAGTCTCTTGATTTAAGAGACTTATTATTATTTTTTGTTCTTCCCATAAGAAAAACCAAGATTGTCTCTTGCGTTGAAACCAAACAAGTAATTTTTATATTTATCTGTTTATATAAGAATCATGGGTTTCATTAATTTCTTGGATGTTTCTGCTTAAGGTGTTTTTTTTCTCCACTACTCTTTGTCTGTACATAGATCTGAAAAAAGTTTTGTCTCTCTTTTTTTTATATATTTTATTCTTATATAAGGTTTTTGTTTTTAAGGGCCATGATGATGAACAGAGACATGTTATTTCATCATCAACAACAACAACAACAAGTGGAAGAGAACATGTCGAATCTAACATCAGCTTCAGGAGATCAAGCAAGTGTGTCTTCTGGAAACAGAACTGAAACTAGTGGCTCTAACATTAATCAGCGACAAGAACAGTGTTTTGTTCCACAATCATCTCTTAAGAGGAAGAGAAATCAACCAGGAAATCCAGGTAATTATTTAGTTATGATAGTCTGGATGATGAAGAAGAAGAAAAATCAACTTTTTCTTGTTTTTTTTGGACGTATTCATACTAATTATTTGATACTACTATCATCGATTATTGTTTTTTAGAATTCTGGGTACTCTCCGAATATTCTTTTTTACCCTTTTAACTTTGTCTTCTTTCTCATCTCTATTATTACATTGGGCAAAAACCAAATAAAAATCCAAACTTTATTAGTTTTTCTTTGGAACTTGTTACTTATATATATATATATATATTAAGCAAATTTCTGTTAAAATCTGATTTAAGTTTTGGACTTTATTTGGTGTTTTTTTTTTCAGACCCAGAAGCAGAAGTGATGGCTTTATCACCAAAAACGCTAATGGCGACAAACAGATTCATATGTGAGGTCTGCAATAAAGGTTTTCAAAGAGACCAAAACTTGCAACTTCACAAGAGAGGTCACAATTTACCATGGAAGCTTAAGCAAAGATCAAACAAAGATGTGATTAGGAAGAAAGTTTATGTCTGTCCAGAGCCAAGCTGTGTCCATCACCATCCGTCAAGAGCTCTCGGTGACTTAACCGGAATCAAGAAGCATTTCTTCAGAAAACATGGCGAGAAGAAATGGAAATGTGAAAAGTGTTCCAAGAAATATGCGGTGCAATCAGATTGGAAGGCTCATGCTAAGACTTGTGGCACTAAAGAATACAGATGCGACTGTGGAACTCTCTTTTCTAGGTAACACTCTTAATTTTAATTTGATTTAAACATGTTCTTGATGAAACTTTGTGCATTCGTACTTAAAATCTAAGGTTATTACTATTTACTAGGAAGTAGACAAGAGTGAATGATGCATGATGAAACTTTAGAAATGTGGTGTAATGTGAAAACGAGTGACACATATAATATATGGTACACCATCTGTTGGGGTTTATGACTAGCTAGTTTCATTAAATTTTGAATAGGACAAACATGGTAATTAATTTAAGTAGCTCAAAGAATCTACATTTAAACAACTATTTATTATTGTGGTACTTCTTTCTAAGTTGTTGTATTTTTTTTATTTCTTGAGTCCTAATATCGAAATCCTTTATACGGCTATACATTTATTGCATATTGATCTATCATCTTATTATTCACACGTGACACACCCCACAAATAATGCATATGCTTTACATGGACCTACAATAACCTCAAAAAAGTCATTGTTTTGTTGATTAATTTTTGGCTTTATTTTTGATATATTTGTGGAATTATTGCAGGAGGGATAGTTTCATAACTCATAGAGCATTTTGCGATGCATTAGCAGAAGAGAGTGCAAGAGTCATACCAAACCCTAGTATGATCCAAGCTTCAAATTCTCCTCATCATCTTCATCATCATCAAACACAACAAAACATCAGTTTCTCAGCTTCTTCATCCCAAAACATCACCAGCAACAGCAATCTCCATGGTCCTATGAAGCAAGAAGAATCACATCATCACTTCCAAAACATCCCTCCTTGGCTTGTCTCATCAAACCCTAACCCTAATGTCAATAATGGTAATTTGTTCCCTCCTCTTGCTTCTTCTGCAAACACTGGGCGGTCCAGCTTTCACCAGCCATCGCCGGCTATGTCAGCCACAGCTTTGCTCCAGAAAGCAGCTCAGATGGGTTCCACGAAGTCAACAACTCCAGAGGAAGAAGAGAGGTCGTCAAGGTCAAGCTATAATAACTTGATCACGACTACAATGGCTGCGATGATGACCTCACCACCTGAACCTGGCTTTGGATTTCAAGACTATTACATGATGAATCATCAACATCACGGCGGAGTAGAAGCTTTCAACGGCGCTTTTGTCCCTGGAGAAGACAAGAACGACGTCGTGGACGACGGTGGAGGAGAGACGAGAGATTTCTTGGGGCTAAGGTCGTTAATGTCTCATAACGAGATTCTAAGTTTCGCTAATAATCTTGGAAACTGTCTCAACACTTCGGCTTCAGAGCAAGAACAGCAACATAGCCACCAAGATTGAAATATTATTATATATGTATAGAGACTTTTTCTATAAAATTAGTTTGAAAAATATGTTGAAGGAGCATTATCATGGTACAAGCAAGTTTATACCAAAAAAGAAAAGAAATTAATTTACAATTTTGTGTTATGATTTGTCTGTTAATTAATAATTGTGTTTATGATTTTTACATTTTTGTCACACGCATGCAAAACATATACTAGAGAGCTCCTTACGTAATACGTGTATATATACCAAAGATCAAGTGATTAAAACATGTGTTAGAAACTCAACTTTGTTAAAGAGACACGTCTAGCTAGAAAAAATTAGTTTTTTTTGGTCTGTAGAAAAGATTAGTCAATCACCCGCCTTGTTCAAAAAATTGCTAGGCATTAGTCAGATATTTGGTATAGGTCTAACGATTAATCGGAAATCGGATTTAAATTAGGGATTAATCGGAAACTAGTTTAAGGATTATTTTAATATTTTAAAACATATTAATCCAATATTGTTTTCAAAATTGTAGTAAACACGTAAAAATATATTTTTAAAAGGAAGTTTTTATGTTTTTTTAAAAATTTGGAACATGTGTAAAATATCACAAACCTTCAATCTAAATGTCTAAATAACAAAAAAAAAAAATTGTTTTATACTTAAAATCTAAAAATAATCAAGATATGCAAGATTAGATGGAGAGTAATCGGATTAGGCGATATGCATCTTTTATTTTATCGCCACGTTTGTATACTTATTTTTGTACCGTCTCTTTCAGTTAACATTTTTTATTTTCATTTATCATTTTACAAAATTTATTAACTTTGTTTAATAATTTTTAAAGTAAGTTTTAACCAAACAAAAATCTTAAAGTAAGTCTAGAATTTACATTTGATTATTGTTAAATTTCATATATATTTAGTTCAAAATTAATGGATGATAAATGAATTGTTTATATTTCTTATTTACTATTTTTGTATATATATATTTGATCGATGTAATTTCAAACAATCATTATAGATCACCTTTTATCAGTTTTATAAAGTAGTGAATAAACAACAAACATCCACAATTTGTTTGTGAGTTCATGTGCTTTGTTTGACAAGTGTAATTACACACGTCAGCATCCGTGAGAGCCACGTGTGTTTGGTTTCCGAAAATTTCTCCAAAATACTCTGTTTATTTAATATTGAGAAAATTAGATTGGATACCATTTTTTCCACAAAAGTTATCACTTCTACCACATTTGAATCTCAATTACCATTCATACCATATTGTGCTTCTAAAATGACCATTTTACCCTCCAACTTGTGAGATAAGGAACTGCGATTGATGTAACCTTCCGAAATTTCTGCCGTCTTTTATCTCTCTCTTGGCGCATTGGTAACCGTTTTCGTCACTCTGGCCGGTAAAACAAAGTTGTCTCCGAGTAAATCCAGATCTTCGTATTCGGCTCTCTGGCAGAATAAAATAAAGATCAAGTTATCCCCGAGTTAATCTAGATATCTGGCTGGTAAAATCACATCATCTGGTGATGGATAATTAAGAGATGTTGTCCCCGAGTAAATCCAGATCTCTGTAGGCTGATAAAACCATATCATCTAGGATTTATGATAATAGAGCAAGCTGATGAAATCGGGGACAAGATCTAGACGCAACAAAGAATTTTCAATCGGGGACAAGATTTGGAGACATCCATTTAATGCAGCCGCTCCCCGTTTCTCAACCGGCGTCTGACTGTAGCTCATTCCCCTGACACATTCCTGACGCAGGCAGAAGGGTAAAATCGTCCAACATCTACCACACAAACATCAAAAGTGGTATGGATGCTAAATTGATTTGCAATGTGGTACATTTGCTAGGATTTTCTATAATTGTGACACATTTGGCAAAATTCCCTTTAATATTTGTCCAAAAACTACATGAATTTTTTCTTTGTAAAAGAAATACACAAACTAATTTTGATTGAAAATAAAAAACACGATCTAGTTTTGTTTTTAATTTATTTCTTTCGTTATAACAGCCGTTAACAACGTTAACTAAATCTTCAAACGGTGTTAAATTAATGGCAAATCTATGTACTGCCGCCTTTGTGGAAGAATCTTGTTGCAAATACAAGGACGTTGAACATTGTTGGGATGACAGGTGATGGTAAATTTGTGTTTTCTCGGGCCGTTCTACGTGATCCTTTTTACATTTTCTACTACAATGTGGAGAAGAATACTATAGTAAGAGTTATAATCCAAGGAATTAGACGTGTTAGTGGTCAAGGAATATACACTTTCTGACTTTCATATCATAGACCACGTAGAAGATTTGAAGCTGATGTGATTAGGATATTCATAAGAATACAAGAGCGCTAAATAGTTTGGCTTCTTGTTTCCATTGCCCAATTTCTTGACAAATTGTGTCATTTCCCACCAATGCTTCTTCTGTTGTTCTTTGTGTCTCACAAAGCTCTTCTTGAGTACTTCTATCTTTTGTTCCATTGTTTTATTTTATTTTTCTGCAAATTTTTCTCTTAAATTAAATTGTATTCTTGATGAATCAACTTTATCTTTGAGAACACCTTGGATTTGTATTGGTTATCTATTTTTTCTTCAATTGTTTGGACTTTCTCTTCACATCTTAATCTCATTTTCTTCCCTCTTCATGTATGTATATTCACATGTTAAAACGGATTGTTACTTATCAAAAAAAAAAAAAAATCATCTTGCATCCTTTACAAGTTACAGTCTACTACCGTCGCAGCTTTTGCCGACAATCATTAGTTCCCGAACAGAGAAACTCCCACCAGCCCATCTCAACAAACACCACATGAAACCCAAAATCCAACTTTAACAAATAAACCGGCCCAGTTAAACCCATTGCTACTTCTGACCATATTCAGAAAGATGTAACACCCTCCTGATATGAGAGGAATTTTCGTGGATTAGTTCGAGTTACGAAGCCCCACAAGCAGCACATTTCGAGGCTTAGAATATAAAAACCTCTGGTGTTGAATGTAACAGAGTGTAATGTTAAAAGAAATAACACAAAACACCAAGCTGATTGATCTAAAAGAATGTGTGGGTATGATCCATGACTTGTATCTAAGTAGAAACATGAGGAGCTTTATAAGATGTAAGAGAGAAATATAAGCAGCATAAGGTAAACTAACTATTAACAATGTTCTTGAGGTTCCCATGTTTCTCTTGCTCTCTCTGTTTGGTTAAAACCAGTTCAAGTGTGTGGCTAGATATATGCAGAGAAGCTAACTTTGGTCATCGGCAAAGAAAACATAACATATAATTAAAGATTGTCCAAACAACATCTTAACATATAACATATGAATAGCCATCAGATTGTTTGCTACTTAGGACCCAAAAAAAAGATGCATTTGATACTAATTAGCCGTTACAACAAAACCCAAAAGAACATAAACCAGAAAGTAATAAGGTTCAAACAGAAAAACAAAACAAAAGCCAAATGCATATCTAAATAGATAGTCTAATCAGAATTAGCCATCATAGAGCTAACCTCATGCAAAACGTCAAGCTTTTGCAACACCAATTTGATCTCATTAGCTTGCACGGACTTAATCTTTTCTTCTATCATCTTCCTCGTCCTTACCGGTACCAAATACCATTTCTCTTTCAAAGTCTCTTCATCAACCCCCGCACCCAAATTCTTAAACGCACCAACAATAAACGACCTCTCGAACCAATCACATTCTACATTCACAACATCAACCTTCAAAGAGTCATCAACCTTAATCTTCTTCGTTGACTTCACAAGAGTAGCATCAACATCACTTCCCCAAATCATATTAGCCAATTCGAAACATTTCTTATCATGATCTTTGGTAAAGTTACCACTTTTCTTTTTCACCACATACTTATTCTTCAAAGACCAGATTTTTTTAACGAACTGATTCACACCCTTCACGTCAAAACTAATTGAATCCTTAAGCTTCTCGAAAAACCCGTTCATGTCATCCGAAACACTCTTACCTGTATCGCTACTGAAGTCGATCATTCCTTGAAGTAACACGATCTCATCTTCTTCACTCCACAATCTCTGAAACGGTGGCTTCTTCGCCGTCTCTGTTTCAGTCTCCGTCTTAGCTCGTTTCACCTCCGTTGATGGTTCTCCTTCACTTTGTCTCTTCTTATTCGGAGAAGAGACAACAACAGCATCAGTAGTCGGCGTTTTGGTCGTAGGCTCTGTTTTAGAGTAAGAAACACTCTCAGTCTCCGACTCGAGCTTTGAATCTGAATTTTCATTGGTGACAACAGGAGCCGAAGCAGTTTTCTTACCGAAATCTTTGGATGATTCGTCTTCCTCCTCAGATGAAGAATCTGATTCTTCTTCTGAGTCACTAGAAGATTCCGGCGGTGGATTTTTAACCGGTTCTGGTTGCATCTTCTTCGCCGTTGTTGATGTTTCCTTCAACGGCTTCTTCGAAGTCGATGCGACGACTTCCAACGGCTTCTTCGCTAGAGATGCGGCTTCCGACGGCTTCTTCACCGGAGATGTGACTCCCGACTGCTTTTTCACCGGAGATGTGACTCCCAACGGTTTCTTCGAAGTTGATGCGACTTCCGAGGATTTCTTCGCCGCTGATGGAGTAACCAAAGTCTGAGATTGCTTCTTCTTCGCCATTGGAATTTTGGAAATGAGACAGACAAATTTGGGAACGAAAGCTTTTAGGATTCTAGGGTTTATTATGGACACTTGGATGGTAAAATATGTCAATTTAAATAATTATTTGAGAAACTAGAACAAAAAGAAAAATTAAAGGAAAAAGTTAATAATGGTACATTTGTGATTGGCTTAATCACTCGGTGGAATTTAAGCAGAGAGTAGTCATTTCGATTGTCTTTTCGAATCTCCCCATGTTTGTTTTGATGATGCTATGCAATTAATTAATTTAACTTTTTTTAGCCGTTAAAAAAGTATCAAAGTTAATTAACTTTTTTGAAAATATTGAGTAAAAATGTAAAATCAGTTAATCAATCGTCTCTTTGATCTCATATTTCCATCTTCTTCTTAATACTATACTAGATTTTAACCCGCGGTACACCGCGGGGCTATATTTTCTTAAAAAAATCAAAATGTAATTTGTTTGATAGATTATTTTGATTGTTAATTTTAGGATTTC